TTTATAATTCTTTATATAGATCATATCTGGTTGGTGGTATACCTACCCCTCTAAACAATATGAAGGTCAGTTGGGATTGTTATTCCCAACTGAATGGAAAAATAAAAGCCATGTTCCAAACCACCAACCAGTATATATATAATCAACCCCGTTATCTTAGAATATCCGTTTTTCCAATTATGCAGTTGAACTCGAACGCAACTCCACTTAAAATATGCCCACATTTCGTGCTCATCTGTTTTCTCCCCATTTGGCCTTTGCTCTGGAAGCCTTTGTACACCTCTATGCAGCCTGTTTCTGCTTTTTTTCAAGCAGTTTTCACATACTAATTTGATTTTTTGTTACTTTGCGTTCTGAAAAGTAATTTTTTTCTACCGCAAAGGGTCCCCCCCACGAATGGTGGAGATCCATGGGAAATGGTCTAGGTTGGGTAAGTGCAAGGAATAGGGCCCCCTTCATGTATGATTATTATATACGTAATTCCCTTTGGGGAGCAGCAATCCTGGATGTCTGAAGTCCGTAAACTAGAACGTTTCAACAAAAAAACAGCTCCCCCGAAATGATCAATTTCTTTTCATAGTGTGTTAAAAAAAAGGGGTTTTTCAAGCTCACCGAAGGGTACCCCCCACGACCGGTGTCGGAGAACTATGAAAAAAACTAGTTTGCAATGAAAACTAATGGAATTAGGTGGCATTCCTTCAAAAAATGATGAATATTTTCACTGGGGAGCTATATTCTATGTATGTAGTTTTGCAAGGAATAGAGCCCCCTTCATGAATAATTATTATATACGTAATTCCCTTTGGGTAGAAGCAATCCTGGATATCTGAAGTTCCTAAACTGGAACGTTTCAACAAAAAAACAGGTCCCCCGAAATGATCAATTTCTTTTTATATTGTATTAAAAAAATGAATTTTTCAAGCTCACCGAAGGGTACCCCCCACGAACGGTGTCGTAGAACTATGAAAAAAATAATAAAAAACTAGTTTGCAATGAAAACTAATGGAATTAGGTGGCATTCCTTAAAAAAATGATAAATATTTTCACTGGGGACCTATATTCTATGTATGTAGTTTTGCAAGGAATAGGGTCCCCTTCATGAATAATTATTATATACGTAATTCCCTTTGGGTAGAAGCAATCCTGGATATCTGAAGTTCCTAAACTAGAACGTTTCAACAAAAAAACAGATCCCCCGAAATGATCATTTTTTTTATATATTGAATTAAAAAAATGAGTTTTTCAAGCTCACCGAAGGGTATCCCCCACGACCGGTGTCGGGATTTATGGAAATGTGAAGGATTTATGGAGAAAATGAAGAAACGCATATGGAAAAAGTGAAGAATTTGACTGAAAAGGGAAAATAATTTATATGGAAAAGAATCTGTATGGCAAAATATGGTAAACTGAAGAATTTGTATGGCAACGTGCAGAATTGTTATAGGAAAGTGAAGAATTTATATGGAAAAATCATGAATTTGTCTGGAAACATGAAAGAAGTTATATGGAAAAAATATGGAAAAGTGAGAATTTGTATAGAAATGTGAAGGATTTATTTAGAAATATATATATATATATGGAAAAATGATGAATTTGACTGAACACGTGAAAGAATTTGTATGGCAAAAATATGGAAAAGTGAAGAATTTGTATGGAAACGTGAAGGATTTATAAAGAAAAGTGAAGAACTTCTATGGAAAAATGACGAATTCGTCTGGAAAAGTGAAAGAATTTATATGGCCCAACGATATTCTAAGTATAGGTTTCTTAACGTCAACTGTATTCTAAGTAACTGTTTTCAAGTTCAATTAGGGGGATGCCCTGGGAAGCCAAAATTTCAATTCTATATTCTAAGATAACGGGGTAGATTATATATATATATGTGTTGTTAGTTGTTTTTTTCTCCTGATTAAATCCACTTTCATATGCCATTGATATCCCATTATATCCAGTTATATCGCCATCATATTCCCTGTTTAAACACCAATTAAAACAAATCATATCACCATTTCATCCTACAATATGAATCATATCATATTAATTATTATATCCCGTCATATTCCACCATACCTTGGTTATATCTTTATAATTCTTTAAAGATCATATCACTCTCATATCTTTGATTTTTCCGGATGGTTTGTCAAGACACGGCTTCCCCGTCTCGCCTGGTTGGCCCAGGTATCCAACAAGGACCAGCGATCCAAGTAACGCCAGGCGATTCCGGGCTTCACCCAAGCACTGCCGGCGCCTGTAACGGGGGAAGTCCAGCAGCAAGGTGAGGCTCAAGTCATATCCCCCATAAAGCCCAATGCTAAGTTGACAAAAATAACTTGCTTTTTTGTAATATTTGTAATGTTAAGTAGGCTTTATTAGGGGGGATATGAATCAATGAATGGATAGAACTATAGTCAATGGGCTTATAAATATAATATATATATATACCCTCTTGTTATTTAACAACATAGCCATGGTATAGATGGCCCTAATCGAAATAGATGATTTTCCCAGCTGAAAACCTCCATTTATTTACGGGATTTTCCATATGTTAGTCATAACCAGAGGGTATCCATTTTCAACTGGTGGTGCCTCACCTTCTGGGATCAGAAAATGGTAGCATTTTTCAACATGATATCTGGTTGGTGGTGCAGTAACCATGTTGAAAAATGATGGACTTCGTCAATGGGAAGGATGAATTATCCCATATATGAGATGGAAAATAATCCAGCCATGTTCCAAACCACCAACCAGGTAGATATGTTTATAATTGTTGAACATTGCCATAGAAATAGTTGATTTTCCCAATCAAAATGGTGGATCTTTCCATAGTTATAAATGATTATAAATGGGAAAACCAAAATGAATTGGTTGGTCATGATGAGAAAAAGTTTGACTATGGAACATTTATGGGAACATCAGATGGGACCATACTGGAAATATGGGCACATACTGGAAACAAAATGGTAAACCGGTAAACCCTACAAATCAACCCACGATTTGGGCATGGTTTATACCACCCATAAACAATGCTGATTTTGGGAAAGTTTAGACTGGGACCATGTTCTCTGGGATGTTAACACTGGGAAGGTTTCACGAATACACAATGCAAATTCAAGTAAATATTTTTTTGGATTTAAGGACAGCCCAACTTGAAATCACCAAGTAGGTTTTACGCGTATAAACCAAACGTCTTTTCAATGCTGGGGAACATCTCCGCAACTACCTCTTTTCGGAAAATTGACAATGGAGATTCCCCAAAGCCATATATGAAATGTAAACCCATCAATGTAAACCAGTTACTGGTTAATAGTGGTTAATGGTGGTTAATAATGATTGAGAACTGGTTAACAATATAAAATTTGGAAAGCCACCAAAGTAAACTGTAAACCCACCAACAAAGCCAATCATGGAAAGTCACAATGACGATCTCACTGATTCACTAACATCTAGCTTTCTGGCTCCAGCCACCTATGGGGAAAGCACATCTAATTTCAATTCAACAAGTACCTAATATAGCTAATCTATTTGTGGGCAGCTGCCACAGGGGCAAATTCCTCATTCCAAAAGGAACCGCCGGTGGCTTCTGGGTCAACTGGCCTGCTGTGTCCATAGCATCGTTGTGGACAAAACAACCGGTGACCATCACACAGTGTTCCCCAGTTAAAAGTTGGTTTCCCGACCCATTAACTATAGTTATTTCTACCATAAATCATAACTCCAAAGTTAATCGAGTTAAACAACAAACTAAGCTATTCTATCGTGGGGGCACTACATTGCAAGGTTCTGCTCAAAGTATTGCCAGCCACCCGCCGGCTCTGGCAACTCTGCCTGCAACGAAGACTTTGACCTTTGGAGCGAAAACAGAAGTCAATTCCGCCCAGGGATATTTATCGGATATGGGGGAATAATTATACATATATATATATATGAGGATAAAGTTTCGGCTGAGAACAACGTTTCCGGGAAGGACTTCCCCCCCGGATGTTGGTTAAGGGAACCTTAGCGGGTAGCTAGCGCTGAAGCTATCTGCGGGCCTTTCGCTGTGCGGAGAGCAGCGGCTGAGCCTTATCTTGTGCTCTCTATCCCAGTGCTGGATAGATCACCTTTGCTCATCTAGCCCCTCTACTTCGATTTTGGACTTTGAGTACGACTTTGATCTGCTCTATCTTCCATCTTCGTTTTCCCTTGGGTTTTTCCAGGGACGGGTTTAACCGGTTCACTGCCTAAACTGGTTTCGGGGCATTTGGGTATCTCCATCTTATTTGGCATTGCTGTGATCATATTTGACTGCGGTTGACTTTGTCCTGTCTGTCTTTCTGAACCAGCACGGTCCAATTTGCGAAACTTTCACAATTTCATTGAATTTGACCTGACCATCGGGCTTTTCATGTTTTTGGTGAATTTATTCATTTTCCATTTGATCGGCTTTCTGGACAACTTCTTGGTTATTTCTGGCGAAGCGATTGGCAGCCACGACTTTAGCAACAAGAAGGAGGACATTGAGGCGACAGCGAGCAACCGCACGAAGGCAGTGGTTCTTGCATCGTCGAGGAGTGATCCACCTATCCAAGTCCAAACTCCGCAAGATCTTCGAGGTCATCCAGAATCATCATTCCCGAGACTATCAATTTCTTGCCAAGATCAAAGACACCATGGCGAACAAAGCACCATGGAGATGCGCTGGATGCAGGCAGCTGAGGAAACACACGGCAGAGTACTGTCCGGTCTGTCAGCTCCCATGGCAGAGCACGATCGACAGGAGTTACGTGCACAATCCTGGAGTGAGACAGAATACTTATGCATACTGGTCGCAAGATGCTACCACATGGGGAGGGCATCAAGACTCATCAAGTTGGACCAGACCAAGATCCAAGAGCCGGGCACACACACCGAGAGGACGGCACAGATCCAAAAGTGCGAACGATCGCTCTCAAGGCGATGGCAAGGGACAGCAAGCACAGCCGCCCAATGCCTACTACGGCAAAGGACACGGCAAAATCCCGATGCCACCATTGCCGCCGCCTACAACGCCTTGGACGGGGTACAACATGCAGAACATGCCAGGGATGCATTTTCCACAGCAGATGCCCCACATGCAGCCAGCGACACCTCAAGCAATGGCAGCGGCTCCACCTGCACAAGGGCCGCAACAGCCATTGGCGCCCCTTGCCCCAGTGCTACATCCTTCCATGCCTCCACAAATCAGTGTGGAAACAGCTCAGAAGGAGTTCATCGAGATGGCAAAGGCGCGACAGATGGAATTGCCCCCAGACATGAGACAACGAGTACAGAGAATGTCCAAGTCCGAAGGGGCGCAAGCTACAAAGGAACTTCACACGGCAGTGAGGACTTTGGGATTTGCAAGGAAAGATGTGGAAGAAGCGCTACAAGCCCGTTGCAATCTGATCACGTCATGGAAACATTTTCTGGCAGATGCAGTGCAACAATGGCAAGGCTACACAACGCTCTTCCAACAACAAGAACAAGAACTTCAGGCACGCATTCAGCAAGCTCATGCGGTCTTTGCTACAGCCAAAGAACAAGCAGAACAATCCCAAGCCGAAGCTGGGAAGATCAGTACCATCGAGATTGTCGACGACGAGGAGGAGTTGAAGGGAGAACAAGCATCAGTGGAGAAAACGTCAGGACAGATCCAAGAGGGCCTGACCCATCTCACAGCTTCACTACAACAACTTCAAGCCAGTGCGGAGGCGATCGAAACGATGGAGAAGGCCGCCAAACGACCAAGAACCTCCGAGAATGCAGCCAACGACGAAGCTATGGAGGCAAAAGGAGACTTCACCTCGGATGGAGCCAAGCCGCCTTTTGTCTCGCCCGGTTGTGCATGACATTTTCGTATGACAACCTTGGGCTATGCAGGCATTGGGACAGTTCCACCCCAGCCATTATCATGAAGTGGAACAACCGTGCAGTGTGCAATGAAGCATTTGTCTCTGAATGGCAAGCGATAGAAAGTGCTCTTCGACTTAGCCGAGAATTTCTCATGCCACTGTCGATCGCCACAACATGGTCCAACTCTGCTAGTTCCCAGTGCAGAGATGCGGCCTTTCATCAACTTGAACATCCTACGACCAAAACCAGCCGGCGGAGCTCCCTGCGTGTGGGTTTTGCAGAGGACCTGGAGCTGTGGATTGGCATAGAGGATAGCATGAAGATGTACAAGTTGAATGTTCCGATTGAAGTGGGTGCAACTCGAACCACTCCGTGGAGCTGCCCCAACACACCCTTTTCAGAAGATGCCCATCGTGATCAACGCTTTGTTGCACATTCTTCCTCTGATGGGCACATCAACATCCAACGTTTGTCCTCAAGACCCACATGGGCGAGTGGAATTGAGGCCATCTTGAATGAAGAAGGTCAGGTTGATGAGAGCGAGGAGGACATGGTTGTCTATTTGACATCATATTTCATTAGTCACCGTGACCTTCACCGTCATGCTGAACCGCGAATTCTTAGATTTGATCGAGAGGTTGAAGAATGGGAAAGAGAAGTGAGGTTCATGTGGGAGGATCTCGTGGATCATGATGCTGCCATTGACGTAGTGATCGTGCGGCCAGACCCGCCACGAGTAGTGTATCCAGGCACAGCTGCGACAGTCATTGTACACCAACATTTTCGACATGATCGAGCAGCATGCCTGATCTCAACCGCACACATCATGGACCCCACCACAAGATTCTCGGTGAGTGCGCATTCCACTGAGACCCATCTACTACCTCATCAAGTTCGACAAATAGCAGAAGTAGATCAACTCTGTCGAGAACGTGCCCGACAAGGAGCAGGCCAATGTGATGTCTAAATTGGACACCATGTCCAGCCAGAAGCACAAGCGATTGCGATCTTCCACGGTCTGGCCTTACACATCCGTGTGCCTTCACTCCTCTCTGAAGAAGAAATCGAACAGAACTTGATCAGAAGAATTCAACAACGAAGAAGAGAAAGAACCGGAAACGAGTGGGATCCGGCTGATGACGAACCTGCTCCTGAAGCTCAACACCCACCACATGATGCAGACAGAACAAACAGGAGAGAAGGAGAACCAGAAGATGCCATCTCATTCATGGCCCGAAATGCAGCACAAGGGAGAAGAGCGTCATCGGTGGCACCCTCGCCTTCGACATCAATGTCATCGCCATCGTCATTTATCCAGGAGGATATTCGACGCACAGTCATCTTCACGCTGGATGGCCGAGCATTTCCTGCATCTTTGTCCTGGAATGACCTGGAAGACCAACATGCAACAGTGGCCAGACTTGGAGGCTTCCATGAAGGACATATAGCTCAACTATGGCAAGTGACGCATCGACCTCATGATCTGATTCGTCTCAATCTTCAATGCAAGATTGTACAACTACGAACAGAACCAAGACCAACCAGCTTCATGAAGATCATTCTGATTGACATTGACATCTACTCCACGCAGAGTCTCCAACCATTTGCCATGAGACGACAGGCGCGATGGATGCCACGAGTCATCAACAGGAGATCAGTCTTCAGACTCCTCAGTCTTGATGAGCAGTTCCAGGAACAAGAAGAACATTGCTACTTGTGGCACAACCATGACGCAATTGCAGCCTCCCAAACCGAACCACTCCGACTTGAAGATGGTGACTACATCCAGATCCACATTGGCGAGAAGATCTCCTCCTTGAGCTGCGATTCTGCGTCCAGAGAAGCCAGTAATGGTACCGGCAATGAAAGCTGGAATCCTCCAGATGCACAAGATGAAGATGAACACATTGAGCTCTTCCAGCGCAGTATTGCCCAACTACCTAAAGTATGGCAAACTCTTCAGCAGCAGCTGCAGCAGACCCAACTCAAGGTGGCGCCTGAACATGTACGAGCCACGCAACATCTCTCCACTTCAAGCAGAAATACACAACAAGCTCCACGACCTCAGCGATTGATCCATTTCCAACCTGATGATTTGAGGAGATTTGGAAACCTTTTCAGAGTTCAAGCAATCACTGAGTGTGAAGAAGAGGGACCCATCGCCTATCTAGAGACCTGGCTGATCCACCATCAAACCAGACGATCATGTGACAGACCAAGGTCGGTTCGGATTAGAGCTGATTCCACGTCTTGGCCTGACGATATCGTGGAGCCATGGGAAGAGGATCTCGACCCTGCGCTGGATGTGGTCATACATTTGGTACAGCCGCAACCCCCTTGTACCAATATGGAGTGCGTTTTGGCCCATCATTGAACAATCACATCGTCGAGAACATACCATTGGATTGATCTCCATTGTACGACAAGGCCATCGACAGATGAGAATCAGACACGCGGCCTACTCTCTGCCTGAACTGCTGAGCAGAAACTATGTCCTGCGTATCAGTGAGGTGTACCAAGAATGCCAAAGTCATCCTCTCCATTGCAGAGTGCAGCAGGGCATGATTCCATTTGGGCTCTTCGACATCGAGGAGATACCCAGAGCAGTTGGAATTGTTGTTGAATTGCCCAATGTTGCAGAGCCACAGCCCATACCAGATGATGGCACTGAGCTTATGCAGCGCACCACCACCAGATGGCAGAGACGTGCACAACCACAACAAGAGAGCTCGGACGCATCCAGCACCGGAGGAAGCTGTGAAGGATTCAGTTTCAATCCGAATGCTCCAAGTTTCGTTCCTCAACCAGATCTGAACTCAGTCCCAGAAGCAATTGAAGAGCTTCACCAACATTGGCAACAAACCGCATATGCATGGGAAGGCGAATCAGCTTCAACAATGGTGATGACATGGTTCGTGGATCAATTCCACCCAGGATATCGTGTTTGCCTTCAACCAAGGCCGGTCAGGCTCTTCGAAGATTTTACCCAATGGGAAGTTCAACTGAGGAACGTGTGGCGAGACAGATCACTGCAAGGTGCGCCCATTATGATTCATGTTGTTGAGCCGCCACCACCACAAGTGCACCCAGATATTGCGACTCACGTGCTCTTGGTCCAAAACCCCCAAGACACCATGTCGACGATTGTGCTTACTGGGGTGGACAGCACCACTGCACGCAGTCTACTATTCACGCAAATGGCAGTGACCATGCAAGAAAACTTTGTGCTAGATCAACTACTCATGCTGATTGGCCTTGGACATCAATGTTTATCGCCTGGCACGCAGTATTTCTGCATGGCCTGGTACGGCAACACAGCCATCCCGATCGGAACACCGTTCCCTATTCGAGATGGCTATGGAATCATTCTACGAGTGGGATTCCGACCCGTACAACCTGTACCTGCTGATGCAAACGCACTTCTTCAAACCGCTCTACGTGGTGAGAAGCGCCATGAGAATTCGGCAGAACGTCGATCTGGCACCTGCGAGCGCCTAACAGCTGCTACGGTGGCTCACGAGCAGCGGCCGCAGGAAGCCACAGAAGGGATACACAGGAGCCCTCACCAATGCCTATTAGCATTGAGACCCTTGTCCCTGCACAGCACCAGCAGGTCGCAATCACCCTCTGGCATGAACATCCAGAAGCAACGCAACCGCCATTTGTGGTAGTGAATACCGATGCACAAGAACAGGAAGTTTCTGAGGCGCTTGATGAGTGGAACATCACTGGCCCTTACATATTTCAACCGAATCACCAGATTGCAGTGATTCTAGATCCTGCACAACATGAACATCTTTGGATTTACCTGCCTGAGGATCCAACTCAGAGAACTGACAAGATCCTTCTCCGCTCCAAAGATAAGATGACGACTCACCAACACATGAGATTCCTTTACAAACATGGATTCCATAAAGCCGTCATTGTCAAGACCGAAGAATCACACTCAGCAGCCACCACGATCTTCTTCAGGAATGTCCATGCTCTTCCACCAGTGCAGGAGAACAAGAAAAAAGAACGCACAGACTGGCCCACACAGCAGCAACCTCAACGGAACCACCGACCGATCTTCGATGGCAGCCAAGTCGAAGACAGAGTTCCATCAACCATGCTGGCAGTGGGGATCACTATACCAGAGCTTCAACAATTTTTCAACCCTGCAAATCATCCACTACATAGAGATCTGAGTGGCTTTGAAATACCTGAAATTTGCCAACAACTCATTGAAGATTGCGTGATGCACCAACGCATTGACCGTTTGCTCATCTATGCGGATGGATCATCACAGAGCAAGTACAAACGTAAGCCTCCGCTTTGGATCGAAGAACACGACATCAGCGATTCCTGGTGCTTTGCAGTCTTCGGCGAGAACTATGACTCGGACAAGCTCATGTTCATTGGCTTCCAATGCCAACAAGTATTGTACAATGAAGCCGCGCCCCATCATTTGGGAACGGCCCATATTGGCGCAGACGCTGCAGAGTGCGAAGCAATGTGCTGGGCTGCACTGTGGCGACTAGCACAGAATCACCGCATTCCCACTGTCTTCTTGACTGATTCTCAGCTCACTCGAGGACAGGCCAATGGAGATACTGGAGCCAGTACGACCAGCATTCCCTTTTGCACTCTGCGTGGCCTCTTCCAAGCACTTCAAGCTGTGTTGCCTGGAGATCAGCTGAAGATCCAACACGTCATGGGACATGCGGGGGATGCTGGCAACGAGTTTGTCGACTTCTTTGCCAAGATTGAAGCAATACACAGTCTGCACCTGCCAAGGCAGACATTCGATTCTGGCCGATGGCTCAAAGTCATTCCATATCTTTGGATGCTATTGCACCAAGCAGCTGATCTACCTCCACTGACGACCCAGGGATTTGACATCAGTGCCCCAGAATTACCTGCACTCGATGGACAACTTCTACAACCAGCCAAATCAAAGCAAGCTCCACCTGCCAGACTACAACAAGTTAGCCTCAGTTTGTGCAGCGCCAATGTTCGATCTCTCTACACCAAACCGCATGGTCATGCCGGCAAATTAGATTTTTTGCGCGGCCAAATGAAGCAACTGAAGCTCAATGTGGTTGGGATCCAAGAGGCTCGATCACACGCTGGCCAAAGTGCAGCTGAACAAGTGCTACGTATTTCAGGAGGAGATCAACAAGGACAACTTGGAGTGGAACTATGGGTCAACCTGACACAACCATATGCATATCAAGGACGCACCCCAGTTTTCTTCCAGAGAATGGACTTTGTTGTTGTGGAAGCCACACCAAGAACCCTTCTGGTTCTACATGACCATCCGAGCCATCGCTTCTGGTTTCTCGTTGCGCATGGGCCACAAAGTGGACGTCCACAAGAAGAACGAGAGGAATGGTGGATGCATCTCACCACACTGCTCTTTCAGCATGTTCAATCAGACAAGATATTTATCTTGATCGATGCCAACGCTGCGACTGGACCACGAGATGATATCCACATTTTTCAACATGATGATCGCACCTCAGTCAACACCAAGTACTTCACGGAGTTCTTACGTGAGATGGACATGGCTGTACCTTCCACAGGTGCTCGACATGAAGGCCCTCATCACACCTGGACTAGCCCGATTGACGCAGAACAGTACCGGCTAGATTACGTTCTTCTACGAACAGATATGGTGGGTGACTGCGTCCATTCTCAAACAGTCCCGGAATTTGACCTTGGTAATTATGGAGACCATATCGCGGTTGCGATTCAAGTGCAATGGAATGCAGCCTGCTCTCAACTTTCTCGACATCACTGCCAAAGTGAGCGAGGACCTGGAGTCCAAAGATCGTCCATTACATATCAGAAGATGCACGATGCTCTCACGGACTACCAGCCTTTGCCCTGGGCACAAGATATTGAGACGCAGGTCAACCACATGAACCAATTTGTGCACAGCAGATTACGCAAACATTGCAGCAGACAGGAGGCCGCACCGAAGAAGCAATGTCTATCTGGAGAAGTTTGGACGCTTCGATCCCAACGGATCCGAACCAAGAAGACTTTGGTGGAAGTACAACAGCGTCTGCGTGCAGAGCTTCTATTCAAAGCCTTGTCTAGCTGGCGCAATCATGCGGAGACCCCTGATGCCGACATAGCCAGCTACATGACCACGTTGCTTTGTGGAAAGCTACGCATTGTGGCATGTCTACATCGACTGGACAGAACATTGCGTCATGCACTGCAACAAGCCAAAGGCCGTGCATTGGACGAACAGCTCAGACAAATGCCACATGACGCAGCAGCGTCTACAGTTCTGCATGAGATCAAACAGATCATCGGCACCACCAACTTCAAGAAAAAGAAGAGTACTCCGCTACCACTGATCAATAGAACCGATGGCACACCATGCAGATCGATTCAAGAAGTTCAAGACAGGTGGATACATTTCTTCCAGTTCATGGAGTGCGGCGAACGTTTGGATGTTCATGCACTACGTCAAAAATGGATTGCGAACCTCTCCACATTCAGACGCAGTGATGTTCATCTATGCCTACAAGACCTCCCCAGCCTCACAGACCTGGAGCAAGCTTTCCGGAATGTGAAAGCAAACAAGGCTACAGGGGATGATGGTATTCCATCGGAAATTTGCCACGCATGCCCAGCTGCGATGGCAAGGATCACCTACACCCAACTGATGAAGCTTTGTGCCCACGGCCAAGAGGCCCTCCTCCACAAAGGAGGCAAACTGGTCACCGCCTTCAAACACAAAGGATCTTCTAGGGATCCATCTTCATACAGATCACTGATGATTTCGTCTCACATTGCCAAAACATTGCATCGCAGTTTGAGATCACACCAGGCAGATTACTATGAAGGATTCATGCAACAGCAGCAAGTCGGGGGCCGCCGGAAAGTTCCGGTACAACTGGGCACACACATGGTGCGAGCGCATCTCCGCATTCAAGCTGCACACGGCCGATCAGCAGCAGTCCTGTTTTTGGACTTACAGGAAGCATTCTATCGAGTTCTACGACCTCTACTAAGACCACAAAATGCAAATATTTGCACTTTAGGCACTTAATGAATTTATAAGTATACTATAAGTTACTATTATCCTTCTAATATCTTGTTCAAATTGTTTTTTCAAAAATATTTTGTTATAAGTTCCACTAAATTTTTAGGTGAACTTATAACATAATAAGGAAAATATAAGCAAATATAGTAGAATATTAGTCAAAAATAAGCCAAAATAAGCGAAAATAAGTGATAAGAAGTGAAATTTGATTTTTATGTGTGTTTGATAGATTCACAGGAATGTTGATTTTCGACGGAACAATATTGTCTCAGAGCACTACTTTTCTGAAGAAACCTTCCTGAACAGGAATATGCTGCTAAAGAACAATTCTCTGAAGGCGCCTATTTGGAAAATAAAATGGTAGGAAAAAAAAATGTAGGGACAATTTCTCTGCAGGATACTTCCTGAAAAGGAAAAAAATTGTAGGGAATAGTTCTCTGCAGGATACTTCCTGGAAAGGAAAAATTTTGTAGGGAATAGTTCTCTGCAGGATACTTCCCAATAGACTGGCTAAGACAAAAATTTGTCTAATAGTTAGATTTTTAAAATTTGTCTAATAGACAAATTTTAAAAATTTGTCTAATAGACAAATTTTTGCTCGACAAATTTGTCTAAGACACGAGTCTTAGACAAATAAATTTGTCTAAGTCAGATTTTTTGCCCACCCTCCACGAGGAAGTTTCGAGGAAATTTCCTTGAAACTTCCTCGTGTGTTTTGTGAAACTGCCTTCAAACTACCTCATGTTTTAAAGGGAAACTTCCTCACTGGTTTGGTGATTTTTGGGGAAACTGCCTCACTATTTCTCTTACTTTTTGATACTTTTTGCACACCCTCCACAAAATGATGGAAAAATGATAAGGTAGTTTGGAGGCAGTTTGGGAGGCAGTTTGGAGGCAGTTTGAAGAAAATCTGAGGCAGTTTCAATTTGTCTAAGACAAAAAAAATTGTCTAAGACAAATATTTTTTGCCTAAGACAACTTTTTTTTTGGCTAAGACAAATTTTCAAAATTTGTCTTAGACAAAAAAAAGTTGTCTTAGACAAAAAAAAATCTACCTAACAGTCAGATTTCTACAGAATAGGGATTAGACAAATTTTTGTCTTAGCCAGTCTATTGGGTTCCTGGAAAGGAAAAAAAATGTAGGGAATAGTTCTCTGCAGGATACTTCGTGGAAAGGAAAAATTGTGTAGGGAATAGTTCTCTGCAGGATACTTCCTGGAAAGGAAAAATTTTGTAGGGAATAGTTCTCTGCAGGATACTTCCTGGAAAGGAAAATAATTGTAGGGAATAGTTCTCTGCAGGATACTTCCTGGAAAGGAAAAACATTGTAGGGAATAGTTCTCTGCAGGATACTTCCTGGAAAGGAAAAAAATTGTAGGGAATAGTTCTCTGCAGGATACTTCCAGGAAAGGAAAAATTGAGTAGGGAATAGTTCTCTGCAGGATACTTCCTGGAAAGGAAAAAAATTGTAGGGAATAGTTCTCTGCAGGATACTTCCTGGAAAGGAAAAATTTTGTAGGGAATAGTTCTCTGCAGGATACTTCCTGGAAAGGAAAAATTGTGTAGGGAATAGTTCTCTGCAGGATACTTCCTGGAAAGGAAAAAAATTGTAGGGAATAGTTCTCTGCAGGATACTTCCTGGAACAGGAAAAATTTTGTAGGGAATAGTTCTCTGCAGGATACTTCCTGGAAAGGAAAGTTTATAGAATTCAGAAAATTCAGAAAATTCAAAAAATTCAGAAAATTCAGAAAACTCAGAAATTTCAGAAAATTCAGAAAACTCAGAAATTTCAGAAATTTCAGAAAATTCAGAAAATTCAGAAATTTCAGAAATTTCAGAAAAATCAGAAAATTCAGAAAATTCAGAAAAGAAAATTCAGAAAACTCAGAAAATTCAGAAACCCAGAAAATTCAGAAAATTCAGAAATTTCAGAAACCCAGAAAATTCAGAAAATTCAGAATTTACAATTTAAATTAAAAGGAAAACAATTCAGAAAATTCAGAAAATTCAGAAAATTCAGAAATTTCAGAAAATTCAGAAAATTCAGAAAATTCAGAAAATTCAGAAATTTCAGAAAATTCAGGAAATTCAGAAAATTCAGAAAATTCAGAAAATTCAAAAAATTCAGAAAATTCAGAAAATTCAGAAAATTCAGAAAATTCAGAAAATTCAGAAAATTCAAAAAATTCAAAAAATTCAAAAAATTCAGAGAATTCAGAAAATATTTATAGAGAAAAAAAGGATAAGTAAATATACAAAGTATTTATAATACCAAGTATGTAGCAAATCATAATAATCTCAGCAAAAATTGAGAAAAAACCGTATGAACAAAGTACGCGAAATCAAAAGAAAGTAAATTGTAGAACAATATGAACAATAAAACAAAAATAGCAATTATAGAAAATACATTTTCAAAACAAAAAGCAAGCCAGCTAGCTTTAAAACTTTTACCAACAAAAAAAATATAATAGAATATTTTCCAAATCAGGTATCCATCTTCATCCCTGAATTATGTAGTTTGGAAGTAGTAACCGAAGCCTCATGTTGTGAAAGATCTCATTCTGGGCAGTCGTATACAATTGAAGAAGACACATCAAAAGAGCAATTGTTCTTTCCAAGAAGCATCCTTTATATGTTTTTTTCCTTTTGCCTCTGAATGATTTCTCCACAGATGTACTTCAAGATTCTTTGTGTCACTCGCAGCCGCGCATATTCCTGTAGAAGAACCATTTCCTGTAGAAGATAATTCCTGAAAAGGATTGTTCCTGAAAATGAAATCAATCTGAATAGAAAGATTCCTGTTAAGGATAGTTCCTGAAAAGGATTCATTCTGAATAAAAAATTCCTGAAAAGGATAAGTCCTGAAAAGGATAATTCCTGAAAAGGGTGATTTCTAAAAGGATGATGCCTGAAAAGAATGAAAAAAACAATGAAAAAAAGGCAAGAAAAAATATTCCAAAGGAAACAAAAAGGTCGACAACTATTTTCAAAAAATATATAACAGAAAAATGCATCGTCTATAATCAATTCTGATCATCAAAAAAACATTGAAAAATAAGTGAAAATAAGTAAAAATAGAGAAAAACACTTCTATAATAAGTTCATATAACTACTAATATCTTCATTAAGTGCCTAAAGTGAAAATATCTTCATTTTGTGGTCTTAGTAGCCCTTGGCGACACAATGACAGATGAAGCCATTGGCGCGATGATGCAGAGGCTGCGTCTACCACCTTCGGCCATGACCGAGCTTGCAAGACTACTCGACCTTCCTGGTGCTACAGAACAAGCTGGCCTTCCCCAGCATCTGCGCCTGGCCATGTGCGCCATCCACACGGATACTCACTTCCATGTGGAGGGCCAGACTGATCGAGTACGTACACAAGCCGGCTCCAGGCCAGGCGACCCGTTCGCCGACGTGGTCTTTGGATACTTGTTCTCAAGAATCCTTGGTGTGGTAGAACAAAGGCTCATCCAGGAGCAGCTCCTAGACCAGATCCCAGAGTACAAATCTGGCATTAGCCTTGTGAGGGAGCCCGAACAAGCAGCCCCAGAGAGACCGATGCTCGGTCCCACGTGGATGGACGACCTGGCGATCTGTATCTCAGGCCCCTCGGCCATTGACCTTGAACGCAAGGCGGCACTCACAGCCGGGATCCTTCTTGAGACCTGCATGGAACATGGTGTTACTCCCAACCTCACGCGAGGTAAGACAGAGCTCCTTTTAGCCCTCAGAGGGAAAGGCTCCAGGAATAGCCGCAGAGCGCACTTCAGTGAGCGTCAAGGTCGACAGATGCAAATCGTCCATGAGCACGGCACTGATTCGATTGCAGTAGTAGGATCCTATGTCCATCTAGGCGGCAAAGCACACCATTCTGGAGAGAACAAGGTCGAGGCTCGTCGACGAGTGAGTATAGCCAATGAGGCGTTCAACCACCACAGGCGACAACTCTTCCAAAACTCCCAGATCAGTCTGCAGCGTCGCAGAGAGCTCTTTGACACGCTGGTCATGAGCAAACTTTGTTTTGGCATGGAGTCCTGGACTTTCAGAGATCAACAACTGGTTAATTACATTCATGGTGCGATCATCCGACTTGACAAGCGGTTGATCAAGGTCCCGGCCAACCACCACATGGATGACTATGAAGTCCTTGCCACCTGCAGATTGCCATCACCCAAGACACTCTTCCGGAGGGCTCGCCTGCGGTACCTGCTCACGCTGTTCAACTGCGAAGAAGCAGTGCCATGGGGATTGTTCCAACAAGACCAAACTTGGTGCAACATGCTGAAGGATGACTTGCACTGGATGTGGCAACAGCTGAGCAATACGTGCACCCTGCGCAACCCGGCTGACCATCCTGAGGAGTGGTTTTATATCACACGATTTCACAAGAAGTATTGGAAGACCCTGGTCCACAGAGCCACCACGCTGGATATTATGAAGAACAGCGACAACTGGCAGCTCCGACAGATCCACTTCCATGTCTTCGACCATTTGCAATCGGTTGGAGAACTCAACAGTCCTCCGCCACGACCGGAAGTCACGCCGGCCAAAGGCATGTATGGATGCATTGCGTGCGGCAAGAAATGTCGCACACTGGCGGGAGAAGCAGCACACATGTTTCGCTGTCATGGGAAAGTTGCAGAATTTCGACGATTCAGTGACACCACATCGTGTCCAGCATGCTTGCGGGAGTACCACACTGTCGACCGCCTACATGCGCATCTACGACATGGACGGCGATGCCAAGCACAATTGAGGGGCATGAAGATGCACAGACCCATCACTCCAGGCATTGGTTCGCAACACAACACTGTTTTGAAACAACGACATGATGGTCTATTGCCCTATCAGCCAGCTGCCGGACCTCCCCCAAGACCTATGCCGCTGATCGATGCACAACATCATGACCTTGAAGCGTATGAGAAGATTGCTCTGGAATGTTTCGAGCAGGGCTGCCATGGTAGAGATCATCTCCGCGGACAGTTGTTTGCCATTGTCCAAGGACTTGAGATTTCCTGGACGTCACTGACTCGGACAGTGGAGCAGCTCATCCATGACTTCACGGATGAAAACTGTGAGCTCGCACAGCTCCCCAAATCAGATATCCATCATCTTCTGGGAAGCCTCCGCGATCCGACACATTGGCCATTTGTGACCAACAATGCCGGAGATCCTGAACCTGGACATCGCGTCGAGCCCCTTGAGACGTATGAGGTATGGAGCGAACGCTTAGCACAAGATTTCTCGCAACAGCCTTGGCGCCCTGATCAAGAACAACCCCATCGACCCTTTGCAGAGCGCATCATCCTTCATGCCTATTCAGGGAGAAGGCGTCATGGGGATGTACAATGGTTTCTCGAAGAGTGCGCTGCGCAACATCCTGATGTGATCATGCACGTTATTTCATTGGACATTGTCATCAACTCGCACTATGGCGACATTGGACGAGAGGAAGTACGTGCAAGATGGTACACAGGTATGCGGCAAGGATATGTGGCTGGATTCTTGAGCGGACCCCCATGTTGCACATGGTCCAAGGCCAGGGGGAAACAACTGAAGGGGAAATCCTCCAAGGGCCCAAGAGTTCTTAGGGATTCGAACCATCTGTGGGGTTTTGACTCAGTTTCCATTAAAGAGATGTTGCAATTGATGGATGGCACCAATTGCTGGGCTTTAGCGTCATTGCCATGACCATCCTGGCCACGACTGGGGGAGCCGCCATTCTGGAACACCCAGCAGAGCCAGAAGAGCAGGAGCTGGCATCGATTTGGCGCCTTCCACTACTTCAGCTGCTGAGTAGACTGCCCGGCATGCAGCACCTCAACATGGCACAAGGCCTGCTAGGCGCGCCCAGCCCGAAACCGACGGGCCTTCTAGTTTTGAATTTACCATCGCTACCCAGCTGGCTGGTTCGTTGGGCTGTCTGTCCGGATCTGCCCAAAGGACGCAGTATCGGAACCGACGAGACAGGAGTGTACAGAACTGCTGAGCTCAAGGAATATCCGCCAGCAATGTGTGCAGCGATGGCACATGCATTTACTGATGCCACACTGACAGCAATCCATGCGGTGCCGGAACAGCATGTAGAGCACGTACCGCAGGACTTTTTGGATCTCTGCCAAACCATGGTTAGTCATGACTTTGGTGTTGAGTACGGCCCGGATTGCGTGCAGTGAATGGCGAACATAGAATTCAAGATGCAGTGCCGCAGCGTCGAACGCTACTCTATGCAGTTGTGAAAAAAATATGAGGATAGAACCTGCCATTGATTTCCCATGATATCCAGTTATGAACCACTATTAACCACCATTAACCACTATAAATGAGGATAGAACTGGATTTTCTTGGTTGAACCAACAAAAAATAAGCTTTGATGACGGGGATAAAAAAAACACTGTCAATGGAGATTTCACTGAGAAATTCATGACGGGATATGATGGGCTGTAATACTAGGAGCATCGATTCATATGCATACGGTGGATGGTTGCGAAATCCGGTGGTTTATCCCATTATTTATAGGGTTTCAGGTGGTAAACATTTTAAACATCCCATGATTTTGTTGGGGTTTCAACATCTTTCAACCATCCGGTTGGTGATGCAAATCGGATTTCGCCATATGCCATCCACAGTATGCCTGGCTGAATTGTCATATCATTCTGCTGGCGTCGCCGGGGACGGTCGTTGCAATTCTGGTTGGTGGTTGAGCCAGAAAAACCCCTCTGAAAAATGATGGAGTGAGCGAAAGTCAGTTGGGAATTTCATGATTCATGAAATTCCCAACTGGTTCAGGAAATTCATAATCCATGAAAATGTTCCAGTCACCAACCAGTGTATATATGGAAAATCACCATGCTATTAATGGGTAAATCAAGGAACTTTCTATTAATGGTAATGTTTAACTGTTAATGGCTAACATATGGAAAATCCCTTATAAATGGATGTTTCTAGCTGGGAAAATCATCTATTTTTATAAGCCATTTTCCATGGCTATGTTAAATAACCAGAGGGTAGTTCAAAAGTCCTCATCCAATAGGGTGGTGATTTAGACCTTAGACCAGTACATTCAGTCAACGAAACAATGTAGAAAACTCCTGGTTTGCCAAGGAAGCATAGCCCACACATGATCGATTTTCCATATATCAACATTGATTTACGGAAATCAATTGGGACCATCATCACACTCAAGGATTGAAATCAACCCTATGTGAACACCACCAATCAGCCATTTTTTGTGGGACATTTGCATCATACTTCCCAAATTGGAACTCATTGTGTTTGGCTTGTAGTCAGGTCGATGCGAGTTCCCTACAATCAACCATGTTTTCTCCACTAAATAACGCACAAGGTGGTGCCCCAGTTTGTTAGCTAAGTTGGTGCAAACAACTCCAATAACTATGGTTTATGGCAGATATATTATATCTATACTTATTATGGTTTGCCACCTTGCAGTTGTACACGGAACATTTCTAGTTCTATGGCTGATACATGTCCCATGGTCAACTTACATGGTTTCTGGAGGTAATCCATCCTTTTTTGGGGAAGACAAACATGGTATCCTCTCCATCACTAAGGGATTCTTTATAGATAATTGGTACATTGAGCCTTATGAATCGTGGCTCTCTCCACTTCTAAATTAGTCTATAATCCCCCGAAAAACTATCTACCAAACACCATAGCTACTGGAGAGATATCTGCACCAACTTAGACATCATAAATTATTTCAATCAGCTGTGATTCCATCTAGATCAACCATAAAGCCGAGTTCACCAAGCTATTTGCACCATTTTGCATCTCGTTATCAAATATGTTATCATGATTATCATGGTCCCGGAGGCTAAAACACACGTTTTTTGTTTTCTAAGGGAAACACGAAACATGGATAATATATGAATATATAAATAAATATATATATATATAGATATAGATTCAAATCAAGTCACATGGAGGATGAATTGGATGAATCATAGGTGGGAAACCCAATCCGATTGATTCAACTGGGATTGACATGGGATGAGCAGCGGAAACCTCTGGGCGTTTCCAACGCTGGGCGGAAAAATGCCCTGGTTCCGAGGTCCAGTGACCTGGCGGAGGCGGAAAAGCGCTGGTTCCTTCGCCACGGTTGGTTTGCCCCTGGTGATTTAACAGTTCGCTATGGAAAATGGTGGTTGAATGGTGGTTGAACGGGACTTAATGGTGGTCATTGATGTTGATTTAATGGTGCTTTAATGTTTTTTTGATGTTCAAGGGGATTACCTTCTGGTAAACTAACAGTTCGCTATGGAAAATCTCCATCTTTCATAGGTAATTCAACTATTTGTATGGGCAATTTTCAATAGCTATGTAACAAATTACCAGAGGGTAACTCCAATCTCACCAGGGTTTATGGCGAATATAAAATGATATAACTACACTTAAAGGATGTTAAAGGGGATTTTAACAAAATATACACCAACTTATAACTGGGGGCCTCCATCCTGCATTTGATCAGTGTTCAAAACCCGCAACGTCATCCCTCAACATACTGGCTGGTTAAGAACGGATTTCGCTCGTGGATTGTGATAATCCCCAATATATTGGGTTGTATAAGCCCATATAGTAGTCAACCAAAAAGGGATTTGAACATTCCTCATTTACCCTCCAGTAAATGGGTTGCACTAGGGCACCTTATGGGACATGATCTACAGAAGGTGGATTTTCCATATCTATGTCTCTGGAGAGTAACCTACATGGAATCCGATCGTTTTTCAGAGCTTCAAGGAGTCCGGGGAACACCCCCAAGCGTAGCCAAAACTATGTAGGACCCTCACAACTGTTACCATACCCATATGTTACCCTCTGGTAATTTAACAGTTTGCTTGAAAATGACCATTGAAATAGTGGATTTTCCCATTAAAAATTGTGATTTTCCATAGCTATGTTAAATTACCAGAGTGTACCATACTATGCGGAAGACCATCCCATCTTTCGAATCGTGTTTGTTTTTCCATGTTTTCGGCAGTGAACAGTTTGTAAGCGTACCCTTGGCTATGGACTTACATGCATCGTCAAACAAATCATTGTAAATCTTGCGTCCATTTTTTAAGGTGGCACCTGGTTCCACTGTCATATTCTCAGCTTCCTCGTCTGAAGAGTCTGACACGCTTGGCCACAATATGCCGATATCTTGCCATACCAGTATGATGGGGACCTCTTGTTCTTTCAAAGCTCAAGCACGATGGTTTCGCCGTGAAATTTACCCTCTGGTAAACTAACATAGCTATGGACAATTCATCATTTATAGTGAATTTTCCCATTAAACATGGTGATTTTCCATAGTTATGTAAACGTTTACTAGAGGGTAGTTTCAAGGAAGCCCTCTTGACTTTGATGGTGTGTGTTCTCTCAAAAGTTCAGGCATCTACCTGGATGAAAGGCATTGAAAGGCCATGTTCGGACAGTTACCCCAATCCAATTCCCACTCCGGTGAGGTCGCAACATCAATTATCCAAATACATTACCAATATATACCAATATCATGTATTCTGAGTTACACACAGTATCCCACGATCCCATGATATCATATTAGATATCATATTAGATACCCCCACATATTAGTGGTGTCAAGGCATCAAACGTTCGAGCTCCGGACACATTTCACGTAGTTGGAAGCCACCTGATCATGAAGAAATCGGTCAGATTTCATGGGGAAAATTTTAGGGAGATCAGCCTTACAAAAACGGGGGATGTTATGATGTTTAGATGGATATCTATGATGATCTTTGTACATATGTATCCCTATGGATCCAGCATGATCCAGCCGTACCTTATCAGAAAGTACGACTGGGGTATGATGACTAGGGAGTTAAGTACCTTCTCAGACAGTGTTTGGATCCATAGGGTATGTACATATATTGTCATTGTGTAGACCTACATTTCGTGCAAATATATAGATGCATATATACATATCCACAGTACATGCTGCCATAGATCTACGTATGTATATAGGAACACAGTACAGTAAATGTATATGGCACCTACATGATACCTATATTGGATGGAATATTTGCCGTGTGATGCGGTCGTCCCAATTTCAGCTAGAATTTAACAAAACCATGGATTTTGTGATACTCTGAGATTCAGAGTATCACAAAATCCATTGTTTTGTCGAACAATTAGACTCTAGGCGGAATTCTCAAATACTTTGATGACCATCTAATGTGGTTAAAGCAATAATAAACCATCCATCCCCCGAATCACCATAAATAGGTGGTATAACCCACAACCAAATGGGTAGTTTATTATTGTTTTAACCACATTAATCAAAATGATTCTTTATGATCCCAAATCTGGGCTTGAGTCACTTGGCTCATCCCGGAAGATCTTCACCTCGGTCACGGTGCAGCTGTATTCGTTGAAGGTCACGGTCACGGGAGCCTTGGTCAAGTTCGCTGCAGCTGTTGACCGTCTAACATGATAAACACCAACAGAAATGATCAAACAAGGGGACTTTACCCTCTGGTTATTTAACATAGCCATGGAAAATGACCCATAGAAATAGATTATTTCCACATTAAAACCTCCATTTATTTACGGGATTTTCCATATGTTAAATAACCAGATGGTACCAGAAAAACCTGTGAATGGAATGTCAATGGTCTCAACAAAAGCAGGGGGGATTATGGTGGATTTCACACCCATGTCTCATCAGCAAACAACTGGGATTTCAATGGACATCAATGGACATCAACTGTGATGATGGACTGGTCCGTCCCTACAACGCGTTTGTGATGGTGTTTTTGTTTATGTGTTAAATACATGTTGAAGTAAGTTCTTCAAGTTTCGTAAGTTCTTGAAGTTCATAAGCGGCTGTCATGGATGTACAAACTCACTACAAATCCCAGCTACTATGGCTACTTGTAGTTTTCAAAGACATACATACCATCTGGTTATTTAACATAGCCATGGAAAATCACCATTTTTCAGTTCGGTAAATCATCTATTTCGATTAGGGCCATCTATACCATGGCGAACTGTTAGTCATAACCAGAGGACCAGAGGGCAAATCGAAACAAAAAAAAAACATTTCCATACTTAAAAAATATACTCGCTGGATCTTGAATATATCCAGCCCCAATCTGGAGCTTTCGGTATGTTTGATCAAATCACCACAGATTGGCTGCTATAAACAACTTTAATTTAACAGCCAATCTATGGTGATTTGATGTAAGTAGCTGGTTGGTGGTATGTATATAGCAGCTATATAATTAAATTAAATTAAATCACCATGGTGATTTAACAGCCAATCTATGTTTTCGACGAACAATCCCCTTGTCTGTATGTTTTTCGCTGGTTGGTGGCTTCAACCCACCTACCCCTCTGAAAAAATAAAAATTCGTCAGTTGGGATGACATCCCATATATGAAATGGAAAATACCACCAATCATATATATATATATATATATATAACCACTATTATAACCACTATTAACCACTATTGACCACTATTAACCACTAACCAGATAACTATAGTCGGATGATGTTAGATGTACATCACATGAAAGGGTGCCTTTATAGCGGTCCAAGGATAAAGGCTTCATCCATTTGGACTGATGAGTGGCTTCAACCCATCCCAAACATATCAGTTTCAATCGCTAATATCATCCGGGGTAAAGCATGGAACATGAAAAAACGTATGTAAAATGGTCTGGTTATCTATCCCATAATGGCAATCCAAACATCATGGGTGTAAAAGTATGTAAATGGGTTGATGACCATCCGCTTTGATGTTTTTTTTCCATGGCACATGTGAAACCACCAGCCACTTGAGAAACCAAAGTCCGACAAACCACACCCCTTTATTGCCAGTGAAGAACACAATCAAACAACAGCCGATTTCGGCTCTCATCGCAGTGCCACCTGGTGATCTACATCCAAAATAAACAGTTCTTCTGTGAAACATGGTTGTTTGACCCCTCACTTCCACCACAAGCGATTCAGTCGAGAAATAGGGCATTCCCAAAATCAAGCTGATCATCATTTGTTTCAATCAAACCTGCCATCATCATTGAATCTACGGGTTCGTCTAAAAATGTTGGTAACCCAAAAATCTCAAGCTGAGCTGATCATCATTTGTTCTCCATTAAAATTGCCATATTGCAGTGTTTTCGTGCCATGGTCAAAACATGGTTAATATGGGTTATGGTATGTTATGGTCATCCATCTCATATTGCGAATCCAAACATCATATGGGTATATAAATAACTCCGAACATGGATTTATGCTCATCGCACAAAACTAAGCAAAAATTTCCTAATTTTCCCAATTTTCCCTATTAAAATTATCCCAAAAATAAGCAAAATGGGTAAAAAAACAGCTAGATCCCAATGTTCATCGATTTTCCCATTAAAAATCCATTGCATCGAACTGAAGTATTCCTATGTTTTTTCGTTGTTTTGCACCGTTTATGGCACCATGTGGCATGCCTTGTATCCAGCGTCCCTTCTATCTCTGGTAATCCAACCACGTAGTGGCTGCGAATTTTCATGGGAACTAGCCATCAAAAAGTCGGGGATTTATTGGGGTTAAACATGGTTTTTTTCTATCAAAGATATGGGGATGTAGTTGATCATGATGGCATATATGGGATTATTATGATTATTATGATTATTACTATGATTATTACTATTATGATATGGTTATTAAACTATCATTGCTTGTTTGATGACTACTGTAAAAAAGGGATTATTATGATTATACTACGCTTTATATATTGGGGATTATCACAATGAACTGGGAAATCCGTGCTTAAGCAACAGAGGTCCAACATCATGAGAAAAGCCATGGTGGTAGAAGTGTCCGTATTGCTATGCGCACGAAGAAGAGAAATGCGTTGATTCATAAACTACACCGATAGAATGCTACCAAACCACACCTAAAATCTGTATATACATTGTAAAATTCTACAATGACAAAATATCAATTCTAGAATCTAGACTCTAGGAACTATAGAAAACATATTACCGTACCCGCCGTACCCCATTGTTGCAGAACAACAACCGACCCCAGTTTGGCGCTGCTGAATTGCCACGATACGAGGCCGGTGCCGGCCACTTTGGACGGCACACTCTCTGACTTCGCAGGTGATCAGGTTACTTGACGTCCACCGGTTGTTCAACCAAAACAATGTGATTTGACCATCACTTAAATAGTGAGATCACCGACATTCACCGAGCAAAAAAAACATGATTTTACATGATTGTAGGTGATTCACAGTTTGCCACTTACTATATCTTACTATCGTCATTGCCAATATCAGATACCCGGCAAGCCGACTGGCAGCCAGAAATGCTCTATCATCCTACCAGGTACCATCCTACCACAGGGCTTATTCCCCATGCCCATACGCATTTTAGGTATTTTTTTGGAATTCAAACACCATCCAAGATGGTATTAGAGCACTAGGGTGTTTCTGTACCATCCATATATATATATAATAGCCAAACTTAGCTTTGTATATCCCCATCGAAACTGATGTTTTACCTGAATGTAACTGATGGGGATATGTGCGCACTAACCAGTACTCAACTATGGATACTAAATGATACTAATGGGTTCCCTGGTGATCCCCCAAAGCTGATAAGAAACTGGTCTCATCAAAATATCAACTGCTTGGTGGTTTCAACCTACCCCTCTGAAAAATGATGGACGAATCGTCAATGGGGTTGGGATGACATCCATTTTTTATGAATTCAATGGAAAATAAAACATGTATAAAAGTCATGTTCCAAAGCACCATCAAAATATCAACAGATGAGTATTAAACTCCCCTTAGTCGTAGGATGTCACTGAAAATTCCACCTTTCCAACCCATGGCAGGCAGCCATATCCATGATTGAAATGTCCATTGTTCGATGCGTTAAACGGTGTTAAATATGCTTAAATCATGTGAGATGCCCCAAACTGGCATAAAAGAAAGATGACTTTAATGATGATAGCATTCTCATCCAAATTTTCACGCTTAAATCGTAATAAAAAAAAGGCCCGTTAAACGTGTCAAAAACACTGTTTATGTTTACTTACGACCTCTTTTCTGACTAGTTTTTCTTGTTCCAAATCCACTTTGAAACTATTTTCAAATCCAAATCCCTTCACATCCCCTACTGTGGAAGAAATCCTGCACCGGTTGAAAGATGGTTTATCCCATTATAGGGTTTCCACCATCCAAGGTGCAGGAATTCGCAACCATCCACAGTATCATTACTCATAGTTACCAATTAGTAATACGGGTAAACTGGTAAACGATTTCCCATATATTTCCCATAAACCCCAAGTAACCAAGGTATGTTCTTATATATGTCCCATATATTTTCCATATATGTCCCTTAACATCCCCTACGTTCCTCCCATTTTTGAGCCATGTGAAATCACAACCGGTCGTCAGGCGATGCAGCAGTTGGCATCCTGCACCTCGGCCGCACTGACGCTGGCGACGGCGCCTTGGCCGCCGAATTGGCCCACGGCCTTCAGGCGCCCGGGGTTGTTCATCTGCGCCGAGTAGCTGTAGCCTGCACGGCAGCAGCACGGCAACGGCAGCGGTGAAGCCGGTGAAGCCAAAAAAAGGGAAAAGAAAAGGGGGAAAGCCACTCTAAAACCATGGGAACATCGCAAATTGGCACGTTTCCTTAAGTTGATGATTAGAACTAGATTCCCTATGGTTGATAACCTGGGCCACGGAAGCGAAAGGAAGTCATTGGGGCGAAAACACGGTGGGTGAACGGGTGAACCATGGAAAATATATAGGAAAACCATGGGAGAATATGAGAAGCTGAGGGAAGAAGTTGATGGATGTCAGCGTTGGTGAAGAGTTCACTTCGTTCACTGGGTTGATTAGGGGGATACAACTATAAGGCACTCCGCCGTGTAGCGAAAGGAACTGGGTGAACTGTTGGCTGAACTCGGTCGTTTACAGTTTGGGAACCGCAAAGGTCCGAAGCGGTACAGTAGAAAATAATGAGGATCGAAGGGATAGTTGGAGTTGGTTGATGAAATAAGCCATCTATCACTGGTTGGTGGTTTTAACCGTCTTGAAAAATATGAAAGTCAATGGGGATGATTATTCCCAATATATGGAAAAAAAACATGTTCCAAACCACCAACCAGAAAAAAAAAAATATATATATACAGTTTTAAGCTACAGGTATCTAAAAGGCGGTACAAATTGTGGCTGGTAACCTGCAAATGAGTATGGTGCTTCTCAGTTGGCTAAACGGCTAGATGCTTGTTTGTTTATGATTACACATCTAAGTACAACAATATGGATTTAATCCGATTTAACCATTGAACATGGCTATGATGGGCTTAGCTTTGGCTATAGCACGGGAATTTACTGTAATTGTTGGAATGTCCCCAATGGTTAGCAATAGACGGCTCGGATGCTATTTGTTGATGGGCAGCAAATGGGAGACGAGACCATGGACTTCAGAATTGTAAAAAAAAACGCCCAGATGTCGAGATATATCATGGGTATGGGTCAAAATTCAAACCTCAACCACAAGTTTTAGTCGAATTTTAATGACCATCCAAGTACTGGTGTACCCAATTTTGATACCCAATGATATCCATATATCTGACCAGTTAGAAGTAGGGGATTGGATCTGTTTTGCGGTGGCGTTCTTACTGATCTCACAACGGGGCGGAAGAGTTGGGGAGGGGTGATGGAGGCTGGAACCCCTGCAGCCAGTTGGCTCTGGGATGTGCACAGCACCCACCCATACCCATAGTCCAGGTTGCATCAATAGTTACAAGGTGGTGCCCCAGTTGTAAGTTGGTTTATAAGCCCATAAACTATAGATATATCACCAACAAAAACCATAGTTAAATTGGACTTATAAACTAACTTAGCGCTCACGAACTGGGGCACAACCTTGTACCCATTGAATTACATTTATGACGAAACACCTTCAACTTCACAACTTCAAAAGAAAATGAGGTTGCTGGATCCTGAAGTAGCCCGTTGACCTACCACCCACTGCCATGGCTTTCCACAGTACATATCCCACTTGGTTATTGCTGGTCTCACTTCCATTAACAGCTTATGAACCAAACCTATGTGTTCTACCAATCCTACCAATATAAACACATTCTTGAATAAACCCGCAGATTAGATGCGTTTTTGTGGGTTACCCTCTGGTAATCAAACGTGGCTTCCTGGAACATGGCCCATTTATAGATTATTCTTCAATTAAGACCTCCAATTATAGAGGATTTCCCATTGCTGTGTTTGATTATCAACGGGTAATTCCCATCAAATCCTCTTCAATATCATGATATATCCACACTAACCATTACTAACCTTTATTCCCTATGGATCCAGCCGTACCTTCTCAGGAAGTACGACTGGGACTAGGGGGTGTCTTGTGCCTTCCCAGGCAGTGTTTGGATCCAGAGGGATATATATCTATTATCTATAGTCAGATATACTTATCTATGCATCTATATAATATATTATCTAATATAGTTTATATGATCTATAGATATCTTTAGTATTCATGGGGATAAAATAAACCAACAAACAACCATCAACCGGAGGCTTTTCGTGGGCCTTGTAGGTCCAGGGACAAATCCTCCAAGCCCGTGAGAGGGTTCGGGATCCTGAGAGTGAGGCCCTAAAAATAGCCCGGCGTTTGATAGCTGCCCGTAAGGAAACCCTATAGGAAACCATAGGAAACTGTAGGTTTAATGGAATTTATAGCTGATTTATGATAGCTAAGTTGGTTTACAATTTCACTATGTATGGGTTATATACTGTATCTAGATAGTTACTTCTATGGGGTTATCCATTCCATAAATGGAGTGTTAAAACTGACTATATACTGGTATTTTGGGCCATAACTGTGCAACTGATGTTGTATACATATATCTTTTGAATGGGTTGTAAGCCAACTACAGCTCTTAAGGGCTTAATTGCAAAGAGACGACATCTTTTTTTGCGAGCTGAAACATGGGGATATACCCCCGAAAATGGTGGACACATGATGCTAGATGACGAGGCCCCCAAACGATCGATAAGTTGAGGCACAGTTCACTTCGTTAACCATGGTTTATAGGGAGGATATAACGAACTAGTCAATGGGTCTTATGAACCAACTTAAAACTCGGGAGCCTCACCTTGTAATCATGCAAGCACAGTCGCGAATATGACCCATGGTTGAGATGCAAAGGAATTTTACCCTGCAAGACATATGATGTTGACATGATTTAGCAATCCAGAATATGATCACAGAAGTCACTGCGTATGGAAATGTGATGGAGATATAATGGGATAGTACCTGGTATATATAATTATCTATAAACAATTACAATGATATTTAAAATTATGTATATATATATATAATTATGTATATATATAATTATGTATATAATTATAATTATATATAATTATAATTATAATTAACTATATATATATTATATATATAGAGTTATATAATGTTATATAGGTATAAATATGCATCTGCACAAGCCAACTCACTAACCCATATCCGTTACAAATGTTTCAAATGGGAATGCAACCAACAAAATGGTGATTTACGGGAATCGAACCAATGATGATGCGTAACTGGTTAGTGTTTGTGGGGTTGCAATCTACCTATTTCACTTCGAGATTTTAGAGTGGCAATCCACCTATTCTTGTTGGCAAGCACGCTGATGCGTCCGTGACAAAAGCTCCAAACCGCCCAATATCATCCAATCTCCATGGCCAAGCAGAACAAAACAAACTAAACTGCAAAACTCCGCCAATGAGTCTGTTTCTCGAGTTGCATACTCTCCCAGCACCGTTGACTATCATATCGTGTGCGGGGGAAACTCCCGGTACTTCACACATGGCTCTTCCTGATTGGCTCTTCCTAGGGTGAAGTTCGGGGAAAATACTAAATCACTTTCAGCATGTTCTCCCCGTAAACTTAAGCCAAGAATTGGGATTTACCCACTAAATTTAAATATAGAAAAACCCCGGAAATTCATTGGTCAACCATTCACTATTATCCCGATTAAATTGGCCATCTGAGGCGTATACATGCGTATACGAACGTTCAGAGAATTCGATATATCGTAGAGTTGGCAACATCGTATCCCATGTATCAATGATCCCCATTAAATCCCATTAAATCCCATTAAATCCCTCTTGTTGATGGTTAAATCCCATGAAATCCTGACGTAACTATTCTGGGTGGTGGTTGAGCCCTAGCCCTCTGAAAAATATTTGTGTTCGTCAGTTGGGGATTATGAAATTCCCACCTGAATGGAAATTCATAATCCAGCCATGTTCCAAAGCACCAAGCAGGTGATATTCTATCCCCATTCTTTGTGAGGTAACTCCACATTATGTCCCACTAGATCCCAGTAAATTTCACCTAGTAACAGCGCCACCTATTCGGATCGACAGGTCATCCAGGTGAATTGATCCCCATTTCTCATGAAATCCAGACAGGTTCAACATCTTCTCCCAGTTGGTGTCTAAACCCACAATGTGAGGCCCCCTTTCGATAGCTAAGTTGGTGCAAATAACTCCAATAACTATGGTTTATGGTACGCAAATAACGAACTAGTTACTGGGGCGAATCTAAACCAACTTATAACTGGTGGGCCTCACATTGCATGAAGTATAGTCATATCCCACATAAACCCAGCAGTTATTTTGGTGAACACAAAATATCAAAAACCCCACTTGGCAAAGCACGTGGCACCACCGGCACCGCCTTGTGCCGAGAATCTTCCCGATATTTGGCAAGTTCGGCAGGTGCACATTGGGCATGCCCGGCAGCTGCAGGTTCGGCATGCCCGGCAGCTGCAGGTTGGGCATGCCCGGCAGGCCAGGTAAGCCGGGCCCGGGGCCGATGCCGAAGCCAGATAAGTCCCTGGGGAAAATGGTGGACATCCAGGATGGGGCCCCAGTCGAGTTCGCGTTCATTTCCCAAACAAAAATGGCTGAATTCTTTGGTTTATGGTCGAATATGGTAGATATAACGAACTAGTTAATGGCAATGGGGTCTAGAAAGCAACTTATAACTGGGGGGCACCATCCTGTGTGGCTTGAGTACATTCAAACACTGGGGATTTGACCACGATAGATGACAGATGGGAGTTATGTCACTTGGGGCGGTTATAACAAGGAGAATGGAGCTTCTTTGCTTGAAAACGACAAACAAACGGAAGTCTCCTGTGGTTACAGGGATCGTACCAGCAAGAACGAGAATGAATGTTACAAGACGTATCGAGATTGATTGTTTGCAGATAAGTGCAGTTGGTAAATGGTAAACAATGCTGCGGCCCTTGACAGTTTTACCGGACTTATAACCTCTACATAAATGATATAAGATTGTTTAAACCTCTTAAGCATGAAAAAGGATCTTTTTGGTCTGGAGAAATGCCCCACACTTCAAGTTCCATCTTCTTGTCATATTCTGTGATGTGACGTCTCTGAGTGAGGTAATGAAGACTGCCATATGCCTGCTGAGCCAATGGAAGTCTCTTAAATCATTCTCGAAGTGCCTTTCTATGTTCCCAAGGCATCAACGTCCTGGGGCAAAAGTGTGTCATAGCGAAAACGATCTGCGTTCTGCGATCTGCGATCTGTGGAGGACTGTAAAGTGTCATGAACTGAAGGTTCATCCTGGTCTTGGTTTCTATGTACATTTCGGTGTGTTTATCTTGGCAATTCGAAGCATTGTATGTATTCATTGTGTCCAGGTGGGAACAACTCCCATCAATGGATGGTTGGAAATCACAGAGATATATTGTGGATTATCTAATGATAGGTACCTTGCAAAGAAATGCTAGGTATGATATATAGTATATATATATACTATATATTATATATATACCATATATATATATGCACTATATATATATATTGTTTTTTTCATCCACTTGTTCCTAAAAAATCTGAAATATCACCATTCACCACTCAGCTTACTCGTGTAAAGGAACAAGTCAATCACGTGAAATCAGCTCGTGGTGGTGGTGTATCTACCAACCAGACAAAGATGGAAAATATGTGAAAATCAAAATCAATAGTGGTCAAAATTACCACAACCATCACCATCACCATCATCATCACCAGCACCAATGCACCCATTTGCGTGTAAATCGTGGCCAATCTGCCAGATACCCTATACCCTGCAAAAAATGAATGAATCGTAGCTGGTGAACGGAGATAATTGTCATTGATACTAAGGGACTATGTTGGATTAGCTAAACTAGCCATCTAAGATTGACCTAGATACCCCATCATTAAACCATCATTAAACCATCATTAAACCACTTTAACCCATCATTTTTACCCATCTTTCAGATTGCCCTGTGGAAATATATCATACATGTCGTCCACATTGTATATTACTCCTGGGTATGAGACACACACGGGACCCAATCCGTTGGGGGTTCAGTTCCGTGGCTTAAATTATGTTAAATCCCATGATGAAATGCGCATGAAACTAAGCCCAACTGCAACAAGCTTAGAACATCTTAAAGCCTATCTGAATTGGTTAACTTAGAATATAGATATATATATATATATATAACCCAGTAAAGCACGTAATCTTCTCATGATATACCCTTTACAATGAATTAAAATCACTGCCGGGTCGCAACTGGGCATTGGCCATGGGTTTTCCACGACCTTCTGCTTCATCGAACATCCTGCGCTGCGAAAACTCGGTTTTTCCTATAAGATGTGTACAATGTGGTGCCCCCGCTTTGCTAATTTGTTTTAGTTCAGTAGGTGAGCTAGGATGTATGTCAGACATTTTTTTATTTTTTTCGATGGTATTGATATGTATTGATAAAGCAGCTGAAGGGGGCACAACGTGGTGTATATGTCATCCATCATCCCCGAGAATCTTTTTTGAAAATCCCATGGGGTTCTATCTACTTCAGGATGATTATACCGTATATACCCCTAAAGAGAGACAAGGCAATTGAGCACTATCGGAGTGGACTTGACTTTTCTATCCTTTTGGGGTATATATATATATATATGATGTACATAAGTCAGAGAAAACATGTGCAGAAGAAAAAACAAATGGTAAATGGGATATTCTGCAAAAAGGTAGTGGAAACATAAGAAACAATTGGATGGTTTATGCCCAAAAATGTTTCAACAGGGTGAGACCCCTCAGTTTTCAAAATTTGTTTACAACCCATAAGCCAGTTCGTTATATTCCCCATTGTGCGTCAACATCGCTATCGTAAATCATGGCCACTCTTAGATAGCCTGCAAAAAAATATATTCTTAGCTGGTGAATGTAGATAATCCCATACCAAAAGACTATTTTGGATGAGTGAAACTACCCATCTTTCAGATTGCAGTATTTTACTCATCCTTTGTTGTTTTTTTCCTGTCATTTGGTCATTTGTATATACGTACGGTACCAAGTTTGAAATGGTGGGACTCCTTGGATAAAAGTGGGCCATCACTTACACGTAGATCAACGGAACCAATGGGAAAATCATCGCCGACACAGAAAATCATCAACAGTACTCAGGTACTTCAATTAAGACCTCCAATTATTGCTGTGTTTGATTATCAAACGTGGCTTCCTGGAACATGGCCCATTTATAGATTATTCTTCAATTAAGACCTCCAATTATAGAGGATTTCCCATTGCTGTGTTTGATTATCAAAGGGTAATTCCGGGTAATTCCCATGAAATCCTCTTCAATATCATGATATATCCATACTAACCATTACTAACCATTATTCGCTATGGATCCAGCCGTACCTTAGGAAGTACGACTGAGCTATGATTAAGTTTTTGTTTTTTGTACCTTCTCAGACAGTGGCCATGGATCCATAGGGATTGACATTGACCCAACCCCACAGCCCCAGCCGAGAATCTGCGGCAGTTTTTCGCTCAGTGCATCTACTCGTTGAAAGCCACATAGGGAGTATGGAATGGCATTCCTGGGGGACAGCTGATGACTGTGGCCAGTAGAAAAACACCAGAATGGGCCATTCTGAAATTCCGGTGCTATGAAAAAGTGACCCCTAAGAAAGGAAAAGCAGTTTATCATTATGTTAGCAGGATTCTATACTTTCCTATCTTTTGGTGGATACAAAAAAACATCTCTAAACTATTGTGGCCCATCGATCAATCTTCGATCCCAATTGAACCATGAAGTTGGAACATCCACATTGCGGGACTATCACGACTCAAATACCCTGCAAACAAAACAACTACTATGCATGATAAATGCCCAGTTGAAGGCCAATATTCAAGCCATCAACCTACCCTATAGGGTTTACCACATTGAGACGAGTGAGGTATTTCGCCACGTTTATAGCTAGGTCTGCTTTTCCAAGCTGGCCCAGATATAAATAGCCATCACAGAGTAGGGTACATAATCCACCATTAACTACAAGGTTGCGCCCCCCAGTTATAAGTTGGTTTATAAACCATAGTATAAGTATAGATATATCTACCATAAACCCTAGTTATTGGAGTTACAAACCAACTTAGCTAACTATGGGGCACCACCTTGTGTGGATATGAGCACCGCAAACCCAACAGAGATTTTATTTTTTTGAGCCAACTTAGCGATTCCGAACTGAGGCACCACCGCCAATGTATCTGATCTAATTTTCACATCCCAAAAAATGTTGTCACTTACCCCAGGGTAAACATAGATGTGGAAAGCCAATGGTTTCCCGTTCGGATATCTTATAGACATTCATGGTTGATTTTCCACATCGCACCGCGACAGTTTACCCTCTAGGGTGACTTCACCCCATCCATCACATCTTAGTTATATTGGACTTGTTTCACCCAACTTGGCTCACGGTTTGGAGCTTAACGTTCATTTGCATCCCCCCCAAACAAGAAGAGCGCCAACAGCAACAACAACAGCAACAACAGCAGCAACAACAACAACCACAGCAGCAACAACAACAACAACAAAAAACATCAACACCTACACCTGTCACTCTCCCCCCCCCATCCAGAAAACTGTTTCCGGCTCAGCGGCAAGGGCATCGATGGGTTCACCGAAATCCAGGAGCGATGTTGTGTGATGGGCTTCATCACCAAAGGCCGCGTGGAGTAGCAGCGGAAGATCATCCGATGGCAGGTGTACTTGGCCTGAGGGAACAAGCAGCATATTGGAGCTTTCCTGGGAAAAACATGGGTATATCGGTATGTATATATAATTACATATATATATATACATATAAATATATATATATATATACATATATACATATATGTATATATATATACATAAATATATACACATACTTGGGATTGACCTAGTCAATTGGCCATACCGTGCAATAATTATGTTCTTTACTCATCTTTATTCATGGCCAATCTGCCAGATACCCTGAAAGACAGATTCTTAGCCTGTGAACTTAGATAACCCCATACCAAACGACTATTTTGGATTGGTTTCTATCCATCTAAAACTGAATATATGACTATATATGTATATTTGTATACACACACACACCACAACTTTTCGGTGCACTTCAAACACATGCGACGCGCCAATGTCCACCTTGTTTTGCTAATTTTCTTGGCCAAAACATGTTCAAAACCAACTTTGTTCCTGCAATGTTCCCAACATTTTCCTGCTGATTGGTGCATTCCCAACATTCCCACCATGGTGTCTTGCTGTATTTTCCCAACCCTATTTTCCAAAATATTTTCCTAATCTGTTCCTCATATTTTTCCTATCTTGCCCTAGAACTCCCTTTCAATCTTTCAAAAATCCCCCAAATTTGGGGGACTTTCAGCGGATCGCCGAAGCGCTGGAATGGACACCATGGCCAGATATTTTCCAGGCCTCATCACCTGGCAGAAATCGGGCGAAATATTGGATATTGTAGGGAGATCTCCAGATAATCACAAGGTGGTGCCCCAGTTCGTGACCGCTAAGTTGACTTATAACTTGGTTCGGGTTTATAAGCCAACTTATCACTAGGGGGTACCACCTTGCATGTATGATCATGTCTGTATCTGGGTGGGTTATCATATTTTGCGAAACTGAAAGGTGAATGCCTCAAGTCAAGATGATTCCTCGAATTTGATCATCATTCCAGTGAGGTCGCGACGTGTGGTCGTTATACTTTGCCCAGAACAATATAAGGTGATGCCCCCGTTCTATAGCGAAATTTGTTGATAACTCTGACTCACCAAGGTTGATTAGGTTGATAATCATATCGGTGGATATAAACTAACTAATTATAGCAACACCCAAACAGATGCAAAGTGTTTCCAGGATGTTAGTGCGATGATATTAACTTCATATTTCCAGCTTTCTCACTGTTCTATTGTTCTCGGGGTTGCTGTATGATAATATAATCTGATCCCCCTAATCTGAAACCATGCTGGAAGCAGGGGGTAAATCAACATATTCAATAATATGGTATGGCAATTGTAGTTAGGGTTCGTTAATGAACTATATTTGTGATAAATTCACGTATTCAATATGGAAATAGGAGATAAATCATCATGATATCATACGCTGATTATATAATTATGTAATTATGTAATTATATAATTATATAATTATGTAATTATATAATCATATAATCATATAATTATGTAATTTTATATTATATATACATATATATATATATATATACGGGATCATCACCATCATCACCATGGCTTCATTGAACGTCATTTGGCTCGTCAACGATTGAACTATAGAGACGCCCTTACCGCAACGCATCGCGCAACGCGCAACGCACCTTGACGCTGAGACTGGCATCCCTGGTGTGGCCCCAGGCAGACATGTGCACCATATAGACCTCGCCCCCACCGGCATCACTCACGTCCTTGCTGCACCTCAGTGATGTGAGTGATGTGGAGCTCCTGAGTGATCTTTTAGAAATAAAAAATTGTGATTCAAAATTTAAACCATGAAAAAAAACAACACAGGAAAACCGAGGGAAATGTAGGAAAATGCTGATTTAAACCAACACAAATGGCTTTCGGATGTGTTCGTATGTTTTTATAGTTGATGTATGATAGCTAAGTCGATTTGTAACTAGGCTCACTGGTAGTTATATTACGAAACCATAGATCGGTAAACAAAGCCACAAACATAAGTAGGGGGCACCATCTGGTGCCAAAATTCGATTGCTACCCGCACGCATAGTGGCATTTTGGCGGCATTTTGGGCACATTTCGGTCAACAATGCGCACAAAAAAAACAAATGAAACAACAAACATAAAGTCAAACATGAGAGTCTCATGGCACTGAAACTTGATTTTATATTAGGGAGTTCAACAGTAAAAAAAATCTGTGAAAAATCTGTGAAAAGTCTATTTTACTAGTTTCAAATCTTAATGTTGGCCTCCTATATGTGTTGTTTTTCTTCTTTTAAACTCCCTATTTTTTTCTGATCATTGTGCCCGTCATGCTGATCAAATCCTCCAGATGTCAAGCTTCATCAATCACCGGTTGAACCAATCTTTCAACGATTGAACCACTAGACATTGCCATAGAAATAGTTGATTTACCCTTTAAACATGGTGATTTTCCATAGTTACTTAGAATATTAGTATAATACATTATGTTTGCTGCTAGCAAATCATGATTTTGACTTGGCTGAATCAGTTTTCTGGGTTTTCTATGGCCAATTTAGTGTAGAAACTTTGCATCATGGAACCCTGCTTCGCATCCGCACCCGTCCCGCGTTGTGGAGTGGATCTTCCATGAAAAGAAAACATAACCGACTAAACAAACCTAGGTTCTGATATCTGATATCTATATAGAATAATGTACCACAGTTATTGGAGTTGTAAACGCACCAACTTAGCGATTTCAAACGGGGGGCCCACTTTTTGTACCAGCCACTTATGGTTTACGATCGCTTTGCCAACATTATCATGGCCAATCTTACATACCCTGCAAAAAAACAAGACCCTTAGCTGGTGAAAGTAGATAATCCCATACCAAACGACTATTTTGGTTTCTGCCCATCTAAGAATTGCCCTAGTTACTAACATTGTCTTCACCATTGTTGGGACGCAGGTGCAACCCAGCCACTGAAAGAAGCGCAACAGCAACGGCGCTTGCATGGGGCGTGATAGCCTGGCAGCTGGCTTCTACGGAAGGTGAACATCTCAGCTATGCTGAGGTTCTAATATGTTTATTGTCGTATTTAATGATCCCCAAAATGCAAGAATGGCATTGATCCTTGAAATTACTATATGCACCGATGTTAATTCAAATACGGTGTTAATGGCATTTAACTTATAACCATCAATTATAGCGGGACTATATTGTTCATACCTTCCATGTTTGGTAGAATTAGGGACAAAAATTGTTGGTTTTACCATCTGATAATCTCTCAATTTGCCATGGTTAATATTCATGTCTAATGTGTCAATCATCGGGAAATGGCAAAAACGGTGATTTTATCCTCAACAAATTTGGGTTTTTATCCCTCAAAAAAAACACACACACCAAGAAACAGGTTCACTTCGAAGAAGGGCACGGCGGGGAAGCCCTTGAAAAACATGCGTTCAGCCAGCCCAAACAAATCTCATGGGGTTGGTTTAAATACTGTGTAAATATATATATATATATATATACAAATCTATATGATGTTGGTGAATGTTGGTATAATTATATATATATATACACACATAAGGGTGGGCCCCCAAAATAGCTAAGCCAACTTATAACTGGCTAAAAAAATATGGTTTATGGATGTAGCCTGGTAGATGTAGCTAGAGCTCATGGGGTTATACACCAACAAAAATAACTACAGGATGGGGCCCACCAGTTATAAGTTGGTTTATAAACCATTAAATAACCCTCATTAACTATGGTCATATCTACCATAAACCATAGAATTCAGCCACTTACAAGGCAACTGAACGCTATATCGACTGGGGGCCCCATCCTGTATGTATGTAGTCAAAACGTACCCTCTGGTAAACTAACATAACTATAGAAAATGGCCTATTTATAGTTGAATTACCTATTTATAGTTTAACTAACAAACCATAACGTTTGGGGGGTACCACCTTGCATGGTAAGTAAAACCCGTCGATTTTCCCAGCCCCTTGCGACTCGGGGGTCTCGTGCGCATCGCCGTAGCGCAGGTCTGTTTGGGTGACCTCGGTGAAGATTTTTGGGATTCACCAGGGAATGACCATGGACTGGTTGGTGGTTGAGCCCTACCCCTCTGAAAAATGTATAGTTTATGAGGATTATACACCATAAACCCAAGTTACCCTCTGGTAAAATAACATAGCTATTGAAAATGGCCCAGTCGAAATAGTTGATTTACCCATTAAAAATGGTGAAACCACCAACCAGATAGGGAATGATCATGGAATATACCATCTGGTAAATATTTGAATTTTACCCATTAATAGCTGGATGATTTTCCATAGTTATGTTGATTCACCTTAAATAGCCGGTGGTGCAATAACCATCTTGAAAAATACGTTTGTCAATGGGAAAGATGACATCCCATAAATTATGGACAATAAAAAATGAAACCACCAGCCAGATAGGGGATGATCATGGAATATACCAAGGGATAATCAACGATGATAGTTATATCGTGACTATTGATTAGTGATGATTGATGATTATTGGTTGCTGATGATTGTTGATAATGTTTGTTAGTGGCCATCAGGGAATTACAAGGTGGTGTTCCATAGTTAGGTTGTATATATATATATATATATATGTTGGTTTGTTTAAAACTCTAATTTCACTTGAGAGTTTGTTTCGAAGATACTAATCAAACTATTTTTCATGGGGTTATAAATGCCAACTTATAACTGGGGGGGCACCACCTTGTATGTTATGTCCTCTTAATGTTTTATTTTCTAAATAATCCCTGGTTTCAGAGTTTAAGGGAACATTTACAGGAAACCCCTAGATTCCTAGCGTTCATGGTAAAACGCTATGGTTTCCTCTAGATTTTCCCTTAAACCAACCCATTGAAATTAAACAATATTCATTCTTGATTGAGATGATAAACTAAACCATCTTCAATGCCTTTCCATAAGGTGATCCAGTACAGTGATACAGTAAATGATCTTAAATCATCTTAAATATTCTTAAATACCTTTGAACTTAGATTTGCTGATTTGGGGGCTCCCAAACAATAACACATATTCCCTCTAGATTGTCATTGTAGATTCCCAGATTATCTGTTTTTCAAGCACATGTTGTTTCCTTTGATGGAGACAGGCAACCATGCATCTAAGAGATCATTATATATATATATAGTATAAATATAGTGTATATATATATATTCTTGTCTTTTATTACCTGCACGAATTTTGTTTTTCGATAAGTTGACAGATACCACTGACCGAAGGAAGTTTAGAAGTCAAACTTCCGACAATATGGACAGATAAAAAACAGAGATGGGAAGAGTCAGAGAAGAGAAGAGAAGAGAAGAGAAGAAGAAAGAAAATCAAAAAAGAGAAAGCCTCAGAAGAAAGAAGATCCAGGTGCGCGAAAAGGTAGGAAAGTCGCAAAACAGTGTGTTTTTCGAATGATTTGTGGCTCCAGAGGGTCGAAAAGCGGCGGGTGCGGAGCCAGCTGGCCAGATGAGAGGTGAAAACTTGCACCCCGTTGTGGCGCGAAGCACATTTCCAAGCCAAAAGTGTAAAAAAAAATGACAGGTTCGGAGCATTTTTTGCAGCTGCGCTGTCGAAAAGTGCACGCCGTTGTGGCGCAAAGCACATTTTGAAGTCAAAATGTACAAAGCACACCAGGTTTAGACCACTTTTGGAAGTTGAGATGTCGAAAAAGTGCACGCCGTTGTGGCGCGAAGCACATTTCGAAGTAAACATGTTAAAAACACAACATGCACGGACCTCTTTTTGACGTTCAGATGTCGTTTCGCGTGGCAGGCGCAAGGGATTGTGCACCGCGTCGAAAGTTCGCAAGACGTGAGGGTTTTGTAGCATTTCCAAAAACGATGGCAGGCGTGGGACATTTGAAGAGGATCTGCAAAGATGCATTTTCCGTGGCAGGCGCAACACAAGAGATCTTCATCGGAGCTGTTAGGAGGTCCGGGCGCTGATTTCCTGAGAAGGGTTGCATTTTGGAGCCTCAGATCTTCAGGTTTGATGAGATACGTGACGGGTGCAGCACTTCGTACGACCTGGCATCACTTTTTCGTAAACAGGCGCAGTAGTTTAGACAGATGGAGTGGAAAAATCGCAAAACGCATTGGCACGAGGCCGTCAGCTCGGCACTCAACTTTCCATTTTTAAAGGACGTCTCCCAGAATTGCTTCGTTTTTGATGTTGTCAACTTAAACAAATGAGGAAGTCTCGCTGAATTGCTGCGTTTTTCACGTTGTCAAGTTCAAAAATTGAGGAAGTCTCGCTGAATTGCTGCGTTTTTGATGTTGTCAAGTTCAAAAAATGAGGAAGTCTCGCAGAATAGCTTCGTTTTCAATCTTGCAGATAGACAGATAGATAGATAGATAGACAGACAGACAGACAGGCAGATAGATAGATAGATAGATAAATAGATAGATTGATTGATAGATTGATAGATAGATAGAAAGAACGAAAGATAGATAGATAGATAAATAGATAGATAGATAGATAGACAATTACAACTACAACTACCACTACACTACACTACTGCTACAGCTACAAATACCAATATACTACGCTACATTGCACTACACTAATTACATCTAATTCCACTACACTACACGAATTACACTAACAACTACAACAACTACTACTACCACAACTACAACTACAACTACACTACACTAATTACATTGCAGCACGCTACAACTACAAATACAACTACAACCACAGCCACACTACATTACACCACACTACACTACACTGATTACATTGCATTGCGCTACAACTAAAGTTGCAGCTGCAACTGCAGCTACATCTACAACTACCACTACATTACATTACACTACACTACACTACACATACTACACTACACGACACGACACGACACCACACTACACTAATTACACTGCACTACGCTACAACTACAACTGCACTACGTTACACTAGCTTATACAACACACTATACCACACTACACTGCAGAACACTACACGACATTACATTGCATTACACTACACTACCACATCACGACTACAAGTGCAACTGCGCTTGCCAATAAATTAATTACACTACATTACAGCTACAGCTCCACTACACTACACTACAACTACAGCTACAGCTGCAACTACAACTGCACTACACCACACTACATCCAGCAGTTGTGGTAAGGTGACCACCGCAACCATTGCAACCATTCCAAAAAACACAACTCCAACCACCTGTCGGTCCATCAGTGGATTCGCTCTGCCACACAACAACCAACCTCCTATAGGTTTCCTATTTTTGAAACTTCCGCCACCGCCTTGTGCGGTACGACTGGTATCACTGATATGGAGGTTTCCAAAATATGGCTACCCCCAAATCATCTCATGTTGATAGGAATTTCAATTATAAACCCTCCAGTTTGAGGTACCGCACCATTTTTGGCAAGGAAATCGCCATATCACTGGGGTGGTATTCAAAAAACTTCGATGCTTTGTTCTTGCGAACGGCGGCTCGGTACGCCCACAAAAATCCCACATTTTTTTTGCAACAAAATACATGGAATTACACGTTACCAGTTGGTTATCCTTCTACTTCTGTTCCCACTACTCATCGGGCAAAGCCGATTTCAGGGTCGGAATTTCAAGCCAAACACTGCCAGATCTCCAGCACCACTTCGCGACCTCCTGTGACATGGCTTGGAGATATGGAGGCCTCGTCTCAGCATTTTGCGGGCCGCGTTCCACGCCACTGCAGGTAAAGGCCCATTCGCAGCCTGCCCCCGGTGGCATTCGGTCCCACTCCAGGATGACGGCGATTCTTCGCCGCTGCATGAGGAGAAAGCTTTGCTGGAGCTCGATGGCGCGATTGCACAGTGTCTGGCTAAGTGGCTAGGGTGGCTTGGTTCAGTAAGTTCACTTGCTTTTACAGGGTTTTACAGTGGATATGACAGTTTCCTGAAACGGTGGATCCCAGAATCATGGGTTTCAATACTAAAATTCTCAAATTTTGGATGCTTTGGGACTCCCATTTTAGGAAACGTCCATATATTCTATATCTCTACTTAGATGAGGTTATTTATCGCAACACGCGTTTCACTTGGGGACTCGGGAGGCACCACAGCAAGCAGTTCCCTTGGGTCTTGACTGTTCAACCTGCTTGTAGCATCATGGCACAGATTGCAGCTCTGGTGGTGGTAAGTCGCTATTATGCCAAGCCAAGAGAATTACATGTAGATAAAAATAATGTTTTTATTTGTGGGCTGAACGTCCTTTTAGCATGATAAAATATAAAGCATGCGTTTGTTCAATTAAACCATGTCTGAATGCACATTCAACATCGTTCAACCCCAAACCTAGGATTTGTTTATAGTTTTTAAAGGCATTTCAAGTAGCCAAAAATATCCACGAAATAACATGGGTCCCTGTTTGCTTCTGAACCCCCTCCCCATATTTTGGTGGCCAAAAAAACGTCCGGTTTTCGCCAAGGCACTTCCAAGATCAGCTCGTTGGGCGTATCTAAGATCCTGAGCGTCGAAAACTGGAAGCCCAGGATGCCCTTGGGTGCCCCTTCGATCATTGGTTCGATAGGGGGGTTTCCATAGTCATGGGGCTACCCCAACAGCTGGATGGTTTATTTCATGGAAAATCCATGTGGGATGCGTGTTTTTGGGGGGAACCCCCATGACTTTGCACACCAAATTCAGAGCGCATGGGCTTTTTGGGGCCTCTCCACAATGATCACAATGTGGATGTGGGACCCATGAAATCCATAGAAATCCATCATGGGTTCCTTGGATTTGCTGTAAGTTGACCATCGACAACCTGGTTGGTGGTTGACCTACCCCTCTGAAAAATCATGGAGTGAGTGAGTTCGTCAGTTGGAATGATGACAATGATGACATTCCCAATCTGTGGAAAGTCATAATCCAGCCATGTTCCAAACCACCAACCAGCGTATATATGGAAAATCACCATGCTATTAATGGGTAAATCATCGAACTTTCTATATGGTCATGTTTTTCATAGCTCACCAGAGGGTATTGCCATGGGATGAGCAACTAACGCATCCAAAAGAAATACCAGTAGGATTCACCAGTCACAATGGATCGACCATCGAAGCAGCATGGTCGAATCTCGGGGCTCGATATTCCCAAGCCGTGCATGGTTCATGCCCAAACCAGGGACAGGCTTTTTGTAGGAGGCAACATGATGTGTTCTTAAGGATGTGATACTGTACCTTCTAGGAAATGCCAACCAACACTTTCAATCAAGGGAATTGTCTGGTAAGAAAACCACCAACAATGGAGTTTCAAAGGTTCTCAACCACCATGAAGGGCTTATCACATCCTCTGGTTGGTGGTTTCAACCCCTCTGAAAAATATGAAAGTCAGTTGGGATTATGAACTTCCCAACATATGGAAAGTCATAAAAGCCATGTTCCAAACCACCAACCAGGAACGTAACAGGAATCGTTAAAAAAAAACGGCTTTGAACGCGTTGGACAGGCGATTTCCCCTGGTGGAACACTCTGCTTGGTGGTCCATGCCACTTAGTAACTCTGTTGGTTCACCCCAAAGTGGACCCCTCTCATCCCTTTTGTAAACAGGGAAAAAACCTTCCAAAGTCATGGCTGGTTGCTGGTTGAGCCCTACCCCTCTGAAAAATGATGGAGTTCGTCAGTTGGGATGATAACATTCCCAATATATGGAAAGTCATAAAAGCCATGCTCCAAACCACCAAGGCATTCCATGTAGATTCCACAGTTCTATAGGATGTCCCCAGTTGTAGAACTGTGATGAAACCGCCCGCCGCTATTCTTAGTCACTTGGCTTCTGCCTCTGAAGCCAAGCTGCTCCATGAGAAAACTGGGTGATGTCTCTGTGTAAACATCACCTGAGGGGTCAGGGCTCCAGAGGCAGGGACCATCAGGTACCTCAACTGGGGGTTGCTGACACAGAAAAATTCACGTTGGAAAGCGTATAAAATTATGAAATCTAACAAAATTGACAACCCCAACCATGTTTGATACCTGAATGACCTATTAAGGAGACAGCCTGGATTTTCAGGTGTAAACAGCCGCCACAGAGACTATATGCCTCAGGCCACAGTCAAAGTGCCTCTACTTCCCTCTGGTTTGAGGTACAAAATGCTCACTTTACACTTTAAACTGGAAGTCAAACATTGGGAAGTTTTGCCGAATCTGAATGTATGTTGAAAACACCATACCAAATTTGGTAGGCACATCTCTCTACAAAATCCATTCGGAGCATGGGATGTTCACTGCGCTAGAACGACCTTTGTGGCACTGCTGGCACCTTTCAAGAGACAACATTGATATATATATATATATACTGTACATGCTATACTTACCATCCAAATAACATATTTGCTGTCTAGGTAGGATAGTTTCCCCCAGTAAAAAAAAAAAAAACTATAATGACCATCTATTCCCACGTTCACAAATCGGCTTACTCCAGGATAGAATCTCAGCAACTTATCAGCAACTTGGTTCACCCATGTTTGCTGGCAAAACCACCAGTGAGATTTCTGGAAATGCATTTGGACACAAACATAATCATCAATGGAAATTTCAGGATCCTAAAATAGAGGTACTGTATACCATATAAGGCCATATTTTCTGCGGATATTCCCATACATAGGCCTTATATATGGTAGGTACCTCGAATTTAGGTTCCTGAAAATCCCATTGATCATGGCACATCTTGGACGTCTTTCATATGCTCTAAATGCTTTAGCTGTAGCTGGCCATTGGAATTGGCCATGGGAGATGGCTGAACATTAGCATTGAACGACCAACCTCACCAAGGCTTACTCACTTGTCCCTCCGGTCATCAAACACGGTTTGCTGGAAAATCCACCATTTTACGGCTATACCGATACCTAACTATGGAAAATCACCATATTTCATGGGAAAATTCACTATAAATGATCAATTTTCCATAGCAAACTGTTCGTTTACCAGACTTACCAGAGGGTAAACCTCCATCTTTGGATTGTCCCATATACCTGGATAAATTATAATATTTCACTAGCCTCAATTAAGGCCATTTGGGGATGATTTCCCGCAATCTAAGCATTATTCCAGGGCTCGGGAGAACAGGGTTCGGTCGTGATCAAATTTACCCAGATATATCCATTCTATCCATATCTTCCGTTATCTTCCTATGGATTTTCTCAGACATTTTCCAGCCCTTCCAGCCATCTTCCAGCCATAGCCCAGGCCGAGTTCGCACCTTGGAAGGCGTAGATTTCCTCGAAAAAGGCCTCGCCCGGGATCCAGGCCGGCGACAAGTTCCCCATGGAGATGGAGTTCACCTCAGCCGAGCCGGGCCACCATCGCATGGCAACGCATGGCGGCTTCGCACCAAAGATCCCCATGTTTTGAGGAAGAAAAAGGTGGGTCAAACAAGAAGAATCCCCCAAAATCACCATGTTTATGGGTGGTATAAATCGCTATAAACCATCAAACATGGGGTAGAAGCACCAAACATCTCCATTTTTTAGTAACATCATGTGGGTAAAACAAGAATAATCCTGGTCTATTTTTGTTTTACCAACATGGCTTGGAGTTGTCCGCCCCAAGAAGAGCACAGCCCACATCGCAATTCCATGTCATGGCCACCTCTATAGGTCCAACGATAGGTGACTTGATATGTCCAAACTAAAATGGCATGCAGTCCCCCAAAACTAAATGTGGTATCATATTCCCCATGTTGGTGGTCTTAACCATCCTGAAAAATATGAAAGTCAATGGGAAGAATGACATCCCATATATGAAATGGAAAAAAAATCATGTTCCAAACCACCACCCAGTCCCTCCTTGTATATCAAATTCACTTGACAACGTGGTTTAGCCACTAGATACCCATGGGTTATCACTGACTATCATTTGATATCCCACTGTTACTGATTTGATACGCATTCATAAAGTCTTCATAACCAATGTCTACCAAAAACAACGCGATTCGAACAAAACTAACACCAACAATTATGGTTACAATGTGGGGCCCGTACTTGTAAGTTGGTTTATAAACCCCATGAATACTATAAAGTTATCAGTATACACAATAATAAACCATAGTTATTATTGGAACTATTTGCACAAATTCAGCCAAAATTACTGGTTACAGTCAAGGTTTTGTTGTCATGTCTTCGCTTGTCAGGAGACCGAGGCGTGCTACTGCATGGGTGACAGTTATTTTTTGTTTGGACTTTTCGCACCCGAAATGTAAGTTAATCATTAAACAAAGAAACAATGTAAACTAAACTAAGTAACAGGATCCTATTTCTTCTCCCTGACTCAAATCACGTTTTCGTTTCTTCAACGACCTACTTGCTTCCAGGAATCGGATCTGTTGCTTAGTTCCCGTGGTGAAAATCCAACTAAAGAAACAACTAGCAGCCACTAATCAAAATCAACAGTTGGTGAAAATCCAACTAAAGAAACAACTACTAATAACTCTAAGTCCGAACGTCTTTGGTGAAATCTCCATTTGTGTTGTTGAAGTCACAAGTGTCCGATGCATTGGAGCCACAGGCCCCAGTCTCCGCCCAGTGGCAAGGCGGCACTCATAAACCGTATCAAAGAGCTGAACGAAATCATCGATCCGAAGCCACACCTGAGCACTCTCCGGTTGTACCTCCCAAAAAAAAAACGTGGAATATAGTGGGATAAACAAGGTGGTGCCGCAGCAGTGATGTGAATGTTGGTTTATAAACCATAGTAAGTATGTATATATATATATACACTGGTTGGTGGTTTCAACCCCTCTGAAAAATATGAGTTCGTCAGTTGGGATGATGACAATATATGGAAAAATAAGAAAATGTTCCAAATATATATATATATTACCATAAACCGTTGCCATAGTTATCGGAATTATTTGCACCCACTTAGCTAACGAACCGGGGCACCAGCTTGTACCAACCAGCAATGGGATAGAGAAATTTCGGTATATCATGGGAAGCATTTCGAAGCAGCAGGATATAGAACCAGCTACCATTCAGCAGCCAGCAACTCTTCCAGCTCTTTCACCTGGTTCTGGAGCTATAGAGCTGGCTATGGCCTTGGTCACCTCCTTTCTCAGCTCCATCTCCAGCGTGTCACAGTGGGACCAGGCTCTCCACACCGCTCCTGGTTTCGGGTTTTGGAGCGTATCACCATGGGCTTCTTCGACGTGCTGCCCTCGGTTCACTGAGCTGACTCCCAGAAACCATCTGGGCCTGTGGTTTTCAGTGTTTTTGGCGCTTTTGAACTGAATTGATTGCTTTTTATGTTTTGTCATTGTTCTTTTGATGGGTAACAGTTCTACCAATGATTTGAAACACCATGACGCTAAAAAAATATTTCTTGAATGTTCAACAAGTAACATCACTTTGCTCCAAGGGGCAGCATTTGATCTTGGACTGAAAACGGTCTCCCAGAATATGGCATTGGCCAACGCATCTTTCACAGCAATTCAATGTCTATTGAATCATTGCATCTATTGGCTACAGTTTCTTTTTGATCCATTGATTCGGGTGAAATCTTCCACGTGTATTTGTTCTTATTGGTTACAGATCAAGTGGCAAACACCTTGGGAGATAAGCTTAAGTACCTTGGGCTTAGCTTACCCTCTGGTAAACTAACATAGCTATGGAAAATCTCTATTTTTAATGGGTAAATCCACTATAAATGGCCATTTTCAATAGCTATGTTAGTTTACCAGAGGGTAACCACATAGTTCAACCCCAGGCTTAACCATTAAGGACTTTACCCTTGAGAGTTAAAGTTTTCCAAGAGACACGGCCAATCTTTGCATACCTGGCACATCCTTAGACCACCCGTTTGTACCCCTAAAAATGGTGTTTTACCCCAGAATTTTTAATACTTTTAAGTGGTGATGAAAAACCTATAGAAATGGTGTTTTGTAGCCCCAAACATGGTGTTTTGACCTCCAATACTTCGACCATTTCTTGGTGAAGCATCCCATGGTGAAGCCCCGAAAAGCCCCGAAAAGCGTTCGGGACGGTGGGCTGAATTATCCCATGACTGGCCATCTCAGGAACCTTTTTGATTGGAGGTACACCATATCTTACTGGTGCTAAACGCAGGGAATGAGGGAATGATCCATAATCACTAGTCATAATCATCCCATTCCCCCATTCCCATCCATTCCCTACTAAGCACCAGTAAGATATATAAGGCCTATGTTTCAGGGCTATGTTTCCGGGAACATCCCCACAATTCATATGGCCTGAAATATGGATCCTGAAATTCACCATTGATCCCATGGAATACAAAGCTCATGGTTTGGAGACTTTCAAAAACTTATGTCATGGGAATATCCAATATATATATATATGTATATATATATATGTGGTGAATTGGTAAATTAATCCAATATATCTGGTTGGTGGTTGAGCCCTACGCCTCTGAAAAATGATGGAGTTCGTCAGTTGGGATGATGACATTCCCAATATATGGAAACATAAAACATGTTCCAAACCACCAACCAGATAATGGTGGAAACAACATATAGGTGGAAACATAGGTTGGAACAACATTTTCCAACTATGATACCTATGTTTCCAACTATGTAATATGTAATACTGAATAAAATGAACTGTTTTTCACATCACCGAACTAAAATTGGATACAATTTCAACATATACTTGAATGTGATGTTCAACACCTCCAAAAAGTGACATTCACCTACCCCGACTAATAGGCTATGTTTCATTATCAATACCTGCATTCGGCCCTGATTGTGTTACGTCTTGATGCTGAAATATGCACATTGTTCTACTCTGATGGCTATGTCCCAATATGTTTAATATATCCCTCCACATGTAGCAATGGTCGAAACATGGTATTAATGGGATATGGTCATCCTATAATCATGAATGGGATTCCTTGGAATGGGATCTCTATTCAATCATTGGATGAACAAAAACTATATACCATCTGGTTATTTAACATAGCCATGGAAAATCCCTGAACTAAATGTAAGTTTCTAGCTGGGGAACATCATCTTTCTATGGGCCATCTATACCATGGCTATGTAACAAATAACCAGAGGGTACATCTTAGTGTTGTTGTTATTATTGTTATTGATTTGGTTTTTGATTGTATCATGGTTATTATTGTTATTGTTATTGATTGGGTTATTATATAATTGTTATTAATTATGGATATTATTGTTATTCATTACTTGGATTATTCCACCCCTCTTTTTATGGGGGACTCACCCATATGTGTTTGTCTGAAAATAGGGAGCCCCAACAATTCAGGGGTTGATCATCATGTCCTCCATTACCGTGGCTATTGCAGGCGCAAACTTCAATTTCAGACACATTCAAACATCATATCAAGTTGGTTAGTTGTATCCATTACTATCCCTATCTTGCTTTAAATCTCTATTTCTTGTTGGTTTTATACCCCAGTATTATATTGCTGCAACCCATTCGTAAAAGCCCAACAACTTATGTCCCAAGTATGGCTGGTAGACTCCCATCATATGCTAATAAAATAACAGTGTTATCATATGTGTCGGTCTGGTTGGTGGTTTCAACCCCCCTGAAAAATATTAGTCAGATTGGATAATCATCCCAACTATTGGGGAAACATAAAAAAATGTTCCGAACCACCAACCTGTAGTTATGTTCCATGAAATCCTGTTCCATCAGGTTACAATTAAATCCCCATAAAATGGTGGTACAAGGTGGTACCCAGTTACAAGTAGGTTTATACAAGGTGGTGCCCCCCAGTTATAAGTTGGTTTTTAAACCATAGTAAGTATAGATATATCTACTATAAACGCTGGTTATTGGAGTTATATACAAACCAACTTAGGTAACTAACCCCATCAACTAGTTCGATATAACCTCTATGAACCCTAAATATTGAACTTGCACCAACTTATCATAAATCAACTATAAATCCCATGAAAAACCCACATTTTCCCATGGTTTCCAAATGGGTTTCCTTAGCGTTGCAGATTCGAGCCACAAAGCCCTCCGCAACGCCATAGCCTTCGGCCATGGGAACGCGACCTGGGCACGCGCCCAGCAGTTTTGAGTACAGCCTACTAGTAACAACAACAGGGTCTATAATAAATATAGTAATAATAATATATATATATTTACAGTGTATATAATATACAGTGTGTATATATATACAGTGTATATATAATAAACAATGTATATATAATATACATTGTGTATATATATAATTATATATAATTCTATATATATAATTATATATATATATATTTATACATGTTGATGAAGGTCACTATGAAATTAATAATAGACTATAAATCGCAATTATCCATATGTTTTGGCTAAGTTTACTACTGCGGCCTGGAGGCACGAAGGCATTCGCGCCACGGCCATCAACGGGGCTGACATGCAAACGCAGACCTGAAAGGCTGCGGGAAGCCATTTCTGGCCAATCTAGATTGACACTTTATGTGTAATACATATAATATGTCCAATCTTAATTCCCTGCAAAAGATGAACGGTTCTTAGCTGGTGAGTACGTAGATAATCCCATACCAAAGGACTATTATATACTATTATGGAATTTGTTTCTACCCATCTTTCAGATTGACCTGTCGTAATCTGGATCAAGGGGCATACATACAGGATCATCCCTCGAGAAAGTCTTTGGATGCAACCCTCCCAAGTTCATCATCCCACTTTGTAATAGGTTGGTAATGATAATATAGGATCTAAATGGATCTAGATAGCTGATTTTTTACCAGCACTGCGGGTTTTTAAAACAAGAAAAACTGGATATGAATGGAATACTTGAAGGATCTTCTCCCGGAGCTGGTAAGGCTGGTGGCCACGGTGAGCGAGCGAAAAACTGCTTACGTCTTCATCAAGCACCGTCCACTGCTCGTCCCAACGACATGGCGTGCCATCTTTGGCAATGACTTGGACCGTAAAAAACAGTACAGTGGCACGTCTCTTGCGTTGCCAGAACAATGCTGAAGTATTCAAGCCTCTAACCGCTGTTCAGCCGCAGCCTTGTTAATGCCAATCTCCGTTTGCTGTTGCTCAATGAGATCGGTCTTACATTGTACAATTTTTAAAGAGAACAAGCTGCCCACGACATTTCTTGGCGCGCGTTTACGACCCGACCTTTTCAGTGGGAGTTAAACAGATTTGTAAAAAGCAGTCAAAGAAGATGTTGATGGGATATCAAATTTAAAGTGAAGCATATCGTAATTTATCCAGATATGAATGGAATATTGAGCATTAAAAGGGATACTATTGGAATCCTGCATGCTATCATGGGATACTTGCAGGATAGTCCCACTGGATGTAACTGGTTAGTAAGTGGGGTTGCTTCACCTACTTAATTTTGTACCCTCTGGTTATTTAACATAGCTATGGAAAATTGCTTATTTATAGATGGTTTACCTATTAAAAATGGTGATTTTCTGTAGCTACGTTAAATAATCATGGAGGAACCCCAGTTGCGGGACTGAGGTTCACTCATATTTATCTTAGTTTCCAAGCACACACACACAAGGCCAACTATTCCCCACTAGAAATAAACATGTATACCAGAACAGCTTCACCTTGTTTAAAAACATATTTTTCCATCCAAGATACAAGTTAACATGAAACGTACTACCCCAAACCCCATGACATAATGCAGAACATCTCTAGCAAGGGACATTCGTGACGTAAGACCCCATGGAATAAGTTAACATGAGACGTAGTATCACGTGAGTGCAAGTGCCTAGGAACATTATCAGACCCCCTCCCCACCCCACGATACCTTATCTATAACGTAGCATCACATGAGTTCAAGTGCCAAAGGACGTCATTCCCCCACCCCCCAAGCCCGAAGAATAGCGCCCCACCCCAGCCCGCCCCACCCCGAAACGTGACATACGAGGAGAAAAATGCTCGAACAACCGCAGTTCCCCTCTGATTTCCGTCAAAAGAAACGCGCGCTTTCAGCCCGACCGAGCCACCAAGAAACTATATTTGAAATGGCACACATGGTGAAATTATTTGCCCAATTAGATCCAATAAGTATAACTAAAAAAAAAAACATGATCCGTATATCCCCATGTTTGAGGGCCACATCACGTTAAATCCCGCTGAACATATTGGTCACAAAGTGGTGCCCATTGCAGGATGTTTGTCGTATCATAAACCAACAGTCAATCTATTGGACTAAACCAACTCAGCAAAGGATTGTGGGCAACACCTTCCAACATATACAAAAATATTGCTTGAATAATACCCTCTGGTTAAACTAACATAGCTATTGAAAATTGCCATTTATAGCTGATATACTCATGAATAATGGTAATTTTCCATAGCTATGTTAGTTTACCAGAGGGTACTATACCTTTTCAATATCCCATGAACATTCATTGGTTCTTGGAAAACTTTTCTTGATTTCCCAATAAGTTGTTGGTATATACTCCCACTATCTTCCCATTACCAGATTACCAGAACTAAACCCGGTATATACCAGTATATCCCCACTATATCCCTCTCGTTCCCGAAACACATGTTAATTCTGTCTATCCACTACATGTGAATACCTAAACCCTCCAAACACCCCCAAAAATGTATTAAAGTTCCAGCAAATTAAGGGGAAGCACACCAATTGTATGGGTAGTTGGATAGCAAAAAAAAACATATGTATATAGTCTCTAAAACTGTTCTATATGTATGTATGTATATATATATATATGTTAACAACACATGTATCTAAGTGATCTAAAATAATGTGTATATATATATATATACATATATGTCTATGGCTCCCATGTATATATATATATATTATATATATACGCACCCTCTGGTTGCTTAATATAGCCATGGAAGCCATGGCCCATAGAAATAGATGATGAAAATGACCATTCACCTCCAAAAGAAATGTATTTTTTCATAGCTACGCTAAGATGCCATTTAGTTCGATTATTTCCCTTTATTATCTAACTCTAAATGATCATTTTCAACAGCTATATATCAAATTACCCAGGGAGTAGCTGGACTTGGAGGGTCTAGGTATAAATAAATATATATATATATATTATATATATATATATATTTATACCCGAGTCCCATTCATCTTCTCCCTACGAATTCGTATACCATAAACAACACCCACACACACTGTCGCAGCTTCGTCAAGCCAAGCCGCATAAGGCACGCCCTCGTGTTTGGCCAAGCGAAAAATGGCGGAAGCGTAGTGCCTTACTGGGTGATTTCTGCAAGCCTTTGAAAAAGTGTTTGAAACAGCTCAAAATCTGTGTCTTGGGGGAGAGAGGGTCTGTACAGGCTTGTATGCCGACAATGTAATGATTTGTTTTATTTTTGTGTCGTAAAAATCAAATGGTCTATTGCCAATTTCTGAATGTATTCGCTAATCTCTTGTCACCAACATACAGATGCTTCATGTTTGCCGCTTGAAACCAGCCTACAAAGAAACACGGATTCACAAGGTTTCAGAAGTTTGAACCAACAACCTGACGTGGCACCTCTCACATTTGACCTAAAGACATAATACTATCTTACCCTCTGGTAAACATACAAAAAACTATGGAAAATCACCATGTCTGAAAGGTAAATCAACTACTCATACTATCGGCCATTTTCAATAGCAAACTGTAAACGTTTACCAGGCCGGGTACCAAACATTGATAAAACATTCGACAAGTCACGAAGTATTTGACAAATCGTCCTCTGGGGATCTCGGAAGTACCCCATCTGTTCACCTTACCCTCTGGTTATGTCAAAATACCTATTGAAAATACCCATAAAAATAGTGGATTTTCCCAGCTATAAAATGGTGATTTTCCATATGTTAGTTTACCAGAGGGTAAAATGACTGGTAAATACAGGTTGATTCCTCCAACAATTGTGGATATCTAAAGGTGTTGATCCATCTGCAAAACATTCTGTGAATTCTCATCCATAGATAATCTCATTTGTTTTTCATCTCCAACTCTGTTGCGTATTCATCCCATCAAACAAAGTCAAAAAATATGTGTGTATCTCTCTATAAATCTACAATATCCCTATACATATATATATATATGTATTATGTGTATATAAATAAATATTATATCTACAATATCCTATCATACACCATTATGTTTGTATTAATCCCCATCCCCATCCCTCAAGATCATTCCGATCGAAAACTCCCAGCTGCTGCTCCATGGGAATTCTCCTCTTTGCGCACTCCTGGATCGAAATGGCGGGCATTCATCGGACCAACGTGGGCCAATCACAAAAAACATGGGGGAAACATGTTTAAACAGCGAACAAAATTAGGTTTCAATGGGATATTAATGGAACATTAAGGGGGTATTATAAGGTATTGATGGAATATGAATGGGATATTCATCAGATACTAATGGAACATTCAGGGGATATTAATGATATGTCGATGGAATCAAGGGGATGTTACCATGGCAAAAACACCTGGTATGTGGGTTGTGATCATCCCACCATCATGATACGGATTACTTACAATGGATAAATACCTGGAAAACATAGATTTCCCAGCAGAAACTGTTTGGTGGTTACAAACCACTGGAACAAAAACCTTCATCAGCTCCATGGTTTGCTGGAAATCCCCTTTTTAGTTCGTTGATGTTCCCAGCTATAAGTCTCCACTGCCCAGATTTCCCCGATTACCAAAGGGTAGTGAACATTTGTTGGAACCACCAAGCAAATGTTGATACAAGGAGGTGCCCCAGTTCGTGAACGCTAAGTTGGTTTGGAACTCCAATTTTACAATGGTGTATGGTAGATATATCTATACTTTCTATGGTTTAGAAATCAACTTTTAATTTCGGGGGCACCACCTTGTACCTTGATTGATGCAACGACATCATTGCATTCAGCCAGTGCTAAACATAGACCGGCGAACACTGTTTGATTGCATCAAGAAGAATCGTTCAAGTTCAACGGGGCTATCAATCAATGCTTCAGCATTGGTAGTGGCTTCTGGCCTTGGTGGTTGGACTTCTTGGGTTAAAACTACGTAGTTAAAAATCACTAAAAAAACATTAACAAAAAAAATGTGACTATCACAAGCTGAGCTATCGGCAAGAGTTGAAACTCCAACCAAAAATATCAACGATGCTAAAAGTCGTATGTTTTGTGCAATCAACATGCATATGGGTTGATACCCTCTCAACTTGACATCACGAAATCAAGAGGTTCAAGGGGCAAAGCGTCTCTATGTATATTTATATGAGATATTTTGATATATATTTTTTTTAGAGAGAGAGAGTTATATTACAGTATGTTATATTTAGAGAGAGAGAGAGAATATAAATATACAGTTCACTGCTATCAAAAGAAGCGACTTCTAGCTTTCCCAACTGACATCCCTCTCTTCTGCTTTACCATCGAAAACACATGCTGTGTAGGTATATGAAATACTATGAGTCAACGCCAACTGGCTGCAATTGCACTGTCAACTAGTAAGGTCGCTCTACACATCGTGGATTCATAGCTGACCGGTCATTCAAAGGTGTTGGGTATTGGCCGCATTCTTTGCTTCACCCCAAGGGGCCCCAACCAGCACCAGCTGCGGACGGTGCTGGTGGGGCTGCGGACGGTGCTGGTGGCACGTGTGCGAGGATGGCGCAGCGTAATGCAATCGGGCCCGGGAGAAGGGTCTTTGGCTTTGCTGGGAGCATGGAAGCCAGGCCATGGCTCAAAAAACTCCTTGATGATTATGTATAATGATAATGTTCTTGAAATTCAATGCCATGTCAACAAATCCAAATCTAGAATAATCTAGCAGCTGGATTAAATCTAGATCCAACAGCTGCTCTAGCTGTCTTCCGTTGGTTTTTATCCGATGCTTTTTCTTGCCTATCCCCACATGAAGGGTCGGCCTTGGTTGGAACTCACAATCCCCATGGCTCCGGTGTCATCAAACGTAGCTGGGAAATCCACCATTTGGTGCGCTGAGAAAATCACAGCTATAACGCTCCATGGCTCGTTCGGGGATGTTCCAGCCACGTTTGATAACACCGGAGATCGGGTCAATCAATGGATTGGATTAAGGGAAAATTTACAGGAAAGCCTCTTGATCTTCATGGGAACATATATGGTTTCCGTTTAACATGTTCCCAACAAAACCAATCCGTTCAGTCAATGTTTTGAGACAAACCCATAGCAGTAGCATCACCTGGTTGCGAAGAGGTTCGGTAGGTTCACCGGGATTCCCCATGGATTCTCACGGGCGGTGGTGCCCCCCAGTGACGTGGTTTCATTGGTTAAGAAAAACCATAGGAATAGTATAGATAGATCAGATCTACCATAAACCATAGCAAAATTGGACTTGTAAACCAACTTAGCTATCATAAATCAGCTAATATATCATGATATATCTACCATAAACTATAGTGAAATTGGAGTTACAAAGCAACTTAGCGTTTTCACAGCTCACGAACGGGGCACCACCGCCTTGCATGATCTCCATTAAACGATCCAATAGAAGTCCCGGTCCAATAGTCGATCGCATGAAACCTCCATTGGGAGCTGATTTTCCCATGGAAAACCTCCACTTTTTTTCGTTGATTTGTCCCCGGTTTCCGCTTGGAGGTAAATCCTCTCAAACTGGACATTTCAGTCAGTAAAATCATTTATGCATATCTAATCTACTCAAGCAACAGGGGTTTTGGTCAGTGCTCACAGTTATAGCCCTTAACAGTTAATATCTGGCTCAGAAAACTTCTCATTGAAGTGATTTTTTTCACCTGCGTTGCGTGAGTTATTTCGTCCTATAACTATAAAGGTCTCCCACTACGGACGTGAACCGCAGGGTCTGTGTGATGCTGCTGCGCTGCGCTGGTGCTGGTCCTTGTCGTTGATGTTGCATCCAAAGAGGCACATGTCCTAAAGGTGGTTCAAGCAGAATCAGGGACCTACAAGAATTACCCTCTGGTTATTTACTAGCGTAGCAGCAAACTAGCATAGCTATGGAAGATAACTAGGCTAAGTTGGTACGTTGGTACAGATGGCCAACTGTTGGGTTTATGGGGGTTCCCTCTGATGATTTAACATAGGGAAAATGGCCATATGAATAGATGATTTGTGATGATTTACCCATCAAACATGGTGATTTTCCAGTTCGCAGCCTTCAACTACTGTGCAATTCACAATTCAAAATTCAAAATGTGTGGGAACTTGGGAACCAGTTGAACCAGTTGAACCAGTTGAACCAGTTGAACCAGTTAAGGTCAGATTCCTAAGTACCCCACAGATTTGGACACAGCCATACTCTATCATGGCATCGTGGCACCCGCAGATTGACAAATCCCTGAAACCAAATCCCAACTTATGCTGCTTGATTCACTTCAAATCTTGGGGATTCTAGGTGGCGTTCATCCTAATTAATGTCAGCCCTGGATTAATAAACTCCAAACGGCCGTTTAATTGCTGGGATACCATAAAAAAGTATCAGATGAAATGACTATTGGAGGAGCACCCCCCAAATTTATAAACCATGGTTTATTAATCCGGGGTTGACATTATGTGAAAAAACATGTTCTTATTTGTCAGGTTTAGCCTCCTGTTGGCTGGTTGAATCCCCTTTCCTTTGTGAGCAAAAATCCCAACGCGTTTCTTGGTTGGCAAAAATGTTGGGTGTGAGTCGAGCTGTAGCCCCCCAAATCTTTGGCGAAATCGATCTTTGTTGGTTCAGTCCTGGTTTTTTCTTGGTGTTTAAGTTTGATCTAATATATTAAACACATCCAAGTGTTAAACCCCCATGTGTTTGAAAGTTCAAGATCAATTTTGATGTTTAAGGCTACTTCAACCCATCCACACTCGGATTTGCTCCATCCAAGTCACTTGCAAGAAGTACATGTATTGCCACAGTCGGTCTTGCGCAACATCCTAGGTTTTTCGCGGTTGATACAGAAATTGTGGTTGTCAATTCCTTGTTGATGACTATAGTAGGTACCACAAAAAATATGGGGGTTCAATGATGCTTGATGAGGGTTGATGTTTGTTTAACAATGGTTCATGATGGCAAGTGGTTAACAGTCCTGGTTAGTACGTCCTCTAAGTGGGTTAACCCATCTACAACTATGGGTTTTAACATGTTCCGAACATGTCTTAACTATGGCTATCAACCATTTACCAAGTGGGTACAGTAGTCCATGATATCCCCCATACAACCGCCCTAGATCATCCTGTCGTAATTCCCTTTACATGGTAAATCATCAACAATCATCAAAAGCACACAACAATTGTTGACAATCATTACACATTTCTTTGAAACATATAGTGATGTCTGATTGTATTTACAATGTCATTAGTCTTGAAATAAGTCGATGATCATGAGTTTTAATCTATAGTTTTCATCATGAGTTTTGGAAACATATGATTATCAGTATGTTGATTATTCACTTATTACACCTATCATTACACTTGTTCTAATTCACATTGAATTATGAGTTTAGGTGAGTCCATTTATTTTTCATTACAATGACACAAAATTTACATTCCTTCTCATTCTCATCTATAATCATCTATAATTCTAGAGTTATTACCCATGAGTTTTGGTGATTGGTCTTCATGAATTTAATCTATAGCTGGTTGGTAGTTTTAACCATCTTGAAAAATATTAGTCATTGGGAAGGGTTATCCCATATATGAAATGGAATATAAAAACTGTTTGAAACCACCCGCCAGTAATATATTCCCAATATTATATACCCATTAGTTGTGTTAACCCATAATTACCCATTAGTTTAACCTATGACCTATGATATTGTTACCCATTGGTTACTACCCATGAAAAACCCACATTTTCCGATGCTTTCCATCACGTTTTTTTCACCACCGGGAGGACTTGGGATGGGATCATAGAATGATCCCATGGGGACACTGAGGTGTTGTGAAACCATAGGAAAATGTGGGGAAACCCGTTTGGAAACCATAGGAACATGTGGGTTTTGCATGGGATTTATAGCTGATTATAGCTCGAAAACTCTCAGTTGGTGCGTTTATAATCTCCAATTGAACACGTTTGGGTTTATGGTAGATATAGAAAGCACTACCTACTATGGTTTTTAAACCAACTATAGAAAACACTACCAACTATAATTATAATCTGCAGAAACTAGTTCGATAGAACCTAGATATTGTCTAGATTAACTACAGGTGGTGCCCCAGTTCGTTGACTAGGTGGGTTATATCTATATCTATATCTTGTGCCCCATATCTATATTATAGGTTAACACAACTATATCTAATCAACCCTAGATATTGTACTCTTCAACCCACTTAGCTAACAAACTGGGGCACCACCTTGTATGAGCATCTCATGATCCCATCATAATTTCCTATTGGTCACTTACAGTATATCAACTTATATCAATGATATCCCTATATCTTTGATGGCTATTAACATGGCCAATCTTTGATACCCTGCAACAAAAATAAAGTTTCTTAGCTGGTAAACGTAGATAATCCCATACCAAAAGACTATATGTTTGGGATTAGTGTCTATCCATCTAAGATTGCCCTCGTTAACCTCTATATACCTCCCAAATTAATAATAATCCATGTATAATCAGGATAGAATAGTAATAATAATAATCATCAATTATCCCAATATATCCCATCAGCATCAAGAGCTAATTAACTGGTTAAAAGCAAAGTAACTAGTTCGATATATCACCTATACACAATAGTGGAATTGCAGTTGTTTGCATTAACTTAGCGTTCACAAGCGGGGGCATCAAGAGCTCATTATGTAAATATAATATATATATATAACAACATTCATCATTCATTATCCCAATATATCCCATGGTATAATAAGTGTCATCATTGTAATGGGATACAACAATTCCATAAGTATGATCAATATCGCATAATGATGATAGCAGTTGTTCATATCAATATATCATTAACTATCCTACAAGGTGGTGCCCCCCAGTTATAAATTGGTTTATAAGCACATTAACTATAGATATATCTACCATAAACCATAGTGAAATTGGAGTTATAAACCCACTTAGCTGTCATAAATCAGCTATAAATCCCATTACACCCACATTTTTCTATGGTTTCCAAACGGGTTTCCTTAGCGTTCACCACCGGGGGCACCGTTCAGGGCGATGACTCGCCAAGCATCAGCTGTTCCGAAGCGGGTGGAGCACCCGCCCGTGAGGTCCGTCATGACCTGCGGAAAAAGGTCCCCTTTGCGAAGGCCGAAAATCGTAATTAGTGGATATGAATGGAATTAGTTAGTGGATATCAACTGATATCAACTAATTCCATGAATATCCACTATTTTTTCATGTTTTGAATATCCCCATGGTATAGTTAGTTAGTGGTATATTCAAAACATGATATATATATATATCCCTATGGATCCAGCCGTACCTTCTCAGGAAGTACAACTGGGGTATGATTTAGGGGGTTAAGTACCAAAAAAAATATATATATATACATGATATAATTAGTGGATGTGAATGGAATTAGTAGATATAATTAGGGATTTAATTAGTCATATCATTGAATTAGTGGTTATCTAATGGCTGGTTGGTGGTATACCTACCCCTCTGAAAAATATGAAAGTCAGTTGGGATTATGATTCCCAACTGAATGGAAAAATACAACATGTTCCAAACCACCAACCAGTATATATATATATATTTTTTTTGCCCCCCAGTTATAAATAGGTTATAATCTCATTCACTACTTCGATATATCACCAACAAAAACATACAAAAAAACATAGTGACATTGGATTCATTTGCACCAACTTGGCTAACGAACTGGGGCACCACTTAGCAGTTGATAGATGGTTTATCCCATTATTTATAGGGTTTCATTCAAGGTGCTGCAGGATTTGTTAAGCATCTTAGATTAAGTGTGGGGTTTATGGTGATGATAACTATAGACAAATGGGGTTTGGGGTGACCAACAAACATATCTGACACACATCACCTTGTGGCTGCGAGAGAGACTGGTTCCGCGGGTTGAATATGTGCTACCAAATTGACACCCCTTCTATCACGGGCCATTTCAGGAACCGATTGGTTGGAGGTACCTACCATATATAAGGCCTATGTAAGGGCTATGTAAGGGGATATGATAAGGCTATATCCTTGCTATATACAAGGTTGTGCCCCATAGTTAGCTAAGTTGGTGCAAATAAGTTAAATTTCACTATGGTTTACAGGTGATGTATCGAACTAGTTAATGGGCTTATAAACCAACAAACATCACTGGGCGGCACCACCTTGTATATATATATATACAGTACATATCCCAATGGATCCAAACACTGTCTGAGAAGGTACGGCTTGATCCATAGGGTATGTATGTATATATATATATATATAGATATAAGCTATATATGTAGGTTCCCGCCTAGAATAGGGAGACCCCTAGTTTTCATCCATTTTAATAGGAGTTTCCCCATTATAAACCATCCATGCTGGGGTACCGCCATATTTGGAAACCTCCATATATATATACATTGTCATCCTGTAGTCAATAAACTATGGTTTTCAAAAAAAATGAAAAACATACAGAACTATCCATATATGTTGTTTTCTTCAAGATTATTATCCTTGTTATATAATGGTTATATATAAATATAATATGTATACATATATATCATCCAGTAATTTAACATAGACCTAAATACAATTATATGTATCATTAAAAATATATTTATATAATTATATATATATAAACTAACTATATATAAATATATATATATATACCATCCAGTAATTTACCATAGACCCTGCCAGATAGGGGTTGGAAGATTAGTTTCCGATAAAATTGGTTTATTTTCAGGGTCTATGTAAATTTACCAGAGGGTACAAGGTGGTGCCCGCACTTATGTTTGTTGGTTTCTAAACCACGTTCATCAAGTAGTGCGATATAAACCATATTAAGTAGTGCGATATATCTACCATAAACCATAGTGAAATTGGAGTTATGATCGCACCAACTTAGCTATCATAAATCAGCTATAAATCCCATTAAACCATATTAAACCCACATTTTCCTATGGTTTCCTATGGTTTCCCCACATTTTTTCGATGGTTTCCAAACGGGTTTCCTTAGCCTTCACCGGGGGCAACACGATTTGGGGCCTCTTCGACATGACCGCCACCGCTGAGACCTTCCCAGCTGCCATGGAGCTTGGCGTAAGCCTGGGCTTGCAAAGAAAATGGATGGGTTATACATGGGTTATATAGCTCTATATATATATATGTATATATATATATATGTGTATATATATATATATATATGTATATATATATATGTATATATATATATGTATATATATATATGTATGTATGTATGTATGTATGTAAGTATGTATGTATGTGTGTATGTATATATAGATATATATGTGTGTTTGTATGTATGTATGTATGTATATATGTATGTATGTATGTATGTATGTCTGTCTGTCTGTCTGTCTGTCTGTATGTATGTATGTATGTATGTACGTATGTATGTATGTATGTATAGATATATATGTGTGTATGTATATATACATATATATGGTTATATGTGGTTATATAAGGTTATATGTGGTTATATGTGGTTATATATGGTTATACGTGGTTATATGTGGTTATATATGGTTATATGTGGTTATATGTGGTTATAGGTGTTTATATATGGTTATATATTGTTATATGTGGTTATATATGGTTATATGTGGTTATATGTGGTTATATGTGGTTATATATTGTTATATATGGTCATATATGGTTCTATATGGTTATACTATTGTATATGTGGTTGCATTCAAGGAACATGATATGGATGGGGTATGGTTGGTTTCAAGAAAATGGATGGACTATGGTCAATCAATCATAAGATTATGGTAAATAAAACAGTATACATATATGGGTAAATAATAATATTTCACTAACCTGAAACTTGCGGCCATCATTTTGGGGATGATTCCCCGCAATCTAACCATGATTCCAGTGAGGGAGAACAGTGAGGTCGTTATAATTTACCCAGATATATCTATTGGTGGTGGTTTCAACTTTCAACCCCTCTGGAAAATATGAAAGTCAGTTGGGATCATTATTCCCAACTGAATGTAAAAATACAACATGTTCCAAACCACCAACTAGAAGAGGATCTCACCAAACATGGGGTCAGATATTTGCCAAACGGGAGATACTTTAGACATCTTTAGACTTGAAAACGTTTTGAGCAAAGTCTCAGTGAGGGCCGGACGGATCGCAACTGGTTGGTCATCTTGATTAACTTTCTTGTGCTAAACGTAGGGAATTTTCGGGAATTATTCACAATAACTATCAAGAATAGTCCCAGCAACCCCCAGCAACCCATCCATTCCCCATGTAAAACCCACCAGTAAGTGAAGTATGCGCCCCAACTGGGTTATCCCGTGTATCTCCGGATTATAACTTCACAAGCACTGAGCAGTTGTTAACTAAGTGGGGTGATTCTCGTTTCTCGGATGTTAACTACACATGTTGATTTTGTGGGCCCATACCATCAATAACTGTTTACTACAATTCACCCAAACCATGACATTTGCACACAAATTACAATTGTAGAGAATGTTAACTGGTTACACTTTCTCGGATGTTAACTACACAAATGTCATGGCTTGGTGGTATTTTGCTTTCCCTGCTGAAAGCTAAAAAAAAGTTCGTAGCTTATCGCCCGGTCATTCACCCAACACCAAAACACGAAACATCGTACATCGTCCGATCGAACCAGTTACGATCGGGATGATCCTCCAAATTTAGTATCCCACTGCTGTAATTATATAAGTACCTATATTCAAAGTGACAAACCAATATTTCACTTGAATATTTTGATATAGCATTTGAAGATGGTATTTTAATTTTCATCAATAAATAGCATTTTACTCAATATCAATCCTTCAAAGTATCATGTTGATGTTAAAATCCCATTTTGATGATTCATTCAATCTCGTTCAATCCCGTTTATCATGTTTATTCCAAAACATTTTTAAACACTAGACATCTCAGGATCCGAGTGTATGGCTAAAAATCATCCAAATGGGATAGTGCAATAATGATATATCATTAAAAATACCCCTATCGGCCTATCCCATCTCATTAATTACACAAGTTGATTGATAGGTTTCCCTACTATATTGGTTATCATAATCCTGAATTAATCAAGTAGTATAAGTCCCTATGTGAACCAATCAACAGTGCCAATCTTAGATACCCTGCAAACAAAAAAAATTAAGTGGTGAACGTAGGTAGTCCCATACCAAAAGACTGGTTTGGATTAGTTTCTATCCATCTAAGATTATCCCATTAACATTGCCATATCCCATTAACATTCCGTTAGCATCCCATTAACATCCATTAAATATTGTCATCACTGGATGATCATCCCGTTAATGGTGGATGCTCATTTTATCATCCCATCTATTTAAATGTTATTAATTGGTAGATCCCCATTGGGATGAAAATTAAGCAAACCAGCAGAATCCCATTAATCATTAAATATTGCTGGCTGCTCCATTTTCAGACCCATTCGATGATCAACCAGGCCTTCTCTACCAGAGCCGGCCATGGCAAGGAGGGCCAAAACTCTGTCCTGGCTGGAAGGACACCCCGCCGGTGTAAAATGATGTTTTTCGATGTGGGTTTCTCCGAAAAAATATGAGAAACATAAATCCACTGGTTCTTCATCATGTTCTCTACTATGATTGTGTTTTGGGGTTTGCTGTTATTCTTCATTTTCAGATGCGCCCATATATGAAATAATGTCCTTTCGGAATGGCACATTGTGGAACATGACCTTCAAATGGCTATTCGCTACCCACTGATGCCCCACTTTTTTGGCTAAGTCGGCGTCTAAGTGTTAAACTAGAATAGAAAAGGTTTTGTGAAGGACATCTCATACAGTAAATGAATGGATTGATAAACCAACTCATCAGTGTATTGGCATCACATTGTGAAACAAATGGGATCATGTGCAAACCTTAGTCTAAATTGACCCAACAAACTCACCCCCAAGTAGTGCATGCCACAATACAAGGTGGTGCCCCAGTTCGTGAACGCTAAGTTGACGCAGATAACTTGGTGAATTCTATGGTTTATGGTAGATATATATATATATAACTATATTTACTATGGAAAATCACCATTTTTAATGGCTTGATGAATGGGGGTTCTATCGAACTAGTATTCATGGGGTTTATACTAAACCAACGAAACCACATCACGTTTGGGGACACCATCTGTGAGGTTCCAGATAGATTTTCTTGCGATCATGGCTCGCACAATACATTCAATACATTTTATATATCATCCAGTTTTAAACGGTTTGGACCTTAAACACATTGTTTGCACATCATCCAGAATAGATTGGCCACATGGCAAAAGAGAAACTCTAATCCCTGATCTTTGTCAAAACAGCAGGCAATATTTGGTAGTTTTACGTTGGGTTTGGATGGGAAAACCCAAACCCAGATCCCATGCTCGACACAACGGTGGTCCGGGAGTGGAACTTCACCATCCGCATTCCAGGTTCGCGACAGATTTCCATTACCGAAGGCCTGTGAAATGATGTTCTCTGCCTTCTCCACTACAGGGGATCAAAAACCAATCTGCACCATCATCTGCGCATCCGCAATGGTAACTGCCAACACTGGACGGTAAAGACCACCACCTTGTTCTGCAGAATCCTATACGTATTCATACGTTGATTAAGGTTGGCTAATAAAAACACAGGCATTCTCACCAGTAAAATATCTAGAAATAAAACATCCACCTTTGTTTTTGCAAATATTGGAGAATCAGACCTATGAGTATTCAGACTAGTATGTTATGGAGATGAAAGTGTAACCTCAATCACACATGTTAACCCCGGATGAATAACTTTTGAGTGCTAACCTGGTGGGGTACGCCCACCCAAAAAAAGATCTATGAACATTGGTACCAGCCCACCCCTATTACTATTATTACGCGCTGACACCGTCGTTTGCCCAAAAATTCAGGGGGTAGCCCGGAATACTAACGGAAACACTCAGAGATGCTACAACAATTACCTGTATTATAAGATTACCATCTTCCCCAGGACCCCTGATAGATACATATCATTACCATTTAGGTTGGAGGGGTTGGGGTGTAATTATCCTGGTTGCTCATCATCATTACATGCCAGATTCTTCCCGGTCCGAACGATGGCGTTTGACTGTATTATTCAACTGGAGGTTTAGCTAATCCTGGGCCTATCATAAACATCAACATTTACAAATCCCTGCAAAATAAATCCCTATTTTCCTGGGTGCAATCGGTTAAATTTTGGTCCTCTTTGGTCGTTCTTAAATCAAATCCAGAGAAGTAATTATAGCACATAGACTTGGAAGAAGTCATCATTCCTTCAAGGTGGTGCCCCCGTTCGATAGCCAAGTTGCTGCAAATAACTCCAAAAAGTCAACGGTCTGTGATATTAATCGAACTATAGTTCATGGATTTGTTAAGCCAATTTATAATTGGGGGCACCACCTCGTTGGTTAAACCATGGCCAATCTTAGATACCCTGCAAAAAATGATAGATTCTTAGCTGGTCACTAGATAATCCCATACCAAAAGACTATTTTGGATTAGATTCTACCCATCCAAGATTGCCCTCGAAATCTTATCATGTTACATCCGAATTTTCCGTGTTTTTGGGGGTGCCCTTGGTGCTTTTTGTCCTCGCAGTTAAGGGATTCATCGCCGAATCGAAGGGGATGGCATCATCGATCACCACCTGCCGTTGGGCGAGTTTCATGGTCTATGAGATGAAACCATAAAAAAAATGAATGGGGATATATTTAAATATATTTATATGTACATGCGTGATATATATATATATATACATAAATATATATATATATAGACATATTAATATATATATATATATAGTATTGGGATTTATCGGGTATTATGAATGGGTCAAAATTTTCAAAAGATTCAAGACCCAGAAAAACACATATGGCTCAGATTGTGTTTCGCTTTTTCACGCGTTTTTTCTCAGCCTTTATTTTAAGTGCATACCATATTTTGACTCATACCCATACAGGATGGGCCCCCCCAGTTATAAGTTGGTTTATAAACCCTGATAAACCCCATTAACTATAGTTATATCTACAATAAACCATAGAATTCAGCCACTTACAAGGCAACTGAACGCTATCGACTGGGGGCCCCATCCTGCATGTATGTAGTCAAAACGTACCCTCTGGTAAACTAACATAGCTATAGAAAATGGCCTATTTATAGTTGAATTATCTATTAAACATGGTGATTTTCCAGAGCTTTTTTTGTATGTTTACCAGAGGGTAGTCAACATGTAATTGAACGTTGGAAATATGAGATGAGCAAAGGTCATCCCACCATTAGCTCGAGAGATTCCGTTCAAAAACTAGGCCCACGATGATCACTGGATGATCATCCCCCTGTTGTGACACAGAAACAAGTATCCATATTATGTATAATATATATATATATATAGAGATATATAGAGATATGTTTATTTAAATATAAACTATGTATATATGTATATATAAACATATATGTATATATGTGTTCTTACCTACCCAGCCAAAGTTTACCCAATGACATGCTGTGACCTCTTGGTGACCTCATGTATGTCGAAGTGCAGCTGTGAAGTTAAAAAAAAAACATTGCAGGCCAGGTCAGTCCAGGTGGTGCCCCAATATCGTTGGGTTGATTAGGGGGTTATATCTATAGTATTATCCATATATATATATATACACACATATTATCTATAGTCATATGTACTTATCTAAGATAAGTATATATGACTATAGATAATATGTATATACTATGTATATATATATATATATAGTATCTAATATATACTATATATTATCAATAGATATCGAACTAGTATTCATGGGGATGACATTTTCCCCAACAAACAGAACTAGGGCGGTACCACCTGCCCACCGCCCGTAGCTGCCGTAGCTCATCCCGATGGATTCCTCCCTGGCAATATCTGAACTGACACAAAAACTAGAAAACCGGACTATTGGATTAATGTCAACCCCGGATGAATAAACCCAATAGACATAATCTGATACTTTTTTATGGTATCCCCCCAATTAAACAACCGTAAACGGGGTTTATTAATCCAGGGTTGACATTAGATGATGAAATCATTCGAAAATGATCTTCTAAGCTGTACCAAATGGATGCTTCAATATGCTAATAATGATTATCTATTTCGAGTATTACTAAATGGATGGCTTCATTTTAGAAACAACACACATATTGAGGTTCTCAGCCATGATTTGAAGCCTGGTGGCGCACCTGATGCCATTGGCCGTGCTTGTAAAAACGGAGGATGTAAACTCCTGCGTGGACGCACATAAGTTGCTTAACTGTTGGGTTTACAGGGAATAAGACTATAGTTAATGGGGGTTAGAGTTCCAAGCTATACCTGGGGGACACCATCTTGTGGGGGCTATACTACCATTTTTCAAATTGTTCAACATCATTTACAGGCTGTTAAAAACAAAAGAAGCCAAACATATATGTGGTTGCATAATGTTGCGTAATTATTTGGTTGATTTATTCTTAACTGTTAGATGGTTGGGAAACTCTAAGTAGCTCCTTGGCTCCCATTGAATAGGGAATATATAAGGAATATGAATACCCCTTGCTCCGTAGCTCCCTGCTAACCACTGGATAGTTAAACAGGGTTGCAATTAGACAACCTATCGTTACGGTTGAGTGCTGAAAATCAAAGGGTCAAGTCGCTGTGGGCACGCCCATCTGGGTGGTGAAGATTTGGGAGGAGGAAACACCCCATAGCTAAGTTGACGCACATAACTAGGTCAACTAGGGTTTATAGGAGATATAACTATATAATACTATATAATACTATAGATACTATATATATATATATATACATAGTCAGATGGGATTATAAGCCAATTTATAGCTAGAGGCGGCCCTTCCTGTATCAACCAAGAAGGATACTGTGATACAATAATGTAAACACGTCAAATACACTCTGGATGTGTACGGTTAGTCCTGGGGGATTGCCAATACGTGCGTTGCTTCATGACCAAGAAAAAATCAACAGGATGATCCAATAGAAGTTGGTCTTGGTAATGAGTCATTGGATAAAAAACCAACTACCCTCTGGTCATTTAACGTAGCTATAGAACATCACTATCTTTTAGAAGGTAAATCATCACAAATCATCGAACAATTGGGCATGTTCCATAGCTTCGTTAGACAACTAGAATAAACATATCACATCCAGCAAGTTAGCACATGGCTAGCTGGAACATGCCGTGTCAATCTGTTGAATACTTCATCGCCAACATGTCGGAAGAATCACCATGTGATTCCTACCAGCCGCAGAGCTCATGCCCTCCAGTAAAGTAACATAGCCATGGAAAATCACAATGTCGGGAAAAATACCATCTATAGTCTATAGGTCCATTGTCAAAAGCACTGTTAAGTCACCTGATGCTATCGCTTGTGTGGAAAACGTATGAGTTAAAATTTAAAATGTAATATCGAATTCCATTCTCAGCCGCGACATTTTCATCTACGAAGTCGTTTGGCCGGCTTGGCATCTCGATCGAAATGTGAATGCGTAAAATCTGTCAAAAAGCTTAAGGGGCAACCATGAATGTGCTTTCCAATGGTCTGCACAGACTCCGGGATGGTCAAACTTGTCAACAAGCTGCAGCCAGCAAAAGCGAAATCCCCAATTTGAGTCACAGACTCCGGGATGGTCAAACTCGTCAACGAGCTGCAGCCAGAAAAAGAAGAATTCCCAATTTGAGTCACAGACTCCGGGATGGTCAAACTCGTCAAAGAGCTGCAATTACAAAAAGCATAATTCCCAATTTGAGTCACAGACCCCGGGATGGTCAAACTTGTCAACGAGCTGCAGCCGGCAAAAGCGGAAGCCCCAATTTGAATCACAGACTCCGGGATGGTCAAACTCGTCAAAGAGCTGCACTCAAGAAAAGCACCGGTCCCAATTTGAGTCACAGACTCCGGGATGGTCAAACTTGTCAAAGAGCTGCACTGACGAAAAGCATAATTCCCAATTTGAGTCACAGACTCCGGGATGGTCAAACTTGTCAACGAGCTGCAGCCAGCAAAAGCGGAAGCCCCAATTTGAATCACAGACTCCGGGATGGTCAAACTTGTCAACAAGATGCAGCCAGCAAAAGCGGAAGCCCCAATTTGAGTCACAGACTCCGGGATGGTCAAACTCGTCAACGACCTGCAGCGCAAAAAAGAAGAAGTCCAAACTTGAGTCACAGACTCCGGGATGGTCAAACTACTCAAAGAGCTGCAATAACGAAAAGCACCATCTCCAATTGCAGTCACAGACTCCGGGATGGTCAAACTCGTCAACAAGATGCAGCCATCAAAAGCGGAAGCCCCAATTTGAGTCACAGACTCCGGGATGGTCAAAGTCGTCAACGAACTGCAGCCAGAAAAAGAAGAATTCCCAATTTGAGTCACAGACTCCGGGATGGTCAAACTTGTCAACGAGCTGCAGCCAGCAAAAGCATGATTCCCAATTTGAGTCACAGACTCTGGGATGGTCAAACTTGTCAACGAGCTGCAGCCGGCAAAAGCGGAAGCCCCAATTTGAATCACAGACTCCGGGATGGTCAAAGTTGTCAACGAGCTGCAATCAGCAAAAGCATGATTCCCAATTTGAGTCACAGACTCCGGGATGACAAGTCGCAACAAGCTACCGCATCCTGCGAAAGCAGCTGGGCGGATGAATGTTTCAGTGTTGGGGATGCGTACGTCACGTACCTCCTGCACATTGTGGCCAGATGCGCTGGCACACTCAAGTGCTGGCGTGACGTAGAAGACAACCTGCAGCCAGCTTCAAAATGTGTTATAGCTTATTATAGCTGCATATATTAATATATATGATGGTGTATGTGGCATTGTCATCCATTCCATAAGAAACAGAAATCCTTATGTGAATACCCAAGCAACTTGACCCCAACTACACTGAATGGGTATATATAAATACCATCCGGTAAACTGTGATGGCTATGGAAAATCACCACTTTAAGCAGGTAATTCAACTACAAGTGAGCCATGTTCAAATATGTTCAATAACTATATTAGATTACCGGAGGGTACTTATTAGTGGAGCTGCACACCCCAAGAACCATGTTTTCTTCGGGGCTCACAGAGAATGGGCCACGCTTCCCCGCACAAACAGGATGATTAATGAATCCGGATATTTCGAAAGCATGACCATACATATTCTAATATAAAAAAAAATACATTGGGACTTTGGAGTCTAGTGTCTCATCATGAAAAAAAGAGGCGTAAGGTGTACGTCATGTTGAGTAATTCTTTGGGCCTCAACTAGGCTTTTTGTTTCAAACGTGCCTGCACTTTGGCAGAGTCGAGGAAAGACTCTGAGACGGACATCTGAAGATCATTCAGATTCTCCCCGTCAACGACAAGCTCCACGGTGCTGAGTCTCCTGGTGAGCTCATCGTCCGATGGATGAAACGCCTGAGCACTGGTGGTTGAGAAATATGAAGTCAATCGGAAGTACATAGACAGAGACTTTGACTTTTTTCAAAACTGTTAAGATGCAGCAAGAGTTAGTTGTGTTAGTTTGAAAACACAACAAACAAACGCTGCTTCTGGAAAACTTGCCCTTGACCCGACCTTCACTTCCTCCTTCAACTCTTCGATGGTCATTTCTGGCTGTACTGCCAAGGTGTAAAGCTTGCCACTGAGCAGTTCCACACTGATGTTCCTGGCCATTGCAAATGCAAAGCTCGACGCAAATTGCCAAATTCAAGGCTGGAACTCCCCTCTTGAACCACTAAGCACTGCGAGCAAATGGCTCAACATAGATGTGCTTTTCTGGCTTTCATGAGTAAAGCCCCGGAAGAAAACTCTGTTGCGGTTTCCATCTGTGCCTGCCCGCTTACTCATGCTTGATCACTTGCAGCTTCTAGGATCTTGGAAGAAAAGGCTCATGAGTTCCAAGTTGTTCCACAGCTCAAGAGCAAAGAAATCAAGGGGTCAAACATCACAGATCCGGTTGCATCTGTAAATGGCGGATAAACTCCATAAATCAATTCACCTTTTGTTGCGCAGCATTTTGGTCACCTTTGGATAATTTTGCTTCTCAGGTACTGAACCCAAATCACACCAGTTGACCAACCAAACTCAGTGTGGTATAAGCTCCATACTGTAGTCATCTGTAGTCTATACCTGGCGGTATAACCTCTCCTTAGACAGCCTGCTTTAGTGGTGGGATGCGAGATCACAGTAGGGGTCACCAATGAAAATATATAGTAGTGATATATATATATATATGTAGTGGTAGTGGTTTATAGTGCTTAATGAAATTGTATATACCTCTACTTGAATTGTTGATGAGCTTGATGTTCACATGGAATTCATTGCCCTCCACGGCCAATGCTTGGGGATGGTCACCGCATGCTGGAAATACCACCTTTTTGCGCACGAATTAACAAGCAGTTCAACCAATCGACGATGCAAGGTATAATCCACACTGTAGATTTGGGTATCCCACAAAACGGCGCTTCTTTCGCGAGATGGAGGCTGTAGTCACATAAGGTGCTATGCTCATCCAGGGTCATCATCCCTCTCATGCTTGGGAAACACCAACAAGTTTTGAGGCGGAAAAAAAAAAACAATGATAGAGATCTGGTTTGTGGTTTCAACCCCTCTGAAAAATATTAGCCAGTTGGGATTCTTATTCATCTTATTCCCAATATATGGAAAAATAAAAAATATTCCAAACCACCAACCAGAGATGGTATTTCCACATTCAATACTTCGGGATAGCTGCTAATCATCAAGCATTTCCATGATGCAACGGTTGCACCCATATGGTTCTTCACATTTCAATCGTCGCCTCGTCGCCTCGTCATGGTTCCAGATACTTTTGGGCGGCTAACGACACGTACAAGTAGAACTTGCTGGGAGAATCATGGATATTTTTGAAAACGACACGTCTCAGTTCTGGTTGGAGATATTGTGTTATGCATTCTTGTGCTCTGTTCCAAGAACCTGGTCTGACCATCAGAACATGCGCCACGAATGGCTCATGCTTGGCCAACAAACATGGGGATTGGATGATGTGACCACGCCACGGGGAGTTGTTTATCAACGCTTAACATGGCTGATCAGCCAGATAGGCTGCAAAAAATGACAGATTCTTAGCTGGTTAGTAAGTAGACAATCTCAAATCCCGAAAGACGATCAATTGGATGAGTTTCTACGCATCTAAGGGTGTCCCATTGACATCCATTCATATCCACTAACATCCATTTAACATCCCCTAGTAAATAGCTTAAAAACACGTGGCTTTTCCCAAGAAATATGCAGGTTTACTGGACATATTCCCTTCATACAAGTCTGGGGTTGTCGTCAGGCTTGGTCTTTCGTGCTGTGTCACCGCTGGTCACTGGTCCACTAAATACTACAGTGTGACCCTTCACTGAACAGTTCTGGTTGGTGGTTTCAATACCTCTGAAAATATTAGTCTGTTGGGATTATTATTCTAAATATATGGAAAAATAAAAAATGTTCCAAACCACCAACCAGTTTAACTGGAATTATAACTCCCGTAACTAAGGTTATATATCATCATAAGTCCAATTTAGAACTGTTAAGGGCCAAAACTGTAGGACTGGGGAGAAGTAGAACTAACTTAACACACACTGGCCACTAATCGAGGCCACAAAAAACTGATACATTAACATAGCTATGGAACATCGCCATTTTAAAAAGGTCAACAACTGCAAATGGCCATGTTCAAAATGTTAAACTACCAGAGAGTATAATATCAAACGTGTTCAAACTGTGGTTCTGCAACTGGGGTTGAAGCATCCTCAGGCCGTACTCGCATGGCAAGGTGTCCAATTCCATCCCATCAGCTGCAGCATTTTCATCTGCGACATCTTTTAGACGGCTTGGCACCACGAACAGCGTTTGGATGCGTTAAATTTGTCAAAGAGCTGCAACCATCAAAGGTGCGCTTCATAATTCTAGTACTCATAGACTTTGGGATATTCAAACTCGACAAAGAGCGGTAGTCAGCAAAAGCAAATTCCCCAATTTCAGTAATGGACTCTGGGATCGTCAAACTTGTCAACGAGCTGCAGCCAGCAAAAGCATGATGCCCAATTTGACTCACAGACTGTGGGATCGTCAAACTTGTCAACAAGCTGCAGCCAGCAAAAGCAGTATGCCCAATTTGAGTCACAGACCCCGGGATGGTCAAACTTGTCAGCGAGCTGCAATTTTGAAAAGCATAAGGTCCAATTTGAGTCACAGACTCCGGGATGGTCAAACTTGTCAAAGAGCTGCAACTACGAAAAGCATCAGCTCCAATTACAGCGACAGACTCCGGGATGGTCAAACTCGTCAAAGAGCTGCACTCACGAAAAGCACCTTCTGCAATTTGGGTCACAGACTGTGGGATCGTCAAACTTGTCAACGAGCTGCAGCCAGCAAAAGCATGATTTCCCATTTGAGTCACAGACTGTGGGATCGTCAAACTTGTCAACGAGCTGCAGCCAGCAAAAGCATGATGCCCAATTTGAGTCACCGACCCCGGGATGGTCAAACTTGTCAGCGAGCTGCAATTTTGAAAAGCATAAGGTCCAATTTGAGTCACAGACTCCGGGATGGTCAAACTTGGCAACGACCTGCAGCCGGCAAAAGCGGAAGCCCCAATTTGAATCACAGACTCCGGGATGGTCAAACTCGTCAAAGAGCTGCACTCAAGAAAAGCACCGGTCCCAATTTGAGTCACAGACTCCGGGATGGTCAAACTTGTCAAAGAGCTGCACTGACGAAAAGCATAATTCCCAATTTGAGTCACAGACTCCGGGATGGTCAAACTTGTCAACGAGCTGCAGCCAGCAAAAGCATGATTCCCAATTTGGGTCACAGACCCCGGGATGGTCAAACTTGTCAGCGAGCTGCAATTTTGAAAAGCAGAAGGTCCAATTTGAGTCACAGACTCCGGGATGACAAGTCGCAACAAGCTACCGCATCCTGTGAAAGCAGCTGGGCGGATGAATGTTTCAGTGTTGGGGATGCGTACGTCACGTACCTCCTGCACCTTGTGGCCAGATGCGCTTGCACACTCAAGTGCCGGCTTGACGTAGAAAACAACCTGCAGGCAGTTTCAAGACGTGTTGTAGCATATCATAGCTATATACCGATAAGCTATATATTATTAAATATTGATATATCCCAGAACTTCCGCATGCAAGTTTAACTGGGCACTTTGACAAAGTACCAGTTTAACTTGAACCTTTCACAACCGTCATGTTTTACTTGGCTAACAAATGGACCGATATGGGCTATATATTTTGGAAGCTCTCATTAATTAGATTGATGAAGGCTCAAAATGCCCCTACTTTCTTCAATGAAAAAGTGTAGCGCACAATTTTGCGTGTCGGCCGCATATTGGGCAAAATATTGAACCTCTCAAGGCACACGTAAAAAGATGAGATTGCTAATGGTAGGTATATATGTGTATATGTATATATACCCTTTCATTCCCTGTAACTATATGTTTAAGTCTAGGGGTTGGGAAAGGCCACGGGGTTTCAATTCATGTGCAGTTGAAATGTGCGAGTGTGTCGTTGAAAGTGCGATTTTCACACTCAAATTCGAAAATTCTGAAATTTCCCGCTGAAAAAACTCAAGCGTCATTTCAGCGTGAAAAGTGCGCGAAAAACCAATGCTTTCACCGTGAAAGTGCGTGAACAACTTGTGATTTCCGAGTTACCAAAAAAAAATCTTCCATTGTGAATTTATTCAGTAGCCAGTACGTTCATAGCCAACACTATTACTGATCCGGGGGACCATGGACGTGCAAGAGTCTCTCCGGAAAGCGCGAGAAAGGGCACTCAGGGCCAAAACTGAAGTCAATGGTTCTGAGAAGTCAGGGCCCAAGGTCACTTATGAACCATATTTTGTTTTTATCCTTCTAGTTTCTCCATGATATATGTATAAAGGTTCTTGCTTCCGATACTGTAGCGGTTGGTGGATATCTTAAGGGTTCCACTGGGGTGTATACATATAATCCCCATTCTGTATTTTTTCAGGTGTCAAGTGAAAAGGGTACTTTCTGTGAATCATGTACTTTCTAGAACGTGCAAGCTTAACTGGGCACTTTGGAAGTTCAGGGTATGATGATATATTATATATATATGTGGCATGGTCATCCATTCCATAAGAAATAGAAATCCTTAATCCCAAAATGGCTTGATGACCATCCCCCAAGCACTTGGCTCTACCCAAGTAACTTGACCCCAACTACACTGAATGGGTATATACCATCTGGTAAACTAAGATTGGCTATGAAAAATCACAACTTTTAATAGGTAAATCAACTATGAATGGCCCATTTTCCATAGCAAACTCTTAAATTCCCAAAGACAAACCATAGCTTAGTAACCCTCATGTTTGTTGGGATATGGGGCTATGGTGAAATCTGAACTACCGAACTGGAAAATCACCACTTTGACTAGGCAATTCAACTATAAGTGGGCCATGTTCAAATATGTTCAATGACTATGTTAGATTACCGGAGGGTACTTATTAATTAGTGGAGCTGCTCCCTCCAAGAACCATGTTTGTCTTCAGGGCTCACAGAGAAGGGGCCATGCTTCCCCGCACAAACAGGATGATTAATGAATCTGGATATTTCGCAAAGCATGACCATACATATCCAAATATCAAAACAGAAATTGCAACTTTGGAGTCTATTGTCTCATCATAAAAAAATGCGTAAGGCGTAAGTCATGTTGAGTCATTCTTTGGGCCTCAACTTGTTTTTTGGGTTTAAAGAGTGCCTGCACTTTGGCAGAGTCGAGGAAAGACTCTGAGACGGACATCTGAAGATCATTCAGATTCTCCCCGTCAACGACAAGCTCCACGGTGCTGAGTCTCCGGGTGAGCTCATCGTCCGATGGATGAAACGCCTGGGGAATGAGGCATCACATGAACTGCAGCACTGGTGGTTTTCGCCACCCCTTACACCATATGAAGCCAATCGGGATTACACCAGTCATATGAGTCATAGACATAGACTTTGACTGTTTTCAAAACTGTTGAGACACAGCAAGAGTTAGTTATAGACGCAACAAACAAACGGTGCTTCTCCACCCCTGGCCCGTGACCCGGCCTTCACTTCCTCTTTTAAGTCTCCGATGGTCATGTCTGGGCGTGCTGCTAGGGTGCAAACCTTGCCACTGAGCAGTTCCACATTGATATTCCTTGCCATGGCGCAAACTTCGACGCCTTTTTCATGCCGTAACTCTCCTCTTGAACCACTAAGCACTGCGAGGAAGGCTTTACCCAACCCAGTCATTGCGGTTGTAGATTGCCCCACTTCATCCCACTTCGAGTGGTGATTTTACCATATTTTACCTGGCCATACCAGGGGGATATGACTCGGTAGTGGGGAACGCATGGAATATCCTGTTTCACTACAATGAGCAAGTGGGATAGTTCAGATCACCCATAACTACTGGACGATCACCCTACTTACCTGCATACAATTGGGTTACAACCCACTAAAAAGATCCCCGTGGTTTTCGCCACCAAGTGTTCATTTCTAACCCGGTTTTGAAGAGTCAAAAAATGGATCGGAAGAAAAGTCAAAATCCATGGATTTTGATGATGTAAAAAAATGTTCCAAGTCTGGTGGATTGACCAACATCATGCAGGAAACGGTGGATGGTGCCCCCAAACGTGATGTGCTTGAACGTTGGTTTATAAACAATTATAGCCCCGATTAACTATAGTTATATCTACCATAAACCATACAATTCAGTAGTTATATCTACCCCCAACTAATTAACTATAGTTACATCTACCCAAAAAAACATAGGGAAATTGGAGTTATCAACGCACCAACTTAGCGATTTAGCTCACTGGGGCACTACCTTGTGGGGAGCTACACTTTCAGACAGTTCTTATACGGCAGCAACAGCAGCAGTTGACCAATCCCAACCCAGTGGGGCAAGTGGGGCATAGCCTCAATATTTGGCCGTATAATTCTTAGACAACCTGTTTTAGTGGTGGGACAGGATGTGGGATGGCAATAATACTGACCATGGTCTATGTATGTATGTATGTTATGGTATGGTATGTTATGTTATGTATGTATGCTATGTATGTTATGTATGTACATTATGCTATGTTATGTTATGTTGTGTTATGTAATGTAATGTTATGTATGTATGTAAGTAGGTATGTTTGTGTGTATGTATGTATGTGTGTATGAATGTATCGATCGATCGATCTCTATCTATCTATCTATCCATCTATCTATCTATCTATCTTTCTATCTTTCCATCTTTCCATCTTTCTATCTATCTATCTATCTAACTATCTATCTATCTATCTATCTATCTTTCTATCTTCTATCATCTTTCTATCTATCTATCTATCTAACTATCTATCTATCTATCTATCTATCTGTATGTCTGCCTGTCTAGCTGTCTATCTGTCTGTCTGTCTATCTATTTACCTATCTATCTATCTATTTATCTATCTATCTATCTATCTATCTATCTATCATTCTATCGTTTTATCTATCTATCAATCTATCTATTGGTCTATCATTCTGTTGTTCTGTCTATCTATCTATCTATCTATCCATCGATCTATCTATCTATCTATCTGTCTATCTGTCTACCTGTCGATCTATCTATCTATCTATCTAGCTAGCTATTATATATCTAGCTATTATATATCTATGTATCTTTGTATCTATGTGTGCCATATTTGAAACATGCTATAGTTGATGGACATCCAACCATCATTAGCATGATTGAGCATCATTTGCAAGTGTACTTAAATACTATTGTATACAATTTTCAAACTTTATCTAATAATGTAGTCTACCTCAAAATGGCAAGTTCGACATAATCAAATGGTAAAACATGTTGAATTGTAAATTATATGTCTCATCATAGATACCCTGCAAAAAATGACAGAGTCTCAGCTGGCTAGTAAGTAGATACTCCCATGCCAAAAGACTATTTTGGATTAGTTTCTAGCCATCTAATCTTATCCCATTAACATCCATTAACATCCCATCTAAGATTAAACTGCCCATCTAAGATTGCCCATGAATTGTGAATACAACAGCAAACAGTGGATTTCAGGGCTACGGTGCCACCATGTGCCGCGCGTTGCAAAAAAGCGAAGCGCTCGCCGCGCAGGTCCTATGGACGGGTTGGAGAACTTCATGTCCGCAAAGATCTGGGCGATCAACCTACGGCTGAAGAAAACCCCAGTTACTTTTTTGGTGAACATCAAAATAGGTGGTAAAATGGAGGGTAATCTTCCCAACCATAGCTTTTGACCCATATAAGTAGTACTTATCCATATGAGCCCAGTGATAGGATATCCCCACTTAGATGAATGGCTTCAATATTTTTTCTTGGCGGCCTCAGCAGCCATGAGATCTTCAACTTGGGAGTGGCCGAGGCTTATTTTCATGGCTATAACCATAGGATTTTGAAAGCTGCATAAGTTGGTGTACAATACAACTCCTACAACTATGGTTATGTAAGCCACTTGTAGACAATATCACACAATTATAATGTTAAGATCCTATTATTGTAGAAATAGTAGATAACTGGTTGGTGGTTGACCTACCCCTCTGAAAATATGACGAATCGTCAATGGGAAGGGCTATCCCATATATGGTGGAAAATAAAAAATGTTTGAAACCACCAACCAGATAATATTGGAGTTATTTTTCTCTATATTAATAAGTAGATAAGTGTTGCAATGCCATTATCAGTGTCATCTCTCTGCAAGTTCTACTTATAGTCAATTGTGTTGCCACACTACCTTCAATTGTCAATAAGGCCACTGAATATTCATTGGCTTGAGTAAAAATAGCTTAGATTCGATTCAAACTAGATACCTGATGTCTTTTTGTAACTGTCCATTGATAGCGCGAAGCCACAAACTGGAACCAATTTTCGCTGGCCAATCTTTCAAACCATCCCACGGCCAATCTTAGATACCCTGAAAGACAACAGATTCTTGGCTAGCTAGTAAGTAGATAATCCCATGGCAAAAGACTATTTTGGATTAGTTTCTAGCCATCCAATCTTATCCCATTAACATCCGTTAACATCCCATTAACATCCATTAGAATCCCAATAATATCCATTAACATCCCATTAATAGCCATTAACATCCTATCGACATCCCATCTAAGATGAACCGCTACCCATCTTTCAGCTTGCCCTTTGCCCATCCCATCGACATCGACATCGACAAGAAACCAAGGTTTCATTGCGACCGCTTGCATGCCAGCCACTAGGTAGAAGTTCTCCAGCATGCCTGGCTTGAAAACATTGCCCATACGGATCCGGTATTTTTTTGGTGTTTACTGAGCTAATACTTGATCATTAGTGGAATATAATAGGGTTTCTTCAATGTATTCATTATGTATTATGTTGGGATCATATTATTCTGATGGACCCTGATACATTCACCATTTATGTTTGGTTTTTCCAGCAAACAAAAAATATCTATATACAGTATATAATGGAATATTGATTGCGGACCATGGATGTCCAAAAGAATCTACTGGACATGATGTTTGGTTTTCTGCACTAGATTAATTCGTTGTATATATATATATTTGTATTAATATACATAATATAATCCCCAAACAAATAGAAAAGTCAAATCCTACTAATACAATGATGAGAAACTGTTCTATCGGTTTACATGTATATACACATATATATATATATACACATATGTATATATATATACACATATGTATATATATATATATATAGGTTATCTATATATATATATGTATATATACAATATATAGAGTTATAGTTATAGACTATGATTTTCCTGACAATCAAAAAACAACGTGCTTTTCCGTTCAGTTCCTGGTCAACACGCTCAACTCATGCTGAGAATTAAATATTGCTTCGATTGTTTTACGCTCTAGAAATGCCCTCTGGTAATTTAACATAGCTGTTGAAAATTGCCATTTATAGTTGGTTGACCTATGAAAAAATGTATAAAAATGTGATTTTCCATGGCTATATTAGTTTCCCAGAGGGTACTCATCAGAGAGATACGTCCATTACCAATCAAAAACAAAGTTTTTGCTGGATTGGAGTTGGTGTAGATGCAGCTCCGTATCTACAGCAAAATAAAAGAGTAGGATTAAGTCGCCATCCAAGGTTTGACCCGTTTGACCAGAAAATCTTCAGATACTTCCAAGAAGTTTTTGGAATGTGTTTTTTTGCTTTCGGTCTTAAGCCAAGATTTGTTTCTTTGAAGCATCCCCGTTGTACTCATTGTACTCACCAAGAGAGATTGTCCTCATGACCTTTTCAGACATACAAAAAACACAGTCGAATTATTCGCCCTCAATGGTACCGTACAACAGCAACGAAAAGATGAAATTCGAAGTTCAAAAAGCAACTGGTGAAATGTGGGTCAAAAAAACAAGGTCACGCCGCCTGTAACGACCCTGCTGTTTTTCACCTCTTAATTCGCTACTTTTTTGTGTGTCGCATGACCCTCACAGCGTTTTCTTGTTCTGCCCATTTGTTGAGTAGCCAATTTTCCTCTGCGTTTTACAGTGGTTTGTGTGTGTGTTAAGTCGTATTTCCAAGGCGTTCAATCATGAACTTCAATTCCTAAACGCAAAAAAACACTAGAATGTTTCGTAACAAGCGTGTAGACATGCGACATGCAACATGGAGAACACCTGAGGCAGTCCAAGTCTTGTGCGCTAACTTTCCTAAGTCTTTGAGCTGGTGCTTTCCAAGTGTATTGGATCGCCAGACACAACTGTACACATACTCGGCATTTTTTTCATTCAGCAGCCCCTTGGGCGTCTTAGAACACAGTTCCTTTGGGATATACCGTTTCAAGGCTGACCATTTCTTGTCAATGAACTGCGTGCCATGCGTCTTGTTACAGCGTAGCATCAAGAGTCTAGCAAGTGACAAGAGACATATTGCAGCGTAGCATCAAGAGCGTCTGGCAAGTGACACGAGACATGTTACCGCGTAGCATCAAGAGCGTCTAGCAAGTGACAAGAGACATGTTGCAGCGTAGCATCAAGAGCGTCTGGCAAGTGACCAGAGACATGGTGCAGCGTAGCATCAAGAGCGTCTAGCATGTTACAGCGTACCCCTTGCCCCCCCACCCCCCCACCCCCCCACCCCCCCGCAAGGTTCTCCAAGAAAATCACACTATCCTTCGTGCACAAGTTCTAACTGACGTGCAATACTTCTAACTAACGGGCAATACTTCTAACTGACGGGCAATACTTCCAACTAACGGGCCATACTTCTAACTAACGGGCAATACTTCTAACTAACGGGCAATACTTCTAACTAATGGGCCATACTTCTAACTAACGGGCAAAAAGTGTCACATTCCCCAGGGCCGGTAGGGGCGTCGTGAGCAAAAAGGAATTGGTGAAATGTAGTTCAAAACAGCAACATTTAGAAGTTCAACTTAAGTGAAATGTCAAAAGAAACATTAACCAATGCCCATGTTTTTTAATTTTCGGGTATCATCCCATGAAATCCTGGCTGCGAGGCGCAACGGTGGTTTTTATGGTGGCTTACAACAATCCTTAGATAGGAATGTAAGCTTCAACTTAAGCAACTGGTGTTTCATGTGGTGCATTGTCATTGCCAATCTTAGATACCCTGCAAAAAGTGAAAAAATCCCATTGGCTATCTTGGTTTGGCCATGCTTCTTCATTCCAAGTCTCCTGGCCTTCTGCTTCAGGCTCTTCAGACCACTGCTGAGTTTCCTCTTGGTTCTCAACTGCGTACTGCTTTCCAGACTTGGATCCCATCTTGCTTTTACCCTTTCCTTTGGATGGTTTGCCTTTTCCCTTTGGAGATACCTTTGAACCCTTGGTTCCCTTACCGGTGGATGAGCCTTTTGAGCTTGAGCCCTTGCTAGTGGATGAAGATGAAATACCTTTCACTTCCATGCCAACAGTCTTTGGAAACATGTCCAACTTTTCCACATGTGTAACATGTTTTGGTACTCTTACCTTTTCCTTTCCCTTGAACATAGTCCAAATCCAGAGGAGCCGCACCACCATCATCAACCATTGACTTTAAGAAGCCTTTTGTTCCAGAAAGGAAATCACTTCACTACGGATCTTGGGGTAAGTGCCAAACCGCTGGATATTGAGTTCAAGATGTTCTTCAAGATTTTCTGATACCATAGCCAACAGAACTGCACGAAGAGTCTCATCTGAAGGTTTTGTTTGTCCTCTTGATTCATACTCCACAATGTCAGATTCAAATCGATCTAGGCTACTCCTCATAGTTGACATAGTAGCCCTTGCTGGACTGAGAATCCTTCTCAACAGTCTGATGTTTGTTCGATTGTTCTGAGGCTCGTAAGTAACACACAATCTTCTCCACGCATCAAGCCCACACTTTTTCCTCGAGTTGTAAACCACGTCATAGGCCACCCCTTGTGTCAAAGAAACCAAGGCTACATGAAGATGAGCGTCAATTGCATCAACGTCCTGCAACGCGCTGTTCAGGAGATCCACAGCAGAAACAGGATCATCACCTTTTCCTCTAGCATAATCTAGAGCTTGCTGACCAGTAGGCCATTGACTGCAGAACCACGTTTCGAATTTGTAACTCCAGGGCTTCCATTGTTTCTGAACTTCCTCATGACTACCTTTGAGGACATCGGGCTTTCCAATCCCTTTCACATCTACAATCCCTGGTCGGGCTGCAGATTTCTGGAATCCATCTGCCAGCTTCTGTAGACCTTCTCTTGTCTCTCTGGCAATCTGCGCTTGCCCTTGCTGCAACTGCAGCAGCAACTGTGCAAAGACTTGCTCTGCTTGTCCAGCCCCTGTTGCCCCGATTGGGCTTCCACTTGGACTTCCTGGCCCACTCATTGCTGATTAGGCAAGTTTCCTGACGTCCTATCCAACAGTGACCTTGGATAGTTTCTCAGGTACTGCCCAACGTTGGCAAATACCCTTTGCAGATGTCTCAAGTTGAGAATCCTCTGCACCAGCCTCACCCCCAAGTCCGGTCTGACGTAGATATTCCCATTGATATCAAAAGACTAAAGGATTAGTTTCTACCCATCTTTCAGATTGACCTAGTTTTAAACAAACTGGTGAAATGTAGTTCAAACCAGCAACAAAATAAGAAGTTCTCCAGGGATCATCCCATGAAATCCGCAAGGCTGCGATGCGCAACGGTTGATTTTTATGGTGACGTATTCGTCATCCTTAGATTGTTGAATGTGAGCCCGAAACAAAAAAACTGCCAATTGCTATTCTATAAGATTCCGTAACTGTTATTTTTTTTGTTCCCGCATGGCTGGTTGAAACTTGGAAGTCGAAGCTCCATTAAAACCATCAAATCCCGCAGAAAAGTATCTGACACTACTGGTGTTGGGCTCGGGATCCCAGCATTTCACAACTTTCTTGAGGTTGACCAATGAACAAAGAAACAGCTTACTCTAGTGGGTCATAAGCCCAACATATCCCAGTTGCAAGTGGTGATGTTACATGATGTAACCAACTGACTCACAATCCAGTCCAGGAATCAACCATTTCTGTGCTTAAACATCTTCAACGCTTGTAGATTTACACGTTAATTGAACCCCAAACATACACTTTATTAACTCTTCACATACCCACAATGTAGTGCCCCATAGCTAAGTTGGTTTATAAATCCCATAACTATGGTTTATGATAGATGTATCTATATTATACATCTATGGTTTATAAGCCAACTTATAACTGGGGGGCACCACCCTGCAGATACATTCCATTGAAAACATACTTCACTTCGAGTCATCCCCACCATGACATTTATACGTTTTGTTACTGGCAAAACTTCTGGCATTCTATCTGACATATCTTCTGGCATTCGATCTGGCATTCTATCTGGCATATCTTCTGGCATTCTACCTGGCATATCTTCTGGCATATCTTCTGGCATTCTATCTGGCATTCTATCTGGCATATCTTCTGGCATATCTTCTGACATTCTATCTGGCATATCTTCTGGCATTCTATCTGGCAAACATTCTGGCACTTTATCTGGCATACCTTCTGGTATTCTATCTGGCATATCTTCTGGCATTCTATCTGGCATATCTTCTGCCATTTTATCTGGCATATCTTCTGGCATTCTATCTGACATGCTATCTGGCGTTCTATCTGGCATATGGCATTCTATCTGGCCGTTGAGGTTCAGCGGTGCTCACTGAGCTCGGAAGGTCCCAGGTTGAGGTCCAGCGGTGCTCACTGAGCTCGGCGGGTCCCAGGTTGAGGTCCAGCAGTGCTCACTGAGCTCGGAAGGTCCCAGGTTCAGGTCCAGCGGTGCTCACTGAACTCGGCAGGTCCCAGGTTGAGGTCCGGCGGTGCTCACTGAACTCGGCAGGTCCCAGGTTGAGGTCCAGCGGTGCCCAGTGCGCTCAGACACTTGCAGTTGAGGTCCAGCAGTGCCCACTGCGTGCAGAAGTTGGCGAAGAGCTTGGCGAAGAGTTGGCAAGGCGGAAGTGGACATGGAAGTGGAGGCAGCGGTGGTGGAGGAGAAGGAGGAGGAGAAGGAGGAGGAGGAGAAGGAGAAGAAGGAGGAGGAGAAGGAGGAGAACAACTCTGATAAAATCTAACAACCCTCACCTGGCAGGTGGGGAAAAATCCAAGATTTCACTCCGAGTTCCTCGTGTTCCCAGTGCTGCACCCGCAGAAGCCTCGCCTTGGTAAATGCGCCCGGCGCGCGGCACGATGCCAGGCTGACTGAAGGGATATGGCGCGTCCATGACCATCTCCTGGGCGGAACATGGGGATATACCGTGATATACCCGTTGAAAATGGCCCATTTATAGTGGATTACCAATTGAAAATGGTGATTTTCCATAGTTATGTAAACGTTTACCAGATATACCAGATTTTCTAATGGGATAATTATACTGATGTTGTTCAGATGGGATCATATACCTGTTTTTTTTCATTTCTCTCTGGTCAACTAACAGTTTGCGAACTTGAAAATGGCCCAGTCGAAATAGTGGATTTACCCAGCTAAAAAATGGTGGAATTTCAAGTTCGTTATGTAACTGGAGATCCATGGAATTTGTGTGGAGGTTTCCGAAGAAAATGGAGCTACTCCCCGGGGTAGCCTAATATTTGATGGTTTCCCCCTATGTTCCCGGGGATGTCATGGAATACGATAATGAAGTATCAGTGGTTCATGACCCAGATGTCTGGGTTTGGTACCTGAACTGCAGGCAAATCACCACAGTTGATGCTTCAGAAGCTCATGTTCCCCATGATTTTTGTTGTTACCCTCTGGTAAACATACAAAAAGCTATGGAAAATCACAATTTTCAATAGGTAAATCAACTATAAATTGGCATTTTCAATAGCTTTTTGTATGTTTACCAGGCCGGGTATTTGGAGGTATCCCCCAAGTTCAGACAGACCCCAATGACCCAATGATTTTTGCACACAAAAAGGGATGTGTTCTGCAAAGTCTCCCTGAAAACCAAACCTTGGATGATGGGCTCATGCTGGTTGATGCTTGGTATTCCTCAGATATACCCTCTGGTTATTTGACGTAGCTTTAGAAAATCACCATTTTCAATAGATAAACCATCTATAAATGAGCAATTTTCCATAGCTATGTTAAATAACCAGAGGGTAATATGAGATAATGGGCATTAATGAGCCATATTCGATATGTCGTCTCCTGTGGACTTCCCTTCCAAAAAATACATGGACAAATTGGGCCCCGAAATACTTATCTTTGCGAGTGAAAACTGAGTTTTCAAGGGGTGTTCATGGCGAAATAAACACTAATCATTGCTGATTGGTGATTTCAACTCAAGAACATGGTCCGTTGGATTGGGACCGGGATCATCTGAGTTGAAAAAAACCCTGTATGTAAATCCTGATCCCAAAAGCAAATCATGTGATTTCCAAGCGGCGGTCTTCATAATTTATGTCTTGGCGCTAGATTCTGAACTGTTTGAACTAGAGCTTGTTGCATCTACATCAGAGCTGCTTTCAGCTACATCATATCCGTAGAGAAAGTTTCGTTCAGCAGTTTCTTTTTCAGGGAACAGCATCTTTTTCACAATCCCATGGCGGGGTCATTTTGAAACAGGGCAGGAAAGTTTGACAGTGTTACTGGGAAAATTAACCCATCTATGGAACAGATTGCTATCAGGTCAACAATGACTTGGAACGCAGCGCACATGGTATGAATGGTCTGCGGTCTCCGGGTTTTTGTGGGCAATTGGTCATTCTGACTGAAATCCTGATGTCGTTCAGAGGTCGTTCTGAGGTCGTTTGGGAGCCGAAAAAAATGGCCAAATAATGACCCTTGAATACACAGTAATTATACAATCTGAAAATCAGATCCCTGTCTGAATTCCCCGGAACGGGTAGGGTCCTCTGTGTTCCTAGTGGACATGCACTTCTTAGGTGCGCCCAGGATAAATTCCTTATAAAATGGCCCTATCTCCAAACATTTTTTGTGCACGTGCATTGGTGGCAGAGCACCGGGAAGAGTCTTGGCGCTCGTACAGACATGGTTCTAGAGGGAAACCGCTCAGGCTAGGGTCTCGTTGCAGAGATTACAAAGACCGTGCCAGATGCAATTTGCCAGCCCCGAAAAATGTATTTAGGGTGGTTACGGGTGTAATTTGGCTGCTGATTTGTTTTAAATGTATCTAGACCTGTATATAAATATATGTAAATATATACTTATATAACTTATATACGTATATTTAGGAGGTCGTTCCAATGTCGTTCTGGATGTCGTTCAAAGGGTCGTTCCCCAACTAAATGGCACATTCCAAAATTACCAAAAACATCCGAAATAGCTGCGGCGGTGCCTGGAATTCTGAACGAAGGATCGCACAATACTACTGTAAATTAACCCCCCTTTTTTTTGGCTCATCTCATTTTTTCGAACATGTCTGAAATATTCTGAAAGTATGGTACACCATGGTACACCAAAAATCTGATGGTCAATGATGATGTTCCCTATAAACAAAACATCGCACAATTTTGGCATCATTTTAAGAGCATTTTCCACTTCGGGACAGGCCAATGTGTTGCAACTATCTTAGAGGGGCCCCAATCCACCCCCACAGAACCGGTCAACGGGGGACCCAACATATTTTTTGTGTTGGATGTGTTTAGTAATAAGTGTCGATCCTTCCTGCTCAAATCATTTGTGAGTATGACTTAACCGGGGGTCAATAGTAAAACTGGTTGGTGGTATACCTACCCCTCTGAAAAATATGAGTTCGTCAGTTGGGATGATTATTCCCAATATATGGAACAATAAAATTCATGTTCCAAACCACCAACCAGAAAAACACGATTCGTCTCTATGTCAAGAAATACGATGTGCATCGGGTGCTCGCCAAATTGAAGGGACAAGCCAGCCTGTTCTGCGGGGATGCAGCCCGAAAGATTTAGGGATTCTTGGGTATCAGCCAGTTATGTTGCGTGTGAAATACTGGTCAAGTTGCGCTGTCAAATGAAAGAAATATGTGTTACGATGTGGAGAGGATCCTCATCTCAGCACGAACATCGAATGTTGGACGAAACTGATCGTGATACATCACCATACAACTTCACTTGTCCTGGGAGAGTGTTCTCAACTGTGAAAACATGAATGATTCAACTTCGTGAGGCTGTCATACTGAGAATCCAGGGAAGTATTCACTAATTCCTCAAAGATTGGAGGCGACTGCTGCATATCAACCCTGGCTTCGAAGTTATCTTCTGTATAGAAAATGTGTGTCCAAAAATAGGGTACCCCCAAATCCAGTTCAATAGAGAACCTCATGTTATCATGGTACCTCTTAAATGCCATGTTGGGGATACACATTTCTTTTTCACATTTTCCCGCATGGATGAAATGGCTGGGAGAATAAGCCACACCAGAAATAAAGTAGCCTCCGGTAAACGTTTACATAGCTATTGAAAATTGCCCATAGAAATAGATGGTTTACCTTTCAAAAATGGTGATTTTCTATAGCTTTTTGTATGTTGACCAGAGGGTACAACATCCCAAGCCAACCGCCAATTCTCCTGCAGTCTTCGCCACATGGCCGGCTTCTGCAAGGTGCTATAGTCCGGTACCTCGTTACCTGCCGTTTTTTGGGGTCAGTGAGTCGTCTTTCCAAACCTCAGTGGACTGGTTTGGAAAACCCACTGTTGAAACCATGTACCCTCTGGTAAACTAACATAACTATGGAAAATCATCCCCTTTTTAAATGGGAAAACTCACTCTTTCTATGGCCATATTCAATAGCTATGTTAGTCATTACCAGAGGGTATTTAATGTATTTCCATCAAACATGGCCAAACTTAGATACCCTGCAAAAAAAAAACTGGTTAGTAGATAATCCCATTGATACCAGAAGACTAAAGGATTCAACTACAGTACCCATCTAAGATTGACCTAGCAAACATGGGGAGTTCAACGTTCAACAATAATCCTTGCAGCAAGCATCTAGCACATTGCATGAAATGAACCATTGACCAACATATTTGCATGTTTGGTTGATGACAAGTGCCCAATGCACCAAGCGCTAACAAGTTTGGTTGTTTAATTGTTACTTAGTTCAACTTAGTTTCCATCGATAGGTCTGATAGGTTCTTTAATCTGACAGAATGATGGCATTGTCTTTCAAAGCGCCACATAACCAGACTGTCCTTCAGTCTACTCAACAAACGCGCAAGGGGCTTTCCCAAACCTTTACATACCCCTAGGCTAGGGATCCAGTCGTATTCTGCATGATTGAGGTTCCCAATCACATCATCACCTTGGTCTTGGCCTTAAAACACAATCCTCCGGACGGTGATTTGATCCCCAGCGTTTTTTCGACAGGACTCAACACATTCATCCAAGGGCATCTTTATGATGTAGTCCATCATGCAGCAACTCATATCCGGCCAAAAGCACACATATTGTGACTATAGAAATCTATAATGTCAACCCTGGATTAATAAACCCCAAACGGCTGTTTAATTGGTGGGGTACCATTTAAGTATTAGATGAAATGACTATTGGAGGAGTACCACCCTAATTAATAAACAATGGTTCATTAATCCGGGGTTGACATTAAGCCACAAAATGCCAGCTTGAACTGGGGAAAGATCCAGAACATATATATATGTATATATATATGCTATATATGTGGTAACATTTACCATCAATATACCCCCAATGTTAGCATATATACCATACATGGAGCATATGGGCAATGATTCAGTTTCATGTTCATTTCAGGCGCCAAAAAAAAGGCTTCGTCCTTGCTGCCACTTGCAGATTCTCTTGGGGAATCCCCCAATCCTACAGGATGGTGCCCCACTTCGTGAACGCTAAGTTGACTTTTAGCTAACTTGCTAGACATGTTCAATGGATTGATGAATGGGGGTTCTATCTATAGTATTCATGGGGTGAAACTAAACCCAAAAAACATCGGGGCAGCATCCTGTGGGATGATTCATCCATATTCATCCATATTCATCCATATTCATCCATATTCATCCATATTCATCCCATTGGATCAGAGAACTATCCCTACTGCTGGGCGCCTTTGAACCAGGATTTGCTGTTGGGTGGAAACTTCCTCAGTGGCCGTGCCAGCGTTGGACTCCGTTGGACCTGGGAAAATCCATTCCTTTCTTCAAATTAACGTATGAGTAGTGGGAGCCTACGCCGGGCATACGATGTCTTAAGTGGAGTTCCCACTTTATCTTTTTTTCTGCGTCCAGAAAGAAACACGCTACTCATATATATATATATATGTTTAATGCATATGAAGAACAATATATAACTGGTAGGTCGTTTCAACCCCTCTGAAAAATATGAAAGTCAGTTGGGATTATTATTCCCAATATATGGAAAAACAAAAGCCATGTTCCAAACTACCAACCAGATAACCATGATACTTCATCCGTTCACATTTCTTACAGTATACAGGATCTTAAAGGCCATACAAGTTGATTGGTTTGTGCGAAAATTCCATGCTATAAACCCATTTTTTTGGGGGGGATGATGGCTACCACCCATTTAGGATGTGATGTTGGGCATTGGATCCCACAAGATTTCCGATGCTGATCCATACCCCAGCTTGATAGTAACGATAGTAACCTCCCAAAAGAATCAGCATACTACTGTGTATATCAAGATTTTACTATGATATAAAGATGATATATATATATAGATATTCTGTGTTAGTGTGATATCAAGATTTTCACAGTACTAGTTTCGAATCCATCTAACTGTGATTAGTATGATATAAACTAGCACTACTGCGTCTTGCTGTGTTTAAGGATTGGATTTTACTTTTTTTATCTTTTTGGGGATTACTTGTAGATGGTTCCTCTTACCGTGGTGAAACAAATCTATTGGCAATCCTCGATGGCCTGCTAAAAATAGGTGTTTTGCAGGTTTGGACTATCCGCATTTACAGTAAGAGAACATTGATCATGGCGAATCATGATTACTAGAATTTATTGGATATCATTCATGGACAATTCAGGTACACCAATCAGTAAGAGAGTAAGTAGTTGGTACTAAAGTTTTAATTTGGTATACTACTACTTGGTGGTGAACTACCCAGGAAATTCTAGGTGGGTTACTATGAAGTACCCGTCCAAGGTTAAACAAAATGATGATGAAAAACAACTGATACGTTGGGCACCAACGGTAAACACTCAAGAACAAAACACCTGGAATTCTCTGTTTTCACTTGGGGTGCAATTGGGTTATTATGTTTTAGCCCTCCATGTTTGTTGGGATATAGGGCCCCCAGAAATATGGTTATCTGGTTGGTGGTATACCTACCCCTCTGAAAAATATGAGTTCGTCAGTCGGGATGATGATGATTCCCAATATATGGAAAAATAAAAGCCATGTTCCAAACCACCAAACAGTGTATATATATATATAACCACTATTAACTATTAACCCACCATTAACCATTATTAACCACTATCAACCACCAGTCAGATATAAAATATCTCTGGTTTTTTCCAGCCACTTATGAATCGAACGGCACCCCATCGCCAGGCGCCACGCGCCACGCAACCACGTGCTTTTGGTGTTATTTTTGGCCAATGTTTCTGGGACGTCATCAAGGTTGTCTCCCAGTGAGCTGTGAACATGCTAAGTTGGTGCGTTTATAACTCCCATTTCAGTATGGTTTATGGTAGATATATCATGAATCATGATATATCTATACTATTCGATACATGTCTATCATTTCTATACTATTCCGTCATGGTTTTTGTTCACCAACGAAACCACATCACTGGGTGGCACCACCTTGTGGCATTTAGTCCAAGACAGTCCTGCCACAACTGCTGCGATTTTGCTGGACTCGTTGAGATCAACAGCGACTAAACTATGAATGCTTCAGTGTGGTTAATATACCTCCACCCCTGTGTGGATGGTGGTGGTTTACCCCAGGAAAATGGTGGTTTAATGGTGGTTTAATGGGTTTAACCAACAAAATGGTGATTTTAATGGGATGTACCCTCTGCTAAACTAACATAGCTATGGAACATGGCCCATTTATAGATGGTTAACCACTGAAAATGCATGGTGGATCTTTCCATAGTTATGTAAACGTTTACCAGAGGGTAATGATCATGATCGAAAATGGTAGGCCGCCAAGTATCGGATCCTGAAAGATGTCTTTCACCTGGCAGCGGACATGGATGCCTTAAGCCCTGTCCAACCAGGTGGTGCCCCAGGGAGCTGTTCACGCTAAGCTGGTGCGTTTATAACTCCCATTTCAGGTAGATACAGTATATCGAACTACTTACTATGGTTTATAAACCAACAAACATCACTGGGGGGGCACCACCTTGCAGGTTTCTCAACATTTTTTCCAGCTTTCCCAACTGTTCGGCATCTATGTTGGGCTTGCTCTAGAAGGAACCCAAAAAATCCCCTGGCACTTCTTTATGGAGATCAACTTGAAGGCATCATCCAGGGCGGAGTGGTCCACATCGGCTACGGGATAAAAAAAACCAGGGCTGTCCTGAATAGAAATGTGCAAAAATTCGCCCACAAATGCTATCTTCTCTTCTCGGATAGGGGCGCTCATACAGAGGGATACTCCCAAGGATTTTTTTGGTTGTAGCCCATCATTCAAGAATGATACTGACATATACTGACCAGCTATTTCTTGGATTTGTGGATCAGGGGGGGCCATGAAAAATATTGAAAAATAACCAGTAGGTTCCTCAGTCATAGTGGATGCACCAATGGGAAAATCATCAGAAAATCTGCACAAAATCCCTGGGATCCTCCAAGCATATAGCAATACTACTGTGATTTAACCCAACTGAATACCTCATTGTGGTAAGGGTCAAATAGCCATGTTTCATGGTTTTCTATGGTTTTCTATACATTTAAATACACTAATTCCCCAGGTATGGCGGTATGGCACAATACCTCACTCTTCTGTATAGTTCATGGATGTTCATGGCGATGCTGCGGCGATGCTGGATCTGGAGAGTCTTCCATTGCGATCGCTTCAAAAGAGCTAGCGGCCTGAACCTTGAGTCGAATCGCCGACCTTGTCGTGGACAGTTGAAACTTCTTGTTGAACATCTGCCGAATCTTGCGGAGATTCGCAGTCGTTGCGGTCTTGATAATCCAGGATCAATCAATGTGGTAGCAAACTTGGTGCCAAGTAGTAGATCAAGTTGATATTCCAGAATTTCGGTTGGCAGCTTGGACCCGAAAAGCTTTCGACGGATCAGCTGTTGGATTTCGGGTCTCCAATTTTTTTTCGGCCACCAATCGTCCATGCGGCCCTGCCCCTTCCAATGACGTCGCGGGATGCAATGAGGTCGTTATAACTTACAATGGATCCAGATGACTCCTGGGTTACCCTCTGGTAAACGTTGACAGTTCGCCATGGAAAATCACAATCGAACTCAAAACGACAAAAATCAACGCAGAAAACAAACATGTAGCCATTTTATGCCATTTTTGATGGCAAGCTGTAACCAATTACCAGAGGTTAACATCACCATTTCTAGTGGTTAAACCACCATTTCTGTAGGATTTTCATCACCATTTCTATTGGTTATGCGATGTAAGAAATTACCAGAGGGTAACATCTTAAGTGGATGATACCCTCTGGTAAACGTTTACAATTCGCTATTGAAAATCACCATCTTTAAGTTCGGTAAATCAACGATTTCTATGGGTCATTTTCAATAGCTATGTAACAAATTACCAGAGGGTAAAGTAACATAACTATGGAAAATCACCATTTACAGTGAATTTTCCCATGAAAAATGGTGATTGTCCATAGTTTTTTGTTAGCTTACCAGAGGGTAAGTGGATTATAAACCTACACTTCAGTCCAGGTTCTTTGGTGGCCCGGGGCCAGGGAATCTTTTCCAGGTCCGGCACTTAAAAAACAAAAGCCACGGAGGCGGAGCCACGGATGCTGAGCAAATGGAGAGAACCCAATATCCCATAGGATCCATGTATGCTATATATGGTAACATTTACCATCAATATACCCCCAATGTTAGCATATATACCATACATGGATCCTATGGGTATATTCCATGACCAATTCCCATCTGAAATATCTGCATATATCTCCACATATCTGCTTTTTGATCTCCATTGAAAAACAATACCCAAATTCTCCCATTTTTGATCCCTTGGTTAAACCGCCAAGTATGGAGAAATTTAACCAAGAAAAGTCAGAATTTAGCTGGTTATCTCCTAAAATAATGATAGATTGTTTGCCTATATGTTTGAAGGCGTTAGACTATAATTACCTATTTTTTTTAAAATTTACATAAACCATATTCATGTATATTCGCAGTTAAAACATGGATACGGTAATCATTAATCCCCAAAAAATTTAAAAAAAGGTCTTGCTGGTTCGATTCGGAATGCGCGTTGTTTTTCCACCAATTTATGTGTTGGGACTCTGCTGAGTCAGTCCATCAACGGGAGATAGCCACATGGGACATACGGTGGATGGGCCAGCGAAATCCGATAAACCACCAAAAGGATGCTAGAAAACCTATAAATAATGGGATGTTTACCACCGTTTTTAACTGGTGCAGGAGTTCGCAACCATCCACAATATCATGATATATATATATATATATATATATAGCCATTCTTAGATGCACACAAAATGTTCGAAAGGTGAACTTACAGTAGGCAATCCCATAGCAAAAAGACTATTTTGGGTTAGTTTCTATAGACATCAAGTAATATATAAGGTACTTAGGTTAATCCGATTAACTATAGTTAAAGACGAAAGGATTGACCTAGTAATGCTATCATGACCAATCTTAGATCCCCTGCAAAAAATGAAGGATTCTTGGCGGGTTAGTTAGTATTAGATCATCCCATGCCAAAAGACGATCAATTGGATTAGTTTCTGCACACATCTAATCTTATCCCATCCACATCCATTAATATCCATTAACGTCGCATCAACATCCCATCTAAGGTTAAGCTACCCATCGTTCAGATTGACCTGTCGTAATGATATCCCCGGTATCTCCCATTAAATCCATATTGTTGATGGTTCAATCCCAGAGAACACCAAGGTGACACCAAGGTGACATCAAGGTGTCATATACCTAGGTGACACCTAAGGTTTATCATGGAGAAAATCACATGAAAACTATAGTTGTTAAGACTAAAGGATTTACCTACCAGATGGTGCCACCCAGTGATGTGAACGTTGGCTTATAAACCCCATTAGTTCGTTATAACTACCATAAACCCTAGAATTTACCAAGTCATGTCCGTCAACTTAGCGTGAACAGCTCACTGGGGCACCACCTTGTGGGACGTAGATGGTTAATTATAACATTATGCTTAATGATGTTTAATCCCATTTCCATATCCATAGGATCCATGTATGCTATATATATATATATATGTATATATATGGTAACATTTAGTTTCTTTAGGTTAATCATGGTTAAGACTATATAAAGGATTGACCTAACCCGGTAGTAATGATACTGGTTGGTGGTTGAGCCCTACCCCTCTGAAAAATATGAATTCGTCAGTTGGGATTATGAACTTCCCAACTGAATGGAACAATAAAATTCATGTTCCAAACCACCAACCAGTATATCACTTTTTTCTGTGAGAATTGGGAGGGACTAGGTACTTGAATATAGGTACCAGTATACCACTTTTTCGGTTCATCATGGTTAAACCATGTTAAGACTAAAGGTTTGACCTAGTAATGATACTGGATGGTTGAAACCCTAAAAATAATGGGATACCGTTTTCAACTGGTGCAGGATTTCACAACCATCCATAGTAGTAATGGGGGGGGTACTCCTCCAACAGTCATCATCTGATACTGAAATGGTACCCTCCCAATTAATCTGGTTGGTGGTTTCAACCCCTCTGAAAAAAATATTAGTCAGTTAGGATTTTTATTCCCAACTATTAAGGAAAATAAAACATGTTCCAAACCACCAACCAGTACTTGTATCCTCAGATTCTCAGGTAAATCCCATTCAAAGTGGTTGACCCTCCGGTAAACTAACAGTTTGCTATAGAACATGGCCTATTTATAGTTGAATTACCCACTATTAATCCCATTATTAATCCCATCATTAACCATCATTAACCATAATTCACCATCATTAACCATCATTAATCACATATAGTCTTCCATGGTTTCCCCCTTCTGTCCCCCATCTCTTGGCTATGGCTGCCTTGGCGGTCCGCGTGCTGGGGCTATATTCCTCCCCGAGGCGGCCGCCTGTCTCCTGTCATGGGGATTTTTCATGGGAAAACATGGGGAATCTGATGGGACTACAATGTGAGGCCCCCAAGATAACTAGTGAGTTTTCCATAGTGATGGTTAGTTTTATAGTGAGTTTTCCCTAGAAATCAAGTTGGTATATAGTGAATCTCCATTTTCTATATCCCTAGAAATACTATATCCCTACAATGTGAGGCCCCCAAGATAGCTAAGTTGGTGCCAATAACTCCAATGTCACTATGGTTTATGGTACGCAAATAACGAACTAGTTACTAGTTACTGGGGCGAATCTAAACCAACTAACATCACTGGGGGGCCTCACATTGTAGGATTTAAATCCCATGAAATCCAATTTGGATGAAATTTCCTGGGCTTTTCATGGGGATTTTCATGGGATTTGGTGGGATGTAGTTGGATCTAATGGGAGAAAACATAGTTTTATTTTGAATGAGTGTTTTTTTTTTTTATGGGGCAATCATAGTAAAACGGCTTTGCACTTTATAAAGATATCAAAGTTATCTGGGTACATTATTTCATATTTCGCAAACCTGAAACTTAAAACCATGGCTGGGGATGATTCCACTTAGCAATCATGATTCCAGTGAGGTCACAGTGAGGTCGTTATAATTACCCCAGAGTTATGGACATCCCTCCTAATTTGGTTGTAGAATATGTTTCCAAAACCATTTGATGATCCCATTTGTTGATGGATAATCCCTAGATAGCTAAGTTATTATATAAACATTGTTTTTGAACTCACAACTCCAATAACTGTGGTTTAAGTTACTTGTAACTATAGTTAATGGTGTCTATAAACAAAGTTATAAATAACCACTTAGGGCCCCACATAGTAGAATTAAGGCCCAAGTTCTCATCACATGGCCTTAGATACCCTCCAAAACATTAGATTCTTAGCTGCTTAGTAAGTCAACAATCCCAGACCAAAAGACTAAAGGATTAGTTTCTACCCATCTAAGATTGACTAGCCATTTAAGGCCCAATGTCTCATCATTGCATCCAAGTCTCCCGATAGATTTTGTCTTTGATTTTCTCGCCTCGTGACTCCTGGTGTGACCCAGTGATGTGACTGTTGATTTATACCTGGTAATGTGTTACATAGCTTAAGCAATAGAAATGATGAAAAACCCTATAGAAATGGTGGTTTAACCAATAGAAATGATGATTTATACCCTCTGGTAATTGGTTACATAGCTATTGAAATTTAGTTCATTGATTCACCTATTGAAAATGGTGATTTTCCAGTTCGCAAACGGTTAAAGTAGCAGATGGTAACAAACTTGTACAGATCTTGGACATGACACATTGCTATAGGTCAAAACCCTGGTGCCCATAGCTGGTAGGATGTTCGTCCGCTGACTATGGCATCATAGATTTTTTGCCCATCCCCATATATGCAAGTTTCAGTTCAAAAATGTGTGGAACAATTCTCTACATTCGAAACCACCTGCAGTTGGGTCGCAGAACCAAGAAAATGTTCCCAGTTTGGATTCATTTTTGGGATCGCGATTGGTGGGACTCCCTTGCATCATGGAAGAAACAGCTATCTGCGCAAGTTACAACAATTCACAATAATGCACAAAGCAGAAGGAAGGTATGTTTCTGCATGTCTAGGATCATAAACTCCACTGTGCACCGGACACTGGTATATTGTATATATAATAGTATCGTATCAGATCATATCATATCATATCATATGATATCATATTATAACATATTACTGTAAATCATATTTTATATCATATTGTATCATATTATATCACATTATATCATCCCTATGGATCCAAGTACCTTCTTAGGAAGTGCGACTGGGGTATGATGACTAGGGGGTGTCAGCCGTACCTTCTCAGACAGTGGCCATGGATCCACAGGGCATATATATATATATATATTGTATAGCTACAATCCTAAAATAAGGATCAATAAGGCATGTTTGATAAACATCACCGCTCTAACATCTATGGGTGAGGTCGTGGTGAACTTGATCCGTTTCCCAGTCCGACTGGCGCTTGAAACCCTACTGACTCGCTATCCTGGGAAAGGATTGCCAGCTAAGGGTTTCCATAAATGGGGGATCCCAATAGCTGGTTGGTTCATAATGGAAAATCCTACTAAAATGGATGATTTAGGGGTACCCCGGTACCCACATTTATGAAAACCTCCATATAACCCTATGAAACCATTGGTAAAATAGAAAAATCACTGGGAAAGTTATATTGCAACATTTGCAAATGGATGATTTAGGGATATCTTAAAATTTCAGGAAACCTCCATCTGATGTTTAGTCATCCCCATGTTTTGTTGCCAATCCCATTATAAAAAAAACGTTTCCCCAAGAAAAAGCACTGTTCGAGGACACGGTACCCCATTAAATCAGAGTTTGGGGATATCTACTCCCTGGTAAACGTTAAGAAAAAGCTATAGAAAATTGCCATAGAAATAGTTGATCTAACTAAATATAAATGGGTGATTTTCCATAGCTATGTTCATGGTTTAAAACATGTTCAACACCTACTGCTTGGTGCTTTTAACCATCTTGAAAAATATGAAAGTCAATGGGAAGGATTATCCCATATATTATGGAAAATAAAAAACAGTTTGAAACCACCATTCTACTCAGTTTTCAGACCCCCCCCATCTATGCTATTTTCTCCCGCACACCCAGAATTCACTTCCCACACCTTCTCCGCTTCCCTTTTCGACCCGAAAGTTACTAGAGATTCCGTTCTTGGATGATAATCCCCAATACGTGAAGGGCAGTATAATCCCCGAACTAATCATCAACCATCATTTATCAGTTCATATAAGTTATATTTACCTACATCCCCATAGTTTCATGGTTTTTGAAACATGTTCAACACCTGCCCATAGGATCCATGTATGCTACATATGGTAACATTTACCATCAATATACCCCCTTTATGTTAGCATATATACCAGCACCATGGATCCTATGGGCTATGAAATGACGAACCCATCATCAATTTGAAGAGAAAAGATCTGTCCAGTCCGCACTGTCCGGGCCGCCCGCACCGGTCCACCTGAATGAGACGTTGTTCCTCACTCCATTGGCCACTGAAGTCCCCCGTGATCATCCGATATGTCTCCGCCATCCTGGGAAGCTCCAACAGCTTGGAGTTTTGCTTCACCGGAATCCCATGGCTTTTCCAATATGAAATATGGGAGTTTTATGGGATTTTTTGGATTGAGACCAGGGAAAATCCGAAACCGGAATCCCGAAATCCATGTTGAAGGGTTTTTTCTATGGAAGGGGCTTCCGGTTTCAATGTTACCAACCCAAATTCCGTAGATTTCATCGGCATTCAAAAAAACAACGGTCTTTAAAATGGATATATTCGGAAATTAAAAAGTCGTGAAACTGGATTTTCATGGAAACACCTGGTGTACTAGAAGAAATTTGATGGTTTCTCAACATATGTTTCATGTATGTGTTTTTTTTGAACACCATGAAAATCTCCAATCGATTGCCGTTGTTTCAAAGATGAGATGCCTGGAGGCCACCTGCAAAATTGTCTCAGTGTCGAATTGCTTTTGAGTTAACTAAAAAATATCATATTAGTGGCGGTAATGTTTGGTGCATGATGTACATGGAAATGTTTGATAACAATTTAACACATATATAGATAGTTATTTGTACGTAGTTATAAATAATTATAATATAAATATATCTTAATGTTTTCAAACCAAATAGTCTTACCATCTGGTTATTTAACATAGCCATGGAAAATGGTCATTTATAAGTTTGGTAAACCATCTATTTCTATGGGCCATCTATACCATGGCTATGTTAGTCATAACCAGAGGGTAAGGATCTCTCATGGTCTTAATCAGTACACCTCTGGAAGACCGAAGATGACCAATTACACCCAGAAAAAATATGGTCCTACCCCATGCGGACATTTTTTGAACGAGTTTCGCGAAGAAAAATCGGGACATCACACAAAAAAACAATGGAGTAATTCCATTCATATCCCATGAATATCCCATGATATTCCCATGATATTCCAATGATAATCCCATGATATTCCCATTACCTTGTAGGGTTTCAACGGTGTTTCACCTCTAGGTATGCTCGCTCCGCGTCGCACCGCAGTATGCAACTTTCCCGTTCCAATCCCAGCATCTGTTGGATGCAAACGTTCCAGTTGTTTTCACCTCAGCACTCCGAAGGCCAATTTTTTTTGGCCCCAAAATCTGGGCCTGAAACCAGTGGAAAACCCATAGAAAACCCTGGAAATAGTCAGTTGGGAAGGATGACATCCCATATACGAAATGGAAAATTAAACCAATGTTTGAATCCACCAACCAGTCATGGAGTTGGTGGTGCAACTCGTTAGCTATGTGGGTTGACCAAACCATACCACGGAGGACTCCACCTACCAAATAGAGGTTTCTAAAGTCATAGGGGTAGCGGGGTACCACCAAATCATCCAAAATAATACCATTTCAGTGAAACCCATGGTTCTGGGATCCTATATGACTTAAGAAACCCTCAAATACCCAGATCGTAAAGATTTTGAAGTGAGAACTCAAGAGTATTCGCGCTGACCACCTTCATAGTGCCGCGGCAAGCTCATCCAATTTCCACTGCGCGTGGCGCATCGTGGCGCGCTTTGTCATCAAATTTCACCAGGATCTCGCGTCAGCGAACGCGCCGCATCGGACACTTGGAGGACAGCCCTGGTCACCGGCCCCTCGGATAAACACGTCAAAGCCACAAGCAGCACATGCACAGGACTTACGGTGATTGAAGATCAACATCTATAAACAAGGCAACCGGTTGACTCGGCGCCCTTGTAAGGGTGACGAATTTGAAATTGTCATTTTTGAGGGTAAGAGAGAAAATGCTGGTATTTGCAGGAGTCGTCAAAAAATGTGTACAACATGGACATTCATTTCGATTGGCAGGCGTGTGACTCAAGGGTGAAAATTTGAATTTCGCCTGCGCGGTGACTCGATTTTTCTCTTCAAGGGTGGAAAAAAAAACATTAGAATTTTATGATTTTAAGTCATCCAAATCACATCAATCAAGGCGGTATTCAATCCTCTTTTTTTTCCACTGTTCGAGGTTAGCGGTGCCAGAGTGCTTGTGGCAGTGCTGATGCTACAGTCTGTAACAAGGAAGCGTTGTGACGCCAAGTCCAGCTGTAAGCATAACTGTACCGTTTTTGGTACACCTGTTGTTTCTTTTGTGGAGCATGGATTGAGGTCGCCATTTTTTTAAGTGTTTCCAAGTTCCATCAAGTTGTTGAGTTCCAGCAATAATGGTTCTAGAGGAAATCCAACCACGACCAACATAGGTTCACGCAGGAAATCCGCAAAAAGCGCGTCAGACAATGCAAGATGTCAGCAACGGCAACCTCTTCTGTAACGTAAAGGAAGTGCTCGATACGAACGTTAACATCCCCCCCCACCCCCCCTGACGATCATACGACAACAAATGCAACATGTGCCTCTTCCGTACCGTGAGGGAAGCGCTCGACACGAACGTTAACATCCCCCCCCACCCCCCCCTGACGATCATACGACAACATATGCAACCTGTGCCTCTTCCATGTGCAACACGTTAAAAAATCGAAAATTTCAAATCCTATACCCCCATTTCGGAAAACCTCATTTTTGAAATTTGCAACCCTTCCACGGGATCGTAAATGGCACATCTCAAAATCGACAACCCTTCCAAGGGCGCCGTATCAGCCGCATGCCATAAACAACCCAACCATCCATTTACCCCAGCGTCTAGTCCCTTTGTGTGAAACGGCAAGGCACCAACATCTATTAATGATTGCGAAATCCCAGAGAACACAAAGCTAACCACATACCAAGGTATCCGATGTTTATCACAGAAATACCCATAGTTACAACATATTATAAGTTGGTAAAGCCAATTAATTTGTTTAAATCCCTATTGTTGATGGTTAAATTACACATCATATCCCCATTATATCCTCAAATCCACTATAATCCCCATTAACTATAGATATAGTTCCCATGTCAAACAAAACTATGTAAAAACCAAGTTACCCACATATAGATGTAGGTATATATATATATATGTTCATACAAATCCTTAAATCCAATATATATATATAATATTCAATGATATGATATTATATCAAATTAAATAATATTATTTTATGTTATATACAATTTCATTATATGATATTACATTATATGATGTTATTTTTATCAAGTATATTATTATAAATGGTATTATATTATATTGGATATATATTATAATATATTAAATCATGTTGTGAAATTATATTGTATTAAAATATATTGTATATATACTATATTATGTTATATTATATTATGTTATGTTATATTAAATTATATTATATTAGTTTTTTTTTATATTACGTTATATTATATTATATTATGTGAAAATTATATTATGTTAAATTAAAATATGTTATATTATGTTATGTTTTATGTTATATTAAATTCCGTTATATTGTGTTTTATTTTTCGCTTATATTATATTATATCATATTATACCAGACTATATGTTAACAAAATATTTAATATATACTGAGTGTATATTTATTATATATCCATTAAATATAATACATATAATATACATATATTATCTATTCTATATTTGTTAACTATTTAGGATATAGTTATCATATATTTATTTTAAATTTATTTTATATTTATTGTATATTTATTAAATATATATATATATGTATTATTATATATAATTATATATTTTGCTTATATATTTGTTTATTATATATAGGTTCCATCTAAATTCCGCAAAAAACAAAACAACACACATAAATCCCGTTGGTTAAAACACCAAGGTACCCACGTACCAATAAGAAATGATGGGCGTGGGCGCATCCATCACTTCCCGCGGCACCAACGGCCCTACCGGTGGCCCCGGTCCCGGCTGCATGATGCGCCGCGTGCCAAGGCAAAGGGCGGGCACGTTGAACCAGGAGATGAACTGCGGTGGAAGGGAATGAACTGGAGAAATGTATGGACAATCCTAGGGATACAAGTGATGATATAATATTTGAATATTAATTAATATTGGTTTAATCACCAGCAAATATATATTAATATTAATCACCATCCTTTATTTGATGATTAGATTCATATTGGATTAATGGGATATATCACCATCCAATAAAGGGTGTTTGTATAACCATTGCCAATCAGCCAGATATCCTGCAACAAATGAATGATTCTTAGCTGGTGAACGTAGACAATCCCATTGATACCAATAGACTAAAGGATTAAACTACCCATCTAAGATTGACCTAGTAACAAGTTGGGAAATGTCTAGTTGAAGATAAATTTAAACATTAAATTGAATGGTGATGTTGATGGATTTATGGTAGATATATCAACAATTCTTATGTTTTATATACCCCGATGATTTAATACATTTTTTGTGAGAATTGGGAGGGGCTAGGTACTTTAATATGGTTGAATCTTGATTTTCGTGATTCAAGAAACGCAGGATTCTTCGGAAAACATTAGGATTGAACCAGCATTTTTGTTGTCATCCAAGAAAATTCATCAACATATATCAAAATGTCACTTTCACCGGGTTGATCCATGGTTTCTACATTTTTTTTACCATCCAAATCTTGTTGTGGAATTCCTTGCCCTCACAAAAGCAGAAACTCTGGATCCAATTGCATTGTATACACTGGGAAGAAATTAGGACAAAAATACGGTTAAATAAACGTTGATATCATGGGATATATCGTGATAATATAATATACATGGCCAATCAGACAAACAGCCTACAAAATAGAGTAAATTCTTGACTGGTGAACGTAGAGAATCCCTGCTAATCCCATACCAAAAGACTTTCAATTGGATTAGTGAAACTAGCCATCTTTCAAATCGACCTAGCAACGGTTGACCAGAATGTCAAGAGGCATCTACCGCCTGAAAAATCTTATGGATCATCTTCTGGATCTGAATGAGGTTGGTCCCAAATGCGCTTCACAAATGAGATCAGTCCGTACTCTCAACATGTGCAGTTAACATAGGCGAGCTAAAACCCGGTCCATGGTTACCATGGCTTATGGATGTTTATGGTCATCCATCCCAACATGAGAATCCTGAATCCTAAATCCTTATAATGGGTATACCCTCCGGTAGACTGATATAACTATGGAAAGATCCACCATGCTATCAATGGGTAAATCAACGAACTAAATGGCCATTTTCAAGAGCAAACTGTTTGTTTACCAGACGGTAATCCCTGGTAATCGATGACCATCACAAATATGGGTAGACAATCCAACTTTCGACCATGGCAAATATCAGAAGCCGATCGAAAACACAAATTGTTGCAGTGGTTGGTTTCAAAGAAGTGCAGCTGGGTCAATGATGGATACATGGCCAATCTTAGATATCCTGCAAAAAATGAAAGATTCTTAGCTGGTGAACGTATATAATTTATATAATCCTATAATTACCAAAAAGCCAAAAGACTATTTTGGATTAGTTGAACTACCCATCTAAGATTGACCTAGAAACCAACAATCCATCCAGGTGTATCTTACCACATCCAAAAACCAAAAACGGAGGGTGGACATAGGATGTGCATGGCCAACTTTAGGTTTCCGTTCACCTCCCACCACTGGGGGACTGCACAGTAGATGACGCCTCGGTGTGACAGCAAATTTCCTGGTGGCCTACACTCCTGGTTAGACTGATAACGAAATATATTTTGAGCAGAATGAATATGTTAAGCATGGTTAATGCTCAAGTTCATGAGGCACATCCAAGAGATCCAATATGAGCCAATCCCTATTAAGCAATGTAGGTGTCCTTCTTGGATAATCCTTCCAAGGAAGAGGGCTGCCGCCGCATTCACGTTGCTTTGTGAAAGTAGCTGAAGACACCAGTTTTTATGCAGTTGTGCAGGGGATATGTGCGTTGTAAAGAGAGGTGCAACATGATCTACTGTAGGTTGAATTCCCATCAATCTCTGAAACAGAACGAAATTGCAACTTCTCTTCCGTTGTGGCAATCATTTAATATTTACCTGCATTGGTGTGGAATAGATTGGAGAATAATGAGGAAAACCAGTTTGTGGCGAACATTTATTCCCAACTACTTATAGCATCATCTAGAACACCCGCCTTCCTTCCAAGCCTAAAAATAAAGAACAGTATAATCTACTAGCAAGGAACAACATCCTATTTTATGTGTAAAACACATTCCTTAACTGACTATTCCCATATGCTCCCTGGTGCTGGAATATTTATCAACATTTGCCCCAAAAATCATTGAGTTTTGTAGGTAAATATACCAGCACCATGGAGCATCTGGGATTGATTTTTGTTCTTAATCACTATGCAATTCAACAAGTCAACAGAACAGTTTATATACAATGTATCTTGGTTTAATACATCAACCTATTGTTGAACCATTGGTTTCTATATGTAAAAGCAATTCGCCAAGAAACTATAGTTATATCTACCACAAACCATAGAATTCAGCCACTTATAAGGCAACTGAACGCGAACTCGACTGGGGGCCCAATCCTGTAAAATAGGCTATGAATGGAATATTCATAGGGTATGGGATACTGATGAATGATGGTAATATCCACCATAAACTATGGTAATATGGTAATATCTACCATAACCACCATTGGATTCTCCCCCGAAACCGACGTTTTCAAACGCTCGGCCCGTTACGTGAACGCTGGGTCGTCCGACCGCGCCCGTGGTCCAAGCGGAGCCGAAGTTGGAGCCAGAGACAGTCACTTCCCTCGGCGCAAACGGTGTCACCAAACGTGGGAAATCCCTGGTGAAAATAGGGAAAAAAACGGGAAAATGATGTGGTTAAAATAGGGAACATGATATCAATGGGGATATCAATGGGGATATGTCATGGGAATATCAAATACATGTGGTGAATTGGTAAATGAAGATAATCCAATATACCTGGTTGGTGGTTTCAACCTACCCCCCTGAAAAATGATGGAGTGAAAGTCAGTTGGGATCTGTGAAATTCCCAAGTGAATGGAATGTCATAAAAGCCATGTTCCAAACCACCAACCAGATATGTGTTTATTTTTATTAATGATTAAACATTGAAAATGATCTAACTAAATGGTGGATTTTCCAGCAAGCCATGTTTGATTAGAGAGTGAACAGTGGTTATGCTAGGATAATATGGGAATATGATATATATATATATATATTTATATATATATATATTTATATTTATATGAACAGAAAGCAATATTGATTCAACATTTCCAGAATATTCATGGATGTTACTTATTAATGAAAAATGATGAAAGTATACATGGGAACATAATGGGCATATAGCGGAATATTTTATCGATTGATCAACATCAATGGTACATAAATTGACCAAGAAAATTTGAATTCCACCAGCAAACATGGGGATTTGACCACCAGGAAAATGCAGCTCAGCAACACATGTGTGTCATTGATTCAATAAGAAACTGGATTGAAGCCACATCGGGATTTCATCAGCAAAAGATTTAACCAACAGACCAGCCATGATCATTTAGCCCACATGGCGATGTGTGGTTCATTCACCTGCCGCCCTAGGCCATCTCTGAAAACCCCGGGGGTTGAACACTGCTCAAATGGCTGCTTTGTAACTACTTAAGGAAGATTCTCCCGCTTAGTACTTCATAACTGTTTAGTGACCCTGCTTAGTAAGTCCTGCAAGTCCCGATGCGTGGATTTTCGCACTATCTCGCACTTAACTGTGTGAAGTAACCCCACTTACCAGTTTACCAAAACTAGGCTGATCCATGCTGATCCTCATTTTTCTTGGTTACCCTCTGGTAAACTAACATAGCTATTGAAAATGGTGATAGAAATAGTGGATTTTCCCATTAAAAATGGTGATTTTCCATAGCGAACTGTTAATTTACCAGAGGGTAACCCAATGTCATCAACCATAAACCCCCAGCTCTCGGTTCAACCAGCTTAAACCCAGGCACGTGCCACCGCGCGCAGTGCCATTGCTTGGCGAGATGGCCGTCACCGTGGGCCTAAAGGGTGCGTTGACATAAGTCCAATTTAACTGTTGGGTTGATCATGGGGTTTAGTGAGTTACTTAGTTATATCATATCTATACGTAGTTTTCATGGGGATTATAAACGCACGTTCACATCACGTTTGGGGGGTACCACCTTGTAGGAACATGATTTAACCAGGGAAAATTGAAATATAACTCATAGTGAAGTTCTTTTGTTAGGCTTACTTTGAGGTTATCAGGGATATAAACATTCAGTGTCTAACAAGTAACACTCTGTAGGGAAATTAACATAGCTTGAAGTTATAACGGGGTGAACTGGGGTCTTTCTTCCTGTCAAAGGCATGCAGTTGAAATCAGTCCACATTAGGGACTTAACCAACAACAATGGCAATGGCAAACATGGGGACATATGGGGACTTAACCCCAGAAAGAATGCTAAATTTGGATGTCACCAATATTTGGTGTGGTATCCCCTGGAAATTCCACGTTTATGGCGCCATCGCAGCAATATATAGATCCACTATGGTGGTTTCCAGAAATAAGGCTATCCCAATAGCTGGATGGTTGATTTCATAGAAAATCCAAAAATAAAATGGATAAGAACTGGCTGTACCCCCATGACTAAGGAAAACTCCATATATTTTTCTCCTGGTTTCTCATATCTTCCCATATTTTCCCATAATATTCTCATGTTTCCTCATGGTTTCCCATACTTTCTCATGCTTTTCCCCATGGTTTTCCCCATGGTTTTCCCCTTCCTCCGACGTATCCCACGTCCCAAGTGACGTGGAGAGCAACGAAAAGGTCACCGTGGCATTCTCATCACTACTGGTGACCCACCTCGGGCGAATCTGCGCATATCATCAGTGCCATAACCAATCAACAATCCCATGAATGTCCCAAGTATGGTGGTATATTCCCAAGAGATTTCCCAATAAGACAGCCAAAAAACATATTCCCATATTCATGGCCAATCCTAGATACCCTGCAAAATATCACAAATTCTTAGCTGGTGAACGTAGACAATCCCATTGATACCAAAAGACTATTTTGGAGTAAACTACCCATCTAAGATTGACCTAGATATTAACGAATCCTTAGCTGGAAAGTGTGTATATGAATGAATAAATTGTATGAATTTGTCTGCTCATTACTTATGTCGTGAAATTAACCGATGTGTATATCAATGATTAAAACCACCAATTAATCATTAAAACAACTTGATTATACTTAACAAACTAAGGAGTTTATAATGATTGATGATAACAAATTTACTAATGATTAAATATACAAAGTTTGTTTAATGAATTTTAATGAGTATTAATTTGTGATACTGATAAGATCTTAGTGATTAAGCTTATTATTCGTATGTTTAAATAAAGTAGTATTGACCATAACATCAAATCAATGATACCAATCTTATTGGTATTAAAGTGGTATTTTATACATAATAGTATTGAAAAATCCTCTTAATGGTTGTTTTGCGTTATGATCAGTATCACAACAGTATCAAAATTGTATTATACGATTCCAGAGTAGTAGTATCATACTATTCTAGGATTATTACCGTCATATCCATCCGGTGTATTTCAGCGTAATAATAATCACTTTCATTCTTACTATTGATTGAAATGTTACAGCATTTAAATATCAGTCAGTATATTCAGAATTTATTAGCAGGGGCTGTGGAATAGCTACACCATCAACACGGAAAAATAACACCGCAGCTGATGATAATCCAAATATAGGGGCGCGGAACATGAGAAAAAAGAAACACTTCTCAACATCTCCTATGGGGATCTATGGGGTTGTCTGAAAATAGCTATCCCGTGCTATCCATTGGCTCATGATACTCCCGGTTGAAATACGAGCTACAAGGTGGTGCCCCAGTCCGTTAGCTAAGTTGGTTTATAAGTCCAATTTCACTATGGTTTTTAGGTGATATATCGAACTAGTTGAAATTGGACTTATAAACACACCAACTTAGCTAACTAATCCATCCATAAATCACCATGTTTTTGAGTGAAATCATTTTGAATCAGCAATTTTCCATAATTTTGTCCCATGATCTTCATAGTTCCCCATCATTTTTCCCATAATCTCCTATATTTTCCCATGGTTTTGTGACCTGGGGCACCGCCTTAAGGCGGACCTTGGCTCCAAGCTGCGGGGTGAAGACCTGCAAGAATTCCTCGAAGGGATGGATGCCACCGCGCCAGGCCTCCCGACATGACAAACGTCCATTGATATCTGATATCACATTACAAACGTAGTTATATGTGTATATATATATACATATATTATATGATACATAATATATATATATATATATATATCATATATATTATGTATCATATAATATGCCTATATATATATGCATATATATATATACATATGTATACAGATATTATATACCCTCGCTATAGCTCCACTTCAATCACCATTGAAAGCCCCAGTGAAACCAGCATGTTTCATGGTTAAACCAGCATTTTTGTTGGTTAAATCGTCAGTGAATGACCAAGAACTAAAATAAGGCTGGGAATCATCACTAAAATGGGAATCATATAATGACTGGGATTCCCCATACATTCAGCATTATTCCAATGGATTTCAGTTTCTTCCAACCTACATTTTGGATATGTCTGGCTGAATCATAATAACTCATGTATGATTATAAAGCCACATCAGCTGGGATACAAGCCTTATAACTACGTCACTACGTACGGTGATATATGCATATATCATCATATATATCCACTCAAAACTGGCACTGCACTTCCAAGTATGATTTCAATTTCTTGCAACAACTTCATGGTTACCCTCTGGTAAACTGTTACATAGCTATTGAAAATCACCATAGAAATAGTGGATTTACCCAGCTATAAATAGTGATGTTCCATAGCAAACTGTTAATTTACCAGAGGCTACATCATTCGAATGTTACTTCTTGCATCATTTAACAAAAACGCCATCTGTTTCCTGGCTTAAATCGCCTTAAACAAAGCACCATTCTCACCGAGAACATGAACAGCATTTTGAAGCTGGTGAATCTTGGATACCTGTGAAAAATGTATCAAAAAAATAACATGGTGATTTGAGTAAACTAACCTGTCAACAAAATCTAAAAAAGTTAGCAGGTTAGTACATGTTACCAGCTAAACAGCAGAAGATATTTTAGTACTATAGTTCATGAATCTAACCAAGGTTGACCGAACAAAATGAAAGCTGACACCCCACAGAATGGGGCTCCCCAGCTATAAGTTGGTTCATAAACCAATATAACATATTTGTAACCCCCGTTAACTAGTTGGTTATATCTACTACCATAAACCATCTGGTTGGTGGTATACCTACCCCTCTGAAAAATGATGGAGTTCGTCAGTTGGGGTTACGAACTTCCCAACTTTTCATGGAAAGTCATTCAAAATTCCATGGTTCCAGTCACCACCAACCAGCCATAGTTAAGCCAAAATAGAAAGTTGGTTTATAAACCATGATAACCCCCATGAACTAGTTCGTTATATCTACCATAAACCATAGAATTCAGCCACTTTTTTTAGGCAACGGTTCACGCGAACTCGACGGCCCCATCCGCCGATCCATCCGGGTGCCCAGGCGGTACGCCCCAAGTCCATGTGCAGTCCAGGCCCTGTCGTGCCCCGCACCTTTTTGACACGAAATCCATGGGGACGTCGTTTCAAAAAACATCATCAACTTCGAAATCACTGGAAAATATGGGAATATCCTGGCAAAATTTGGAAAAATATAGGAAAAAGAACGATATTTCGAGGTTTTCGATGGGAAAATCGTCTATAAATCGGCAATGTTCCAGCCAGGTTTGATTACCAAATGGTAAGAACTCGAGTGATACTTGACGAATATGAAACCCTCTGCACCTTCATCAACTTAGGTTGCTGTAACATTAAATATTCAAAATTATATACAAGGTAATGCCCCAGTTCGTGAACGCTAAGTTGACGGACATAACTTGGTAGACATTCTATTGGTTTATGGTAGATAGAACGATATAACGAACTATAGTTTTCATGGGGTGAAACTAAATCAACGTTCACATCACATTTGGGGGCACCATCCTGTAACTATTTCAAGGCTTATCAATCCCTGTCGGAGAGGGCCGAAAAAGGGGGATCTTCAGATGCTTCGGACCCCAATGGCTGGAAACTTTACGATGAACACCTTGAAAGGAGGGATGATTTGGGGGTCACCTGGTGTAGATTGGCGTTTGAGCATAACACAAACATGTTGAACAGTGATGGACCTAACAAACACGAAGATGTGGAAGCATGGGGATATAACAAAGAAACGGAGATTTAAGTATTCAATAGTGGGTATTTAAATAACTCACCAAACAAAGCCAATAAGATGTACAATTTAAATATGTTGATGTGTGTTGTAGTATAACAAAAACATAACAACAGGGATTGCTACAGGATTACAGTAGTGTCGGTGAACAACATGCAAATCACAAGCAACATGTAGCTGATGTTTTTTGTCTAAAGGATCCATGCAAGGCCTCAGCCTTGCTTACAGTATTTTGTTTCTGCTGTGAAAGACAAATGTCCAGGAAGCGGGCGGCAGCAACCTGATTTTTCCTAAAATGTTCTGGTTAAATCCCATCTTCTGGTAGACACACCATATGAGCAATGTTCAAGACTCCTGTTAGTTGATTGGAGCTATACTATCCATAAAATATTGGGGGTGATCATAATCCATGAAAGGGGAATCCCGTTCTGAAAACCATCCAGTGTACTAGAATGACAGGGGCTCTGAACACTGCTCCATTTGGTCCGATATAATGCATTAAACCAGTTCTAGCTTGGGACATATACCATTTATGCAGTAAATCCTTGTACAAACCAATCATGTTGGGTCCACTGATGACGAGGAGCGCGTCGCCGTGCTCATCTCTGGCCTTGAAGACGGACATTCCGCAGGCCCGACGAAGAACCGGCCGAGGCTCGCACTCGACACGGCTCCCAATCTCCTGGAGGTGCTCGACCCGTCCTCGACGTCGATGATCGATTGATGCTGTAGCCGCTGATGCATGAAGTGACCGTATGGCACCTTGTTCCAAACATCTACTGGTCACAAGCTGGTGCCCCACCCAGTGATGTTTGTTGGTTTATAGCACCCATTGATTATATAGATATTACTTTACCATCTGGTAAACTAACATAATTATGGAAAATCACCATGTTTGATGGGTAATTCAACTATAAATGGCAATTTTCAAAAGCAAACTGTTTGTTTACCAGAGGGTATCTGCAAGAAACCATAGTCATAGTCTACCCAGTTATTTGAACCAACCTATAGTAAGGAAAAAAGCGGTCCCACCTTGCAACCCCACCAACGCATGGTGAAATACGGGTTCCTTGAAATACCGGTGTCCCAACTATGAGTTACCCTCTGGTTATGTCAAAATAGCTATTGAATTGAAAATGGCCATTGATAGTGGATTTACCCATTAAACATGGTGATTTTCCATAGTTACGTTAGTTTACCAGAGGCTCAGAGGGTATCAACATCAACATCCCCAATAAACTAATAGTATAACTCCCAACAGATTAACCTGTCAACCGCGAGTTATCAACTATCTCCCCACCTGTTTGATGGTTCTTACCCCTATACCTGATTAAATCCCCATGAAATCACCTAATCTGGCTATAAACCATAATTTATCAACTATATCCTCATATTTCATGGCCAATCTTAGATATCCTGCAAAAAATGAAAGATTCTTAGCTGGTGAACGTAGATAATCCCGTACCAAAAGACTATTTTGGATTAGTTAAACTACCCATCACAGATTCAAAGATTGACCTAGAATGTGTGGATCCAAAACCCTTTACCCTCTGGTAAACAAACAGTTTGCTATTGAACATGGCCATTTATAGTTGATTTATCCATCAAAAATTGTGATTTTCCATAGTTTCGTTACTTTACCAGAGGGTAAACCCTGTTTTTTGTCAATCCTTTCATGGCTCACGGCTCTCCCGGCGCCCTCCGGTGCCAAAAAAAGCCGCGCCAAGCGACGTTTCGCACGGCCACTTGACAGGTCTCAGAAGGTGCCACCAATTGACCTATGACCTGGAAGCAGTGCCCCCCAGTTGTGGTGACTTGGTAAATCCAATATTCTAGCAAAATCTTACCCATATTCCAAGGCTGTTCATATTCCATGCCCAAATAGCTCCGGAAATTTGGAAAATAATGAACGATCTTTGATGATGAGAATAAGGTTGTGTGACCCTTGTCAGGCGCTCCCTTGTCACGTGCTGTCATGTCCAGTCGCACATGTTTAACCCCGCTGAGAACCTTCTCAAGCAATGATTTCTTGAATAAACATAATCATAAAGTCTTGTTTCTCTCATCAATCATCGGCTTCTCTCTAGGATCTTTTAAAACCATTGGATAAGCTGTTCAGCTTATTTTTTGACGCGTTTGGCTGGCGGCTCAGCTTCCGCATCTGTAAACGGGGCCAAGTCTGGATTACGCTGTTCTTCCTCGAACCCAAATGGTACCATATTTCCACTTAATACAGTTACATTGAGTAGGATGCCACCCCTGGAGTACGATGCCCCCCCCGTATGCGTTGCCGTTCCTGCATGTGGGCTTCTCAGGCATATGTTAATATCATTTTTGATCAACTCGAGGCTGCAAATTCCATTCCACATACCCACAAGGCATCACACTCTATCGCGCACGACTAAGACAACAATCGAGAATTTCCATAGCCTCCACGGGTCAAAAGTATCAAAATTTCATGGAATGCGATTGTATGCGCGACTGTTCAAAACGCTGGAAAAACAACAATTTCCCCCATATTCCATATTATCAGATTCCAGAGCATTTTACCTCCGAAGAGGAAAAAAAAATAAAAAAAGCTCTTCAGGTCAATTTTTCGAAAAAAAATGTTTTTGGCTGTCTGCGCAAGTTTTTCTGGTGTACGATCCCTTTTGTGGAGTACGATGATCTGTGAGTAGGTGTGTGGAGTGCGATGGGGTCCTCTGGGGTGCGATGACACCCCTCGAGTGCGATGCGACATGAGTATGCGCGGCCGGAAATCCCCTGAGAGAAGGGTTCTGGGCCACAATTCCCCAAATTCAACAGAGTGGGCGGATGCTGGTTGTTGTAATTTAACAGGATTTCAGCCCACTCAACAAACAAGTCAAACAATATGTTGAAACCCTCTCCTTCTTCAGTCTCCAAAATGGGAAACTCACTTATCAGGACACGCTTTAGCTCATCCAGGCTCCATAGCATTTCAGGAACAACACAAGGCATCGACATGGTGCCAAACAATTTCCAAATTGAGCTGAAAGGTCTTCCCATCTAAACCAGTCAACTCACAGGTGTGAAACATGTCACACACAGGGAAACAGGTTGGGAAAACAGTGGGTCCAAAGAGACAGGTCTGGAGTACGATGGATTCATAGTATATGTACATTTTCTGAATTTGGGTAACTTGGAGCTAGAAATATATGTGATGGGGACATGTCATGGGAATATCAATATATGTGGTGAATTGGTAAATGAAGATCATCCAATATATCTGGTTGGTGGTTTCAACCTACCCCTCTGAAAAATATAATGAATCGGCAGTTGGGATGATGACATTCCCAACATATGGAGAAAAAAAACATGTTCTAAACCACCAACCAGTATAAATAGGTGATAAGCTATGATCCCATCAACTATAGATATCACCAAGCAGATACAAGGTGGTGCCCCCCAAACGTGATGTGAACGTTGGTTTATAACCCCCATGAACTAGTTCGCTATATCTACCATAAACATCCATAAACCATAGAATTCAGCATAGATTTCAGCCACTTTTCTGTTCGGCAACTGAACGCGTCGCGTTTACGAACTGTAACGAACTGGGGCACCATCCCAGGTGGGATCTCAAAGAGATCATGGGAAAACTTGCTATGGCTATGGCTTGGTGGCCTCTAATTGGAGAAAATGCTGATGATACACTGATACAACGTGATGGCTTGCTGGTTGGTGGTTGACAGATATATCAACTAATTAGTGGATGATCTGGCTGGTAGTTGAGCACTACCCCTCTGAAAAATGATGGAGTTCAAGTCAGTTGGGATGATTATTCCATTCCCAACTGAATGGAAAAAAATGATCCAAACCACCAAACAGGATGGCTAAAAATGTGATTTGAATTGGATTTCATGGCTGCCCGGCTGCCCCTGTTCGGAATCTCTGACATCATAAACAAAAAAAAATAGTCCAATAACTTCCGCAATAACTTGGGTTTTACAGTTATGGCCATTTACCAGTTTAAGTACTTATAACCCCATTTATAGAATGTATAATCCCATTTATAACCAGTTATAACTAATACATGACCATAATTGTGGGCCACCCCACGTTGGGAACCACGAACTCCCTACGTCTATTTAAGTCTCGCCGTGTACCCACCTGCATCTCGGTGAGCTGACAGTTGCCTCAACAAACGGACTCGCTGCCGGCCCTGTCGCCCTTAATGGATGAAATAACTCCTATGACTCAGGTTGGACATATCATGAACTAATCCCATACTTATAACTAGTTAAAAGTAAAAACTATATTTTTGGGGGCTAAAGGTGTAGCCAACTTGACGCACAGTTCACTTGGTGAAGTTTTGTGTTGATGAGTGGGATATTGTGGGATATAAATATACCTATTGGGTTTAGAAGCCAACTTACAATTGGGGATTTTATGGCCTTACGATATTGCTAATTTGACGCGCAGTTCACTTGGTTAACTCTTGGCTCAAAGTTGTGCGCCCCCAGCGACTGGTTTTGAAATCAAACAAGCTAACTAGGCAGCACCACTTTGTACCGGAAAAGTACTCAGCTGCGAAAAGAACACGTCTAGGATGGATTAGGGGGCCTTTAGGTGGCTATTCACCACCGTAAACCCTTATGAATACGGATTCCAAAAGCCTATTGTTAACACCAGAGCCCCATTTGGGGTGCAGTTCCAAACGTTCCAGTTACAACTGGATACAAAATAGCATAGTTACAAGGTTTATATCCCAACTTATGGGCGTTACTACCATGGGGAACTGGCGAAAAACCGGCGACTTTCAAACACCCGCAGAGTGCCAATTGAACACGTCACCAGGGTCACCTATTTGGGTCTGGTCCATACCCAAAGACTTGGTACATCGGCTTGGATCCAGTCACTTGAAGTGAGGACTGGCCCCACAAGGTTGTGTCCCCCCAGTTATAAATTAAGGTTATAATCCCATGAACTAGTTCGATATATCATGATATATCACCAACAAAAAGCATATCTGGTTGGTGGTATACCTATCCCTCTGAAAAATATGTAATATAGTAAAATAGTCAGTGGGGATGATGACATTCCCAATATATCCAAAATACAAGATGTTCCAAACCACCAACCAGCCACTATTACTATATAAATCACCATTTTCCCATGGTTTTCCCATGGTTTTCCCAACCACCAAACCACCAACTTATCGTTTTCACAGCTCACTGTGGCACCACCATCTGCGTAAAAACAACGTATGTTTTCGCAGTGATTTGGCGTGCAGGTCCCGGAGGATCCCTGCAAAAAATGACAGATTCTTAGCTGGTGAACGTAGATAATCCCATACCAAAGTCGACTATCTAATGGATTAGTTAAAACATGTTAAAACTACCCATCATTCAGATTGACCTAGATTTGAATGGAATATTTGCATTTGATCGGCGAACCCTGGTAGTTCCCGTCTTCAAGAAACTCAAGATCAAGTCAAGTAGAGTTGAAGTCAAATGGACGAAAAAAAACAAGAAAGGTCTGAAACACTCCACATAAATTACCCTTTGTTGTTGCTCAAATCGAAAACAATCTCCGTTACCTTGTTGTTTACATATCGTTAGATGGGGTTATAAACCAAGATCCCCCCAGGTAATCAAACGTGGAAAAAACAAACACCATGCTTGATGACACCGGAGGGAAAATCAAAAATGTGGCCCTTGTACAAGGTGGTGTCCCAGTAGAAGTTGGTTTGTAAAGTTCATTAACTATATAGATGTATCTAC